TGTTCGTTGTAAAGCACGAAATCGCTTTGACATAATATTTTGTTTTTAAATTCGATCGAAATTATATCAAAAGTCGGACAAATTCCTACAAAACACGTCAAGCCTATTTAGTTACTTTAAACCTGTTTTCGATATCTAAGCTGTCTGAAAAGCATCTCTATGTCTTTATGTTGAAAGCCTTAGCACACTTTTGCACAATCACTTACCTTTTGATTACTAACTTGGTAACAACGTAAATGATATAATTTAAATGGAAAAAAAAATCAATTTACGAGCTACCGATCTATGATTGCTTAATGACATTTCAATGCCTATGAATAAGAGAAATTTGATTGAACACTGAAAAAAAATTATTAGTCTTGGCGAACCTTAATCAGTTTGCGGTTTAGATTTGATATCTGGTTGAATTGTTTACGTAATAATGTTTTCAACATTGTTCCACGTCTGTAGGTTTGATGGGAAAACGCATCTCTGTGCAATAGTAGATTGCAGTTTTGCAAGAGCCTTCATAGGATGAGAATGAGTTAGTAAAATCATAGTCAGCAATTATGTACGTAAGTATCTAATCCATAATATGCTTCATTTCAGTTTAGTTTTTTTTTATTGCCTTTGTAGGCGGACGAGCATACCTGATGGAAAGTGGTCACCGTCGCTCATGGACGTCAGCAATTTAGTTGCAAATAATTAAAAGGCTCAAAAAATACACGATTCAGAGGTCTCGAGTGATATTTTTATCATGGATTCCCTAACTATGGCTATAGCATTATCTATACCATCGATAGAAATAATCCAAAGCATTCAAATTCTTTTACATAAATAACCATCGTAAACCTAACGAGGGAGATTTGCGTCAATGTAATTTTGATTATTAAAAAATTATGAGATTGCTAACATGCATGTTCGTTAAGTCGAATTTACATTACGAAATTAGTGGCGTGAAATTAATTTCGTGACATTAGTTTTACCAACAGTTTCACGTGTAATTTAATACTTTCGTAATGCATGCATTAATTTCATGCATGTAAATTAGTTTCGTGCCCTGCGCGATTTTTTGGTGAAATTAGTGTCATGCAACTAATTTCATAGTGTAGACGGGACGTGAAACTAATGTCGCGAAAGGGCCTGCGCTGTGCGGACGTGTGTATTGTTAGTTCGGACGCGCTTCAAGCGTTGAAAATGGCAAACCAATGATGGAGTACAGAAAAAAATATAGATCATGTCATTGATATTCATTAATAATAATGAATATCAATGACAAGGGTCCCGAAACACCTATAGTAAAAAATCAAAATTATCTTCACTCATTCGAAAATAGTTTTTATAACTCTCAGGATCTTCATCTGCTAATTCAGAGACTAACTTCATTGCACCTAAATGCCTTCTTGTTGACCATCCTCGAATCTACCAACTTTTTTTTTCTTGATAGTCTTTTTTTAAGTTTATAGGTATATAAGCATTTCTTTAGCTACATTGAATATAGCAAATTATAGCTTTGATGCTGACGGCGCCATGGTTACTGCGATACTGTTGATTTCGCGACACTAATTTTTTAACGAAATTACTTTCGCATATATCGAAACTACTTTCGTGAAACTGAGCTCAACATGCATGACACTAATTTCGTAATGTAAACTCGGCATAATATGTTCATTGTAATTTTGCATTGAAGAATAAAATGACAATAATAAAACTTCAGTACACGATTTTCCACAACCGGACAGCTCGCCGGAGCCCAACAAAAACTTTGTAAAAATCAGATAAAATCCAACTAAATCAGTCTTATATCGCAAGAGTTGTTCACCTTACATCCTGTAATAAAGTTGTTATTTGATGTTTTCAAATACATATTCTAGGAACGCAGCCTCTGGGCAAAAACTACAGATTCCTGTATGCGTGTATAATTAAATTATTTTCTGCGATTTTCGCAAGTCGTAAACTTAATTAAAACTACTTCTATTTTACTGGTGGTAGGATGTATTATGAGCCCGCACGGGTAGATACCATCACCCCGCCTATTTAAGCCGCGAAGCAGTAAAACGTTTCGGTTTGAAAAGTGTGACAGCTGTTGTATTGTAAACAAAATGAGACTTAGAACTTATATATAACTCAAAATGGGTGACGGCATTTCCGTTGTTGATGTCTATAGTCTCCGGTAACCACTTAACAACAGGGCCGTGGGCTTGTTCACCCATCTAAGTAATAACAAAATACTAAGCTATAAAACTGAAAAGTAATTAAAATGTCGGAATTAATATAACTAGTGGTCCCGCAGTAGTCGAAATTCGACTATAATTAATTGGAATTGTAACTTGGTACACTATTATGATTGTATTTTATACTTCTTTAATCACAAATTTCACCAAGACTACACTATAAAAAATATTAACAAAGACAAACAATATTTAATCTATTCTCAATTTGACAACAGACGCCAAGAACAAAAGTTTGACAATAAATAGTATGCATGCGTGTGTGCGTCAAATACATGGTATGTAGTGTGTGTAATGTTTTCTTTATTGATTTAATGTATCTTTTATGCATTATTTAAAAAAATATTAGCATTGTGCACTTCTTCTCCATATTCTCTATAAGTGTGGAAATTTTCATAATCCTCCGTCCGTGCAATTTGCGTAAAAAGGGATACAAAGTTTTTGCTTCACGTATAGATATATAGATGACGCCGATATAATGACAGCGATTCCGCATGCAACTCGTCACTGAAATGAATGCTACTAATATCTAAACGTTTATTGAAAATAAATGTAACTAACGATAATAAATAGAATAAAATATATGATTATCATATATGATTAAAAATAATTAACTATAATACATATTACAAACTGGTAAAAAGTACAAGACATATTATAACTAGGATTAGATAGGTGCAGAAACAGGACTGCGTTGTTGAGCAATACACAATTTTCAACAACGAAAAAACGACAATCGAAGTCACAAGTACCTAACATCGAATTTTGATTGTCGTCACAAAAAATCTCTTCCGTACCAACAATTCTCAATAGTTCCATCTATTTGTGTTTGCTGGAAAATGAACTACAACCATTTTCCTAAACCAATGGAGACTGTCACAAAGTGGATGAAAATAATCGTATTCCTTCCTTCCGTAAACCTTCCTAATGTGTGAGACTCGAGACTTTGTCACAAGGAAACAAAGCGAATGATAAGCCCCTGGACCGGACGATCTTAACACTCGTGGAGCTGTGGAGCTTACTATACATTTTACACGCGTTGGTCAAAATTGGAATCAGGGGACGCACTAAAGATTATTAGGAATGAAACTTATAAAATATGTCGGCAAAATAGCAGTAGCAGCTAAATAGATGGCTAGGGACGTAGATCTTTTGTCTGATTGGTGATTCTCTTGGAAGATCCTCAGATCCTTAAGTTTAGAATAGATATCCCATATTGCTCTGCACATTAAATTAATATAGGCTGCTAAATATTTAAATAAGATATGTAGAATAAATTGGCTCATTCCGCCGGGGTCAAGGTCCCGAAGTAAATTGAACAATGAAAGGAATTTATCAAACCCAACATAGCCGTTGGATCATTGTAACCTTGACGGAATTTCGGTTAATATTTGAGGACATCCGCCAAAACCCACATATTACGTCACCCAACTAGGTCTATAACTTTTTTTAAATGAATACCACGATTACTTTTTAACGAGCAGACGGTTGGTGCCACAGGCAAACGGATTGTATAAACCAATGTTTATTTTTATAGATTTAGTTAGAGTAACCAGAGAATCATCTGTGGGCTTAGTGCGAGTTTTTTAACGTTATCGATAGCGTAAACGTTAACTCAAATTTGTATGAAGTTGGAACGTTTACCTGCGTTTGCCGCTAGGGGCGCTGTTCCAACTGCATACAAATTTGAGTTAACTTTTACGTTATCGAGAACGTTAAAAAATTCTAACTAAGCACACTGGTGTTATGTAGATACTATATCGCTATCAACCATCTTGACACATACGGTTATAATCTGAATTTTATTGTAATAACGGCTTCTTAGTACTAATTGTGTGAAATCGAAAATAAGTATTATAAGACTGAGAGACTTTTACTGGTGGTAGGACCTCTTGTGAGTCCGCACGGGTAGGTACCACCGCCCCGCCTATTTCTGCCGTGAAGCAGTACTGCGTTTCGGTTTGAAGGGTGGGGCAGCCGTTGTAACTATACTGAGACCTTAGAACTTATATCTCAAGGTGTGTGGCGCATTTACGCTATAGATGTCTATGGGCTCCAGTAACCACTTAACACCAGGTGGGCTGTGAGCTCGTCCACACACCTAAGCAATTAAAAAAAAAAAAAGAAATTTCTATTTTTGTTTGTCGTATAAGCTGTCCTAAACTGAAGCTTGCCGATTTTTTGAGCTTTAACGTAACGTTTATATATATTAATTGCTAATTGCAGAAATAGTGATGTTTGTAGTAGACTAATTATGTATAAAGGTACCACCACCCTGCCTGTTTCTGCCGTGAAGCAGTTATGCGTTTCGGTTTGAAGGGTGGGACAGCCGTTGTAACTATACTGAGACCTTAGAACTTATATCTCAAAGTGGGTGGCGCATTTACGCCGTAGATGCCTATGGGCTCCAGTAACCACTTAACACCAGGTGAGCTGTGAGATCGTCCACCCACGTAAGAAAAAAATAAATAAAAAAACATACTGTGAAAAATAAATACAATATGAGATAGACTTACATACGATTAAATACTAAAAATATGCAAGTAAATACAAAATAATTATATATAAATATATAATAATATATAATTTTGTTATTAATTGTAAATGCGCATAGCCAAAATTATGACAATGAGTATAGTTTGTACAAATTCGCGATTTACTCGTACCTAGGTTATCTCCTAGCAATCAAAAATGAATGTAAATAAATAGTATGTACTTTTTTTAATTCTCAACGGCAGCACTAAAACAGTTTCATAGCATTGTACATAAAACTATTTGTGTTAAACTTACATCATCCCCAAACTGCTCTGCATTTGTTTTAAAACACCAAAACAATACAACTGCCAAAATCACAGTCCTCCAGCACCGCAACATATTTACAATTAATTAAAAACAATCAAGTCACATTTCACAAAACTATAAATTAAACTATGTAATTAAATGCAAACAATAAAAAGTTCTAAAAGTGACGTTTATACTTCGCGCCATTTATTTTTGAGTTTTCTTTACGGTGCCGGTAACTGATTGATTCGGCCACTTTTTTTTTCAAATTGTCGTAACTGAATTATTGGAGCCAGCGGCATACGTATCGTGGGTTCGCACGTTTACAATCGCGGATAGCGACTGCGCGGTTTGATGCAGCTGTTTTGGTACAATTGATAGAAAGGTTAGAGTTGCGACTCTATCGACAAGTTGCAACAGTAGTTCCTAAATTCCTAACCTATATTTTTAGAAAAAACTAGTTGTATCTGTAAATTGTGACTTTTAATTAAATACATACATTAAATAAACATACGATTAATTTCGATGTTTCATGTCCAATGAATCTGAATTGAAGGGAAATTCTATGGTAAAATAGTTGTTAGTATGCCGATATTATATAATATTTATCTTGATCGCTTCGTTGCTCCAGAGGTTAGTGACCCCAACTTCTGCAATTGTACCCTAAAGGATAAGACGCTCAGTTTATTCGTATCAAACCTAGAATCGAAGGGACCGGGAATTGTTTCGTTTATCTCTAGGATCAATTAAAAAAACATTGACATGGTAAAGAAAAATAAATAGCGTCGATTCCATGTAATTCGCACCTCTACTTTTGCAATTCGAACTCGTAAAAAACCATTCTCTAAACTGTGTCAGCTGTTCACGGAGTACGATTTTACTTTCGTTCACATTAATTATAATAATGGTTAAGTATTACGTATTATCTAGTGAATTTTACGGGGTCGAAAAATGTGCCGGATCAAAATCAGATTAGGTTCCTCAAGAACCAAAATAAAAGAAAGAGAATTTGTCTTGATGAATTAAAATGGAATTCTGTAAGTGGCGCTATAAACTTATTCAAGGTTTTTTAGACAAGTCATCGTCCGTCTGACCCGTTAATATAATGTAAGGCATGTTTGGTAACTTATAGTTGTGATGCCTTTGCAAAGGATTTATCTCAGACATATTTTTTTTTTTTAATAAAAGGTGTTTCGCATTAAACCTCCTTACCCAATACCCACCGAATACATTAGAATTACAATACATTTTGTAGAAAAACAAGATATTTCGCAAAAACGTAAACAATAGTGATTCCATAAAATACACTGGTCTTTAGTTGATCCAGTTCATTATCACAAACCTTAATAGTTTCTCTTTAACACCTATGAAACTTAAGAAAAACGTTCGGAGAAAAATTATGCGTCTAGCATTGTGTTCGTTACTTGCCGCTCGGCGTGTAGCATGCATCCTATCGGAACAGGAACTTCTTAGATCGGACACATTACCAATTATTTTACAGCTAAGAAAATTTTCTTTAATTACTTAATATACTTTGACTTCTTAAAATTAACTTGTTATCTTGCATTTTGAATTTTTAGGAAACTAATATAAAACGAAATGGGATACAATAAACGTTGAGAACAAAGTCGAAGCAAACCAGTTTTACTACGAGTTTACGATAGTGATTACGAAACCTGAACAAACAATAAAACACACGAATATTTCCTTGAATTTTCAGAAGGTAATCTTGAAGGCGCATTGAGTGATTTGAAAATTATATTCGGACCTTGAGCGCACCGTTGCACACGCTAAGTACATAATTCGTTTAATTTTATCCCATGTTCGTTCTTTAAAAGTATCTCTGAATCTAGACAGTAAAAAAAACTTAGATTGTTCCTCGTAGTATTCTTTTCCGGGAACATATAAATTATTATATTAAATATATATTTTTTATATTAAAATATAAAAACAGTTAAACTAAACTTTACTAACAATCTAAAATAACAACATTACTGCGTGCGATTCAACAAAAATTGTTATTATAATTATGAATCAAACATATAATTACTAAGATCATAAAATCGTATTTAAAAAAAAATAGATAACTAATAAAATCCATATTACCAGTAATAACAATGGTATTTAATTATCTTCGCCTGCCTTACTGGAAAGGCCTTCGGTCGACCACAAATCCTTCCTTCCAAATAAATAAATAAAAACTTAATATTTTGTAATAATCGCATCCATACATTTCCCTGTTCGATCAATGCAAGATAGCGTTCGATACGACACATCAGCCGCGCTCCGCCATTGTTGAGGGAGCCTTTCTCCTTGTTGTAAGATATATCGCTGTCGGACCAAAGCATTGTTCTCTCGCACGCGGAAACTAAAAGAGAAAGGGATGTGTGGAAAACTGCTTACTGAACCGTATCCGTTAAACTGAAACGGGATGTGGTAATGATTTTAAAATTGTTTTTAATTAAAAAAGGCTATGTTTTCACTCCCCCCTTTGCCTTGTCATGAGTTCTGTCTCATGCGAGGTTTGGACGTTGGTTGTTGAGCGACAGGAGGCTTTAGTCAGTTCGACTCTGACATACCCCGCCCAGTATCCCCAGAAAAGAGCGAAAGTCCGGCGATTACCTCCTGACCTAAAAAAAAAAAAAAAAAAACAAAAAAAAAAAAAAAAACAATTTTCACTCCATCACTTGCTTACTAAAAGAATTTGAAATATCTATAAACATTAATAATTTGTGGAAAATTAATTGCAATAAGATGCTGACTGAGCAATAAAAATGGTAGAAAATACAAATCTACTATCACGAAATCTTTGGTTTATAATTGCCAATGATCTGCAGTAATCTGTGGACCACTGTGTAGTTGAAGACTACGGAATTTTTACATATTATAACTTTAAATATAAGTTTGAAACTTCAATCGTATTATTTGGCTTATTAATATTAATTATGAAATACTTTTTAGATGGAAAAAGTAAATTAAAGTGAAAACCTACACTGCAGTTTAAAAAAATTGCAAAAAAATAACGTGGCAATCGAAAACTGGAAACTTCTAGATCAACTGACAAATCTTATCCAACTATAGTCGTATTTTTAATTAGACGAAGTCAGCTGACAGTAGCTAATGTCACTTTGTGAAATAATGTTGCTATATTTAAAGTAATAGTGATGCGTTCAGTTCTCGTTCAATCACATGAATGAACAATGAGTGTGAAGAGTTAATCATTAATTTCAAACTATAAAAGTATATTATTTATATTTTACAATAAAATTGTATTAAAGTGCTCCAATATATGTTACTAGTAGTATGTAACTACAATCAGTTTTTTTTATTTTCATTACATACCTATAATTGTTATATTTTATATATCTATAATTTCAACTATATGATGTATTGGAAATAGGACAGTCTTACAAGCTTCCTCGCAATGTTTTTCTTAATGTTTAAAACACTCGGTATTCAGTACAGGTAGATACTATAGGAACATAATATTTCGTCGAAAACTCGTTGCTATGTACAAAGCACGCCTAAAATTCGAACCCCGTACCCGATATCGGCAATTCGGCACACCAACTATTCACTAGACTATCGAGGCAATTTCATTAATTCAGGAGTTTTTTCAATCGTTCACTTTGTCACAACACTATTTTTATTTCATCAAAACCTGACAACACAGTAAACGTCAGTTGACTTCGTCTAATAAAAAATCCGACTATAAATCTTACCAAAAAGGTTCAAATTTCTCTGTCCCATAGCCTTGATATTCGTTAATTTTTTTATATAGTTCTTGATAATGTCAACAATGACTGTCTAATCATTAAATTATCGTTCATAGAGAACTAGATTTCATTACCAAGAAATATAACACTCCTTTGTTTGCGTTTCTGGGTCAGCAGTGTGAAGATGCTAAGTTTTTTTAAAATGATTTTTTTTAATGTGATTGATAGAATTCTTTCTGTATAATAAAACTGGGGTATAGAATATTGAAGCAAATGCTTGGATTCTTTGAGATATGTGATTGAAGTCACAAGTTTATACATATTATTATATTATAACTACTTATTAACTTTGCGTCTAATCCCACGTGATAAAAAAGTTACCCTAAAGCGCAATGTCAATGAAGATGATGGTCCCAGGTAGTCTCTGATGGAGGGTGGCGCGATGGTAAAAAGAAGATGACGATACGATGAAAATGGGATCATCTCAAACAACCCCTCAAAGCACAGCCCTTGTAACAACGGTGCATAACAGAGAGCATCCGAGTCTCTCTGTAAATCCAGAGCCACTAAATGATACGTGAGATAATCAACATCAGAACGACTTCATTCTTTGCGAGATCAAATCAAACCGCAATAGAGAATTTCTAAAATGAATTCTTCTGATACCCTAAACATGCTTGGATAGTTACTTGTGGTAGGGCCTCTTGTGAGTCCGGACGTGTAGGTACCACCGCCCCGCCTATTTCTGCCGTGAAGCAGTAATGCGTTTCGTTTTGAAGGGTGGGGCAGCCGTTGTAACTATACTTGAGACCTTAGAACTTATATCTCAAGGTGGATGGCGTATTTACGTTGTAGATGTCTATGGGTTCCAGTAACCGCTTAACAGCAGGTGGGCTGTGAGCACGCCCAACCATCTAAAAAAAAAAAAAAAAAAAGAATAAACACAGCTGCATTTTTTTATATTGCTTTCTTGGGTGGTCGGGCTCATAGCCCACCTAGTTTGAAGTGGTTACCGGAGCCCATAGACATCTACAACGTAAATGCCACAACCCACCTTCAGACATAAGTTCTAAGGTCTCAGTTTTACATTACGACAGCTGCCCCACACTTCAAACCGAAAGCCATTACTGCTTCAGGGCAGAAATAGGCATGGTGGTGGTACCTACCCGTGCGGTCAGTATATGCCTAATCCAATTAACGTTATATCAAAATACAATTTCCCGACACATCACCAGAGGTAGCTTTCATTGCGAAATCTCTCTTAATAAATTACACTTTCACTGTAAAACCGTAAGTGACTTTCAGTTTTGTGTAACAAACCGAATACTAATATGGGTGTTTTCGTCGAGAGATACCGATTGGCGTTACTTGAATTTGTTATTCGTGTGTCGCAGGCAATATTTAGATATAGTTATTTTGCGTCTTGCCTGATTCGTTGTTCTGGAACGTTCGACGAACGAATTTATTAGTATTTAGAATTCACCTAGACTCTTATACTAGCAACATATTAGTACTCATAGAATTATAAGGGCTTTTTTTCCTACCTATTCGCTGGTAGCCTAAGGACCTATTCCAGCAACGCCGGGACGGCTAGGTGAGCTTGCTGGCTCAACCTGAGAGAATTTACTAACACTAGCCCTAGCAAGAGTAGTGATTTGCAGAATATACCACCGGATTGGAATCGCAACCCACTGAGAAGCTCCGACGAGGGTCTGGACTAATTTTCTGTTAAAAAATTCCCTCAAGTAAGATCGACCGACACTGCAGTTAAGTTTTTACACAAGTATTCCCAACAAGGCCTGGGTTTCCTCTGAATCTTCTACCGTCCGTATTTTCTGTAGGTATATATTTTTGCAAATAGTCCTGTATGTAGTTTTTTTCTCGACATTCGCGGCTTAATTTAAACTAATGTTGCGGCTTAATCTTGAAACCTCAATTATATAATACTCTTAATTCTTTCTGGATGACACGGAACATAAGTGTCAAGAATTTTTTAAATAGAAATTAGGCGTCTAAGACCAGAATTATTTTTTGTTGTAGCGTCTATTGGCGCCGGTAACCACTAAACACTAGCTCGTGATATAAAAATACGTATGTATCTCAAATTTTGGGTTATACATATATAGACTTTTTTTATTGATTTTAATTAACATAAAAACTAAACTGAACAAAAACTGCGCATTGCGCGACTCGACTACCGCAAAATGTTTTATGAAGCACGTAGAGACACGCGTGCCTCTTTACATATCATTATATGGATTTAGAGTATTGTTTTGGGTGAAAGTGTTTTTTATTCGTGCTTATGTTCATTACGGTTTTTTCGTGTTCCGTACGAAACAACCAAATAAATTCACCGACTCAGATAAAATCAGATTAAGTAGCAGTAATTAAACAAAAATTACAATTAAAGAAACGTCTGCACTTGAGATATTTCCTACAGCGTCTAACAAATCGTAAATATGATACAAACACTTAAAGCTATTGAGATTATTTCATATATTTTATAATGCACGAAAACAAATTCAGAATGTACGTGGTACAACTGGATGGTATTTCTTTTTTAAATTAATAACGTGTGATGTTCGATAATTTCCTAGTCGACTATATTTTATTTCACGAATTGCCATTACACCGGTTAAACTTTACTTGGAATGTCCATGGCCTAAAAGTTAAGACGCTTAGTATCCGATGCGACTATCCCAAGGATCGAATCTCCCACTTAAGCATCATTGTCATATTTTATTTATTTTTTGTCTTCTTTTTATAAAAAAGAATAAACAATATCGTGTACTAAAAATAATAAACCCACATAATTATAAATTTGTATTAGTATCGGTTTCAGGATTCATGTGGAATCAGGAGTGATTGTGTGGGCTGCGGTTAATTTTGGATTGGCGACGACATTGATTTTGAATAGATCCGTAAGTATCTGAAGCGAGCTTTAGAACGTTTCTTCGGACTTATCCGCTTACGGCGCGGCACAATAGCCCTTTTATTGTAGCCATCGTGAACTAGATCCCCGCCTCAGATTACGGGACAACGAACAACCGCCTTCGCTCTAGATATGTCCTTTCAGATCCTCTCAGTCCACCTCGAGTCCCGCGGGCTCGCCCGTCCGTCATACTGAAACCAATATAAGCCCTCGGAGTTCCTAGCAGAGAGGTAGACAAAGAAAAAAATACGGTAAACATTTAACACGAGTCGTGCCGTTAGCTCATGGGTGGAATTTATCAAATCTACCGTTTTAATATCATGAATAGTTAAATTTTAGGAAACAAAGCAAAACAATATAACTAATCTTAGTTCGTTTTACGTGAATCAGAACCATTAGACCAATTAAAGGAAACGAATTGTGTACCCAAATTAATCACCCGATATTAAATCATTAGTTAATAATAATTGTTGGAAATAAAAAAAGGCTTTATATCTAGGCGCAGAATTTCTCGTGAGACTTGCGTGTGTGATTGTTATTTATTGCATTGGTCTTGTTAAATGTAGATTTTATGGATCGGTATGTTAGTATGTATGGTTGTATATTTAGAACTTAAATCACGTGGTATGTTTTTTTGGGTTGTGCATCACGTGTGTGGTCACAACGGTTGCGTGTATCGATAATAATTAAATACCATTTTCGCATTTATAACTTATCAACATTATTAAATTATTAATATAATGTATTAAATATGTGAAGAATAATGAAATCTGGCTGAGTCTCCTTTTTTTCCCTACCTATTTGCTGGTAGCCTAAGGACTATTCCAGCTACGTTACAGACTCTATGTAAATAGCAGAAAATACAGCGATAAAAAGAAGGTAATGGAGCCACCGTGGATCATACACTGCAAAATTCAAAAATTATACGACGAATGTAAGCAATGCTTTACATAAAAGCTTTATTAAAAATAAAAATACAACTTAATCTTGCATTACTATCAATCCGATATCAATCTTGTAATCGAAAAAATCCTTTACTGTATGCGGTCTCTGTACTTCAAAGTTCCCTCAAAGAATATTGTTAGCTTCTAATGTGGCTTACATATGTGATTGTTACCAAAATAACTAACAATTAAAATCATAAAAATTCTTCGTATAGCCCAAAACAAGATAACAATAATTACTATTTAATGCTGTATTTCTTTTGTTAGCCGAAAGCAGATTCCTGTGCTTTAGTTCATTTAATTTGCTATTGTTTAAACTTTAATGGTAGTCCGAATTATTGACGGTTTGTATTATGATGGGAAAATTTGTTAATGATGTGCGCTTTATCTTGGCCCCATGTGAAGTTCACTAAGAACAGTTAGTTTATGTTTATTACCAACTTGTAGTGCTGTACCAAACTTTTTTACTTTTTTTTTTTAATTGCCTAGTTTTATTTATATGTTTTATTTATATACTCAAAATATTTACTTTATACGTAAAAGGTTTTGAAGCTGGCAATATTTTTCCCGCAAAAATAAAAATCCTTGTTTTTTCAATAGAGTTACTTTTTTTAAACTACTTATTGTAAACTGTAGTGGCGCTTATTTGCAAGAAAGTAAATGCATATTTATTAATGACAAAATTAATGCACTAAGTATTTTTTCTATAATCTATTGTCCGCTTTGGGCCTAAAATGGGCTTTCCCCTTTGCGGGTTACTTTTTAATTTTGACTTACTTTGCCTAGTTCTATTCCAAACGCTCAAAATATGGAAAGCTATAGCATTTGTAGTTAGGCAGACGAAGTTAGTAGTTACCTTTGATTTTAGACACATTTATTTTTACTGAGAGTTCTTGGTAAGTGGAACATTGGACTGCATATATAATTTGCGTCATTAATACGTTTCGATTTGAAAAGTGGTAAAATAAAACATGGTTTGTCTATAATTATTGTGTCTATGTTAGCTAAATAAAAATAAACTTTATTTGGAACCTTCTTAATATTGCAGCTCGACAGGGAAGGCGAGAGCAATTTTAGGCGCCTGGATTTTTATAATAGCAACACTTATTGATATGTTTAGGCTGATCCATGGATTTTATTATTACTCAATTTTATTTATTTATTCCTACCTACTGCTAGCCTCGAAAGGTTATACCATCTTCATTGAGTATAGACGAGCTCACGGGTCTCGACTTAGGGAATTTTACCCCTCTACCCTACCAAGAGCAGTGCTTCGCTGAATCTACCACCGGATGGGAATCGTAACCCTCTGAGAAGATCCGGCGAGAAACTCAATGGGTTATATCTGTGAGTTAAGTTGCAGTTGACGATGACCAGTGCCTGGAATGCATAAAAGCACCAAGAGTGGATCGGAGGTATCTGAAATTACGTGCTTAGAGCGACGACGGCTGTTTATTGTTTGGTCATCTGGACATTATGTAATTTGCAGCGGCCACGATAACAGGGTTATAGTGCCGCGTCGCTTTTTAAAAGGAGCCTTCCAACGCTGTATATATATATATTCATCAATAGATTCATCGATAGGTAGATAGTAGATAGCTCGTCGTAAAGATCCATTCAGTCAATGAAAATCACGTATTAAATAAAACATTTAGTAAGACAATTTAATTTACTACTTAAAATAAATCCTACACTAAAATATATTTGTTATTTTCTTCCGGCTTCAGACACCACGCTCGCTTGCTCCTGAAAAAAAAAGTATTATCAAATAAGTCGAATAAACAAGTGAAATCTCAAATGAAAAATCGAAATCAAATTGAAAATTTCAATTTCACAAACTGCCTTTTTCCTCATGAATACTGAGAAAATACTCTAAATATTACTCATTAATACATTACATAGGAGGCCATTATTAGAAAAAGATATTAATTTTTTTATGATTGTTGGTTTACCGGAGGCCCTTTCAGTTCCATCAGGACAGGTGGACGAGCAAAGGCGTATTTTTTTTAAACTATTATTTATTTTATTTGTAATATTCCTTATGAACTTACGATAGATAATGTTTCAATGCTCGTCTGCTGCACGGAGACCAGCTCTTAGCTTGATTGTGCGATAACGGACTAAACACAGCGCTCATTACGTGCCGCCCGCGACACTCGTTGTTAGGATAGCCGTCGTGAGGAACACCCAAACTGAAAAGTAGCTTAAAATATAATACACTTAGAACCTAATTTCATTGTAAATTGTATTTTTTTTTGATCAGGAGGAAATCGCCGGTCTTCCGTGTCGGAGTCGAACCGACTAAAACCTCCTGTCGCTCAACAAACAGCATCCAAACCTCGCATGAGACAGAACTCATGAAAAGGCAAAGGGGGGAAAGTGCATTTCTCCCATCAACTTCCCCCAATTATAAACTGTATATGGTGTTTGTTACGTTTAACAGACATTAGAACCAACTGAGTTTCTAGCCGGATCTTCTCAGTGGATCGCGATTCCAAACTAGCAGAAAATTGGGCGAAGCACTGCTCTGGATAGAGCAGATGTTAGCAAATTCTTTCAGGCTAGGCCCCCTGGACTCACTTAGACACCCTGTGAAGTCTTAAAGTACTTCAAGACAACTAGGAATTATATAGGTAAAAAATTCATTAGAGACATAAGCTCCAACATCTATGATTTCAAATCTAAAATAATTAGTTGTCAAATCTTTATAACTATTACTGGGATAACATTCATTTTTAATATAAAATAATTTACCTAAAAATTACAGTCAATTAACAAAAAAATCAAAATAATTACAGACAAATCAGTTCTCTCTAGACTTTTATCACAACTTTAAATAAGATAGTTAATTGTATTAAAGACTAGCTGTACCCGTCCGCTTCGCTGGGCATTTAAAATTAACATTACTATTTCTCACCCCCACAAAGATTCTCATGGTGAGAGCCGCCCCCGCAACTGGTGTAGGGAATCCAACACGCACATAAATATTAGCCTACCCATTAAGTACATGTATTTTCTAAATGGATACCAAGTTTCAAGTCAATGGGATGCACGGTTCAGTAGTTATAACGGAACATCCGTAAAAATCACTGTAGATTTATATTATGTATATTGGTATAGATTATTATAACCTGTGCGCGATTTCGTGTGCCAACATGAACGCTGTATTCTTGTTCCCCCATTCTGTCAGAGTGCAGCTATTGTTTATACTGCACATACCCTTCATGTAGCTTCGACCTGAAAGTAATAAGTGAAATGTCTAAACTCTTTATTATGTAAATTACATTTAATGACTAGGGTAGGCAAGAACTTACTTGTGAAATTGACATGTGAATACAATATAGGTTCTCGTAGGTAGATACATGTATTCTTATTTTTTACTGGTGGTACGACCTCTTGTGAGTCCGCACGGGTAGGTACCACCACCCCGCCTATTTCTGCCGTGAAGCAGTAATGCGTTTCGGTTTGAAAGGTGGGGTGGCCGTTGTAACTATACTGAGACTTTAGAACTTATATCTCAAGGTGGGTGGTTGCAGATGCCCATAGACATCTGCAATTTACGTTGCAGATGTCTATGGGCTCCAGTAACCACTTAACACCAGGTGGGCTATGAGCTTTTCTACCCATCCAAACAAAAAAATATATATATAAATACTTTGCAAGTGAGATGAACATTTACACTATATACTGGCGGTAGGCCGTCCTGTGAGTCCTCACGGGTACATACCAGAACCTGACCTATTTATGCCACGAAGTAATAATGCGTTCCGGTTTGAAGAATGGAGCAGCTGATGTCCATGGGCTCCGGTCACCAGCTAATATCGGATAGGCCGTGAGCTTCTTCTCTCGTATGAGAAGGAAAAATTATATATAGGCATCCTTCAACTTTGATCGGGCCATAGACAAAATTTGGTGGAAGAAGAAACGAAACCGCGCAAGAGGGTATCAACTTCACTCCGGAAACTATCTGTACAGGTAATTAGAGGACCACTAAAACTTACTGGTGACTCGCTTAGCGGCATGTCCCATATCATCGAAGTAAAACAAATCCAATCCCGTAAAAAGAATCGAGAACCACCAATTCTCGTGTTTCAACTTCTGTTCCCCTTGCCAGCGACAATAAGTCTTCAAGTATTTCACGACGTCCCCGTCCATTGCGATCTTAGCTATTTTGTTTTTCAATATTTTAACGTCTAACAATTGGAAAGAAATGGTCAGATTCAGACTAGAATGTTCGAATATATCTTCGACGTCTCTGAGTACTCTTCGGGCGGCCATTTTGAATTTTTGCGATCTCATTTTGTTTTTTACCGGAAGCTTCGTCGAGAGATTCTTGTCTAAATGAATCATGATCGGGACCGTGATACCGTTTTTGGGCTTCGTATAGTATTCTATTGAATCCTTCTCCTTAGACCACAATTTTAACGAAGGTGATTCACTAACGTCATTATGCTGAAATATTAATATATATTTTTTACAATGCTTAAAGTCTTAGTTGTTGATAAAAATATAAAACAAAAACTTAAAAAGAACAATGTGAGAATTTATTTTATAAGTTACGTATATATTTTATATTAGTAACATGTTTATATATAATATATTTTTAAGACAAAAATTGGAGCACGTTTCAAAAATTTTTGGCTTTTTTTTTATTTATCTGTTTTTGTGACCGGTTTGCGCCGGAAGCTTTGCCTATCATCATCTGCTCATAGTCGTCCATTGCTCGACATAAGCCTCTCTCAAGGGCCACCGTAATGACTGGTTCTGCGCTGCCTGCATCCACGGAACCTTCAACAAGGAGTTGGTCCTCCTTGTGAAAGGTCTAGCTACGTTAAGTATATTTTTTTGGTTACCCATAAATAAAATAAAATTATGCACTGTTTTTTTTTTATTGCTTAGATGGATGGACGAGCTCACAGCCCACCTGGTATTAAGTGGTTACTGGAGCCCATAGACATCTACAACGTAAATGCGCCACCCACCTCGAGATATAGGTTCTAAGGTCTCAGTATAGTTACAACGGCTACCCCACCCTTCGAACCGAAACGCATTACTGCTTCACGGTGGAAACAGACGGGGTGGTGGTACCATTTATAACCCATAATTAAAACTTGTAACATTCATGAAATCAATCAAAACTCCGAATGTCGCCCGTGGTAACTACGAAAATTGTTAAGTATTCTTAGACGTCGAAAACAATATATAAAGATAATAAAAAAACGCGAATGTAAGCTGTAAAAAAATCATTAAATTATTCAATATTCGTAACTCATCTATCACTTATATTCAAAGTAAAGTAACTAAGTTGATCTATTGCTAAATGTTAGAGATCCGATTCCAAAAGGCAAAAATCAATACGTTGATGGCGCCATTTTATTAATCTTCCCGCGGTTGCCAACATCATGAATACTTTAGGAACGCACAGAAAACATACAAAAAGAAAATCATTCTTATTATTATATATTTAGATGTCATTAAGATTTTATTTACGTTATTAAATCGCTTTGCATTTCGAGTGGTTGCAGATATAATCGAATTCGAAGTCATTATGAGCGTTAAATATGTTCCTATTTTGGTTCTTAATTCCTTGTCACCTAAGTATTTCTGGTACACGTTACATTTTGGTTTTCTTTAGTTCAGTGATCGGGCGAATAACCTAGTGTCTGACCTTTTTTTTTTTTTTAACGCTGGAGAATCCATTTACGGATACCCGGTCGAGGGGGGTAAGAGACCGGGTTATGTCGGACTCCGGCGCCTCCAGAGAAGAACAGGGAGAAGAAGAAGACAGGGGTCCTCCTCTTCTCCCAATTCCTGCCGGGAGACTACGCCTTGAGAAAGGCGCTCGAGGCACTGCACGGCGTCAGCCACCAAGAGCTACCCCGCAAAACCGACTACCGACTAAACCCCATAGAGCCCCACCACTCCGACTCCACGAAACCCACGGTACCGCACAGTGCGCGCCGAAAACCTAGTGTCTGACCTAGCTCAGAACCATATACACTTAGTATTTGCTCAGGACCATAATGGAACTTTTAGCTATCATTTTCAGTAGCCCAGGCAAGCAGACCAGCTTATTATAGTTAATTAGTTGCTACCGTGCCGAATCCACACAATACCCCTGACCGTCATGACATAAAGGTATTCTTCTTCTCAGTCGTTTGCACTCTCGGCAGAATGGTCGTGATTATAATTTCGGGCGACGCTGCTCTAAAAGTATAACCTTCAAACAATGGCCCTAAGTATATGAAATACTCTTTAACTTCTTTGGTCTTCAGCGATTATGTGAAAACGAAAAAAAAAAATTGATAATAAAATCAAACAGTTCTAATTTTAAATACGTTTATGTATACAATATAGATTATTCGAACAGTTTCTTTTTTTTAAATCGTACCTACTTACACCGCCCGATGTTATCTGGGTTCAGCTAAAACGCGTCATAATACAAATATCATTAGGTTTCGCCTAAATAAATGTTTAAAAATATTCTAGTATCACACTTCCGTTTTCGACATGACCGTATTTTTTTTAATTCAGATTATAATTTAGGTTCATTTCGATACAAAAACAGAAACCACTGAATTTAAGTGAGGACTCGAGTCAGATTTAGTCTCGCGGGAATGTAGATACCATTTTATAAATAAATATATTTTTTTTTAATTGCTTAGATAGGTGGACGAGCTCACAGCCCACCTGGTGTTAGATGGTTTCTGGAGCCCATGGACATCTACAACGTATATGCGGACCCACCTTGAGATATAAGTTCTAAGATCTCAGTATAGTTACAACGGCTGCCCCACCCTTCAAACCGAAACGCATTACTGCTTCACGGCAGAAATAGGCAGGGCGGTGGTACCTACCCGCGCGGACTCCCAAGAGATCCTACCACCACCTACCACGTCAACATCTAGAAATATGCTTCCGCCAAAGTTCCCCATAATCATCCGTTCTACGCAACAACATCCAGCGGATTCCCGTGACATCGTAATAGGCTCAGACACGAATCACAAAATAAGATAACCGTATTTGATTCTATGCCATGGTAATATATTTTTTAAATGAATGATAAAACAAATTAATAAAGTAAATAATTATTTTATGTGTATTTTACACGGATTCCAAAGGAGGTTGTTTTTTGGACGTAATCTGGAAGTCTAATTCTATGGTACACGCTGAAGTACCTAGTCTAATCGTGCCTTTTTCGGTTTTTAACATGTGAGATGTCATAAGATTCGTCTCAGTTGTGAGACATGTGTATTTATATCGTTTAAGTATCAAGTCCACGAAACAAAAAACCAAAAAGTTATAACAATCACTACATAGTATAAAACAAAGTCGCTTTCTCTGTCCCTATATCCCTATGTATGCTTAAATCTTTAAAACTACACATCGGATTTTGATTCAGTTTTTTTAGTAGATAGAGTAATTGAAGAGGAAGGTTTATATGTATAATAACATCCATTAAATAGTGAATAAATCAATAAGGAATTACAGTTTCTGAAGCGAAGCGAGGGTGAGTCGCTAGTAAATAATAATTTTGAATTAATTAATGTAATATTTATAAACCTACAAAATAATTAGAATATTGAATAATCTGGTTTATTTCGTAGTATTATTAACAATCAGCCGTATTTTTTCACACTTTGATTTTCGTCACGTATATATCTATAAAATCATAAACAAAAGGTTGTGTTCATTTTTTACTAGATATGTAAAACATTAAAATGGCAGACCAAAAGCGTGTCTAATGTGTACCTTGACCTATCATTGAATTTTGTCATAGTATGACCATATCGAAGAATTCCATTACATCATGTTTAATTTGAATTGATTTACGTGGAATTAAGAGAACAATATAAATTATACATTGTCACGGCTGTTACAAGACCATTGGCTGTGCGTATGAAGAATTTCTACTCTATTCAAGAGATGTAAGAACTATTTTCAATGTATCGATGTATTATCATTTATGATACTATGTATTTACGCCTATGACATAATGTACAAAGATATTTTCCATAAATCGTGGTTCGATCAAATCTCGAAGTTTTTACATATAATTAAATTGAAATAACCAATTCACAATTCAATTTACCTAATAAAAAGTTTCGGAAGACTATAAAGGCAGCTTCTAAATCCATGATCAAATTAACTGGACACGACACAAAGCGCTTACTATAAAATATCACGTTTTTAATTAATTAACATTTTATTAGGGTAGACGCGGTCATGTACCGTCTACTAGACATACATGACCGCGGTACATGACCGCGCGGGACGTCGCCATTAAGATGGATCGACCAAATTAAAACTGCAGGAGGGATCCCCTAAATGTAGTCCAGTAGGATGGCTTCAAGCAGGCAGAGATGGCGGGACATCGTGAGAAGCGTCAATTCGATCACGGCTTAACGGTAGGCAGCGGCTTGCCTCTGCCCCTGGCATTGCTGAAGTTCATGGGCGACGGTAACCACTCACCATCAGGTGGGCCGTACGCTCGTCTGCCTACTAGAGCAATAAAACAAAAATCCAACCCCTCTGTCAAGACTGGCGTGATTGAGAAAAAGGCGAAGAGAAAAAATGTCCTATCCATTTATTTCTCTACATCTACAAGTCCGGTTGAGTTTAGCTGAACCCTTAGCTTGTCTCTTTATGAATTCAATTCGATACCCAGACTCGCTAGATTCACTCACCAGTGGTTAGGGTATAGAGCCTAAGCGCTTCAGCACCATCATTCTGTCTATTTAATGCCGTGAAGCAATCATATTTGAACAGAATAACCGTTATTTGAATGCAATAAAGCATTCGTTCTCAGGTCTTTAAGGATCGAGTGCATCTGTTTACTTCGCTCATGAACATTACCAATGCGCACGACATAGCCAAGCTGAAAACCGCCTTTTAAAATAGCAAATATTATCAGGAAATAGCACAGGCATAATTATGGTAGACGAAGCCCATTCCGAGGCCGGATGGTACGTGGCAAAAATTATCTTTGGTGACGCTTTAAGTGGATAGCAGCGTCACCCAGTCGTAGATATAGCCCTACTCCGGTTTTTATTTCCTACCTATTCTAGTAGCCTCGAGGAGTTATTCTAGATTCACCGAGCTAGTAGGTGAGTTCCCGGGCTCAAACCGGAGTGCTGCTAACACTGGCCCTAGCAAGAGCAGTGCTTCGCAGAATCTACCACCGGATCGGAAACACGACCCACTGAGAAGATCCGGCGAGAACGAGTAGTAGACATATGAAGATAATTCTTCAGATCAGTCGCCATACAAAATATGCTATTAAGCACATAATATACTAGCAGTCTGTAGAGCTACATGTTAAAGGCGTCAAAGCTGTTTGTTGAAAATGAGATCGGGTCTACTCCCTACTTGGCACTACTACTACTACTCTAATATAATATCTCATAGCGATTCACTCTACGTTCCAAAGTAATGTCCAATTTGATTCAAAATAAATCAACATTGCAAAAGATTCATGCTTTAAAACATATTTTTCGAAAAAATATACACAGCGCATCCACAACATTACCTACATTATAATTACAAAATGTTCTTTAATTGTACAAAATTTCGAGTAACAATTAGTAAAATTCAGTTTTGAATTTAACTAACGTAAGATAAGGCATAGATTGATTCTCAGCTAGAAATAAGTGAATTTCTAAATTTAACTTAAGAGACAGTTTGCACCACCAATGCTGCGTTTGGAGTGGACATGCTTAAGGAACGCACTTTGTTTAAGACGAATAAAGATGAAATAAAGGAACCAAGAAATTAACGTTAGCTAGTGTTTTACGTTTGCTTAAACACAATACCGAATCATTTTCATCACTGTGGGTACAAAAAACAGAATCGATTCATAGAGATAGAAATAGGGCTACGTGCCTAAACGGACCTTAAGATTTTCAAAAACGAATCTTCTTTATTAATTTCTCGCGTAAGATGCAAAGGCTGAACTGAAATCCGAGAGTAAAAATGTGTAAATCCTTATTATTCAAAGTTGAAAACTTGATTCCCATTTCAAGCAAAAATTCATGAGACAGGTTTGTTTTCTCTGTCTGTATACATATACATTTATTTGTTGAAATACAAAAACGTAATGTATATCAGTTTGGTCCCGTTGTACAAGGAATCCAAGTTTGAGTCCAGATGACTAAGATCGAGTACCTATATAAAATAATACAAATAAATATACATTCATTTACAATACTATTTTTCATAATAATTCGCACGCCCACGTACCTACTGAATTACATCAACTTTATTACTAAGAAATTTTACGAAACCATTTGATAATAATTACGCTTTGGCAATACGATCTGATCTGAATGTTGTAAGTTTTGTACATACATTGAATAAAAAAAGTGTAATATTCAGAAAATTGCGAGTCACAACCTCTTAACCTACTTCAATGTTATCGCAAAAACGTCGCGTGACGCTCACACATGCCGCAAAGGGTTAGTTTTCTCATTATATTTCCGTATCAAGTGATCTATTTCTACAATTCTCTATAGATATATATTTTTAAACTCTGAAACTGACAAAATATTGGACATGATGTAATAATTTTCATAAACTTAAAAAAAATAGACAACTTCATTAGATATTTATTACGGTCTTGCCACCAGCGAACATCTAATTCATTTTTTCCCTACCTATTCGATGGTAGCCTAAGTAGCTACTCCAGCTACGCCCGGACAGGTAGGTGAGCTCACGGGCTCAACCTGAGAGAATTTGCTAACACTAGCCCTAGCAAGAGCAGTGTTTCGCAGAATCTACCACCGGATCGGAATCGCGACCCACTGAGAAGACCCGGCGAGAAACTCAATGGGCTGTGTCTCTGAGTTAGTTCGCTCGTCGAACTCTTCGTCGTAATCGACCAGTTCAACGAGAACGGTAACCAGCGCTTGAGAGGCCTAAAAGCACCGAGAAGGAATCCGGGGGATCCGACAAGACATGTTTCGGGCGACGCGACGTCGGCTTTGCGTTGCCCCGTCGCGGTCAAATAAGTCTACTGCCTCTCATTCAAAAGACCGTGTCCTAAGCATAAAGCTGTTTCGGTTTCACGTAACAATACGTTTGCTGACGTATGCTTACTGTTTCTAGCCTGTCGAGATCCGTTTAAATGCATGATAAAGGTCAACAAAAAAATTGAATTCCAAACATAACGATATTGATCATTGGCCCGTTTTATTCGAATCACAGCGAAGCTCCTACTTTAAAAACTAGACGTTAGTGGAAATGCAAGGAAATCTCAAACTTAATTAAGTTTTTGAAATGTTAATTTTAAACGCATAAGTCGATAATTCGATTTGAGCAATTTTATACACAAAAATGGCGTAAAATAATAGTCATAGTAACAGGCTTATGTTAATATTAATAAACCTACTTTATCGGTTTAATTTAGTTTTTTTTTATTGTAATTATATTATTTCCGACATTTCGGATACTTTAAAGATTTCCTTATAACGGACCTCGGATCATTTATTTGGTTTAGTTCTGATTAAATTTACCAGAAAAAATGTCAGCGTCACAAATGAATCTTATTTTAAAGCAATATTTAAATACATTATCTACTTAAAATCGATAGGCAATAAGCGATAGACAAATTGTACAATTCAATAGATACCGCGAACTGTGAACCTAGCTCTTATTATCATTTACAATCCATTAAAAGTTTTTTTTCTGTGAGGTTAGAACATCTTACATGTAATAAATAACGATCAAAAAAAATATATATTAAGATACAAATAAACGGACATTTTCAACGGAAATTCTCAATGAAAATAATAATAATTAAAAGTCTCTAAAGTTTATAAGTTTCTGAAATCGAAATACGAAGTTAATTATAAAGAAGAAAAACAATAAAAACAAATATGTACTCACATTACGGCAGATACAAATATTTAAAATTAACACAAAAATAATTAACACTAAACACGTATTCATATTGGAGAGATCAGTTTCCGCACAACGTCCGTGCTTGACTAAAACTAGATCTAAAGCTAAACTCATGATGAACTGCGTACGTTATATACTAATTTAACAATTAAATTTAGCACACAAATTCTCATAAAAAAATAAATTTACTCTTTTTCTTGACTCTTGAGGTCTCTTAGCGACAGTTTTGTAGTTCCACCTCGCTATGGTATAGAGGGTTTTCAATCAATTTCAACCTGAGTTACATACAGCACGCAAAACAATTTTTGATTTGATTTGATTTGATTTCAAAAATATACAGACAGACTTTATGCATATTTTAACAAACTTATTTTAATAATTCGATAGAAAATGAGTAAACAACTTTTTAAGCAAATGAAAAGTGGATTACATGTTGAATATCAACCACCACAGTAAAATTAGTTTCATTGATAGAACTAATACAAAATGAAAGCTTAGTATTAGTCGTCACTAAATCCTGAAATTCGTAGGAGGGAGGCGCCTACACACATCCCACACTTTCATGAGAAATCACCATATGCTTTATAGGGCTTAATCGACATTTTATTATTTCATCACAATAACTTAAAACTTTTGTTGCCTCAATCAGCAGACTGCAGACAGGCCCAGGTAATTATAAGAGTCACCATTGTAAGTCACTGATGCTCATGAACATCGGCAATACCATGAGCACCAGGTGATGACGACCACTAATTTATTGTATATCTGAAAAGTGCTGTATTTATTATTGAATTCTGAAGATTTCCGCATATAAAAAAAATCTAAAAAAAAATACCTAAATAATTTGTACATATGTTACTATATTTTATGTCGATATGTTGAAATTCCGATACAACTTGTGTTCCTATATTATTAGCCAACATAACAAAAAGAGGACGTTCTCAATTCTAGTGGATCTTTTTATGCGTGTTACCTCAAAACCTTTTTATTTGTAAGTGGTTCCATCTCATGCGGACCCATCTAAAATTTATCAAGTCCTGACCAGTAGTAGTTTGTGAGTTGTCCTCAATAATACATATACATAAATTTGACTTCGGTTATTATCGTTTTATTGTGATGAAGTCGGTTTTCATTTTTGTTAAAATTTTGTATTAATTGTAATCGAAGTTTAGCCGTTCCGTGTAAAACATAAAAGTATAATGACCCACAGTCTGTTTTGGTGATAACAGTTTCGTTCGAATATTTTATAATTAAATACATTGTTCAGTTCTCTATACAATGTGACAAGGAAAAAGCGATATTCTTTTCCGCTTTGTCAGTGTCAAATGTAATGGTATATAAAAATTCTAATTTTTTTTTATTGCTTTGATGGCTGGACGAACTCACAGCCCACCTGGTGTTAAGTGGTTACTGGAGCCCATAGACATCTACAACGTAAATGCGCCACCCACCTTGTGATATAATTTCTAAAGTCTCAAGTATAGTTACAACGGCTGCCCCACCCTTCAAACCGAAACGCATTACTGCTTCACGGAAGAAATAGGCAGAGTGGTGGTAGGTACCCGCGCGGACTCACAAGAGGTCCTGCCTGTAATTACGCAAGGTATAATTTTGCGGGTTTGATTTTTATTACACGAGGTTATTCATCGTGGAAGTCAATTGTGAATAATTGTTGAGTGCGTATTTCATTAGAAAAGTTGGTACCCGCCTGAGATTCGAACACCGGTGCATCGCTCAACACGAATGCACCGGACGTCTTATCTTTTAGGCCACAACGATTCGAAATGAATTAAAAATTACAAAAGATGGCCAAAATCCACGAGGTGGAGTAGAAGGAAATCAATATTCGAATCCATCATGCTCTAACCTGGCCTACGCACTTTACTCCATGGCGTACAAGATCAAAATTCCTCGTTTCCGTTGACCCTCGTCATGAAGAAAAGCCAGGTTTCTTCCTCCTTAAAGGATAGGCTTTTTTTATTCCTTAAATGGGTGGACGAGTTCACGGCCCACCTGGTGTTAGTGGTGTAGTCCATAGACATCTACAACGTGAAAGTAACGTACCGTAATCCACCTTGTGACATGAATTCTAAGGTCACAGCTTTTACCATAGTTTTTAAGGTACCATTTTTTCTAATGAAATACGTGCTTAAAAATGTTCTCGATTCACTTCCACAGTGAAAGAATAACATCGTGTAATAAAAATTAAACTCGCAAAATTATAATTTGCGAATTATTGCTGGTGGGTCGTCTTGTGAACTCGCACGGGTAGGTACCACCACCCTGTCTATCTCTGCCGTGAAGCAGTAATGCGTTTCGGTTTGAAGGGTGGGGCAGCCGTTGTAACTATACTTGAGACCTTAGAACTTATATGTCAAGGTGGGTGGCGCATTTACGTTATAGATGTCTATGGGCTCCAGTAATCACTTAACACCAGGTGCTCTGTGAGCTCGTCCACCCATCTAAGCAATAAAAAAAAAGAAAACTAGCGCTCGGCAATGGGATAGGAATCCCAATCCTATGTTGTTTAGTTTCTATTCAAACTAATTCCTTACCGAATTCCGTCAAAATCTGTTCTGTGGTTTGGGTGTGAAAACGTTATAAACAGAAAGAGCTATTCCGTGTTCATAAAACTTATTTATTACTAGCAAAACTAGCCGCTGTGTTGGTCTACCTTTGATTTGATTTCCATCCGATCGCTACCAAACTTCAAAGGATCATGCGCTGAGCCGGGTTAAAGATTTCGTGAAAGTTTCATCATATCGGTTTCGGAGTTTAAGGTACATACACACACACACACACAGACACACATATAGACTTCTATTTATACACATAACATATGTTATTAATTTAACCTAAAAAATCTAACAGTATAGAAGTAAATTCCAAAAAACTTTAAACGGCAATAGGTTTCTTACACAGTCGGAATTGCTTTATTATATGTTAAATTGTAAAAAGCTTCCTGATGCGTAGACCCGGGTTGTAACCTATCAAACTTAAATCAGAGTGGTTTCATCACAACATACATCACTAATGCAGTTCGTTTTTTTTTTTATTGTTTAGATTGGTGGACAAGCTCACAGCCCACCTGGTGTTAAGTGGTTCTGGACCCCAAGACATCTACAACGTAAATGCGCCACCCACCTTGAGTATAAGTTCTAAGGGTCTCAAGTATAGTTACAAAGGCTGCCCCACCCTTCAAACCGAAACGTATTACTGCTTTACGGCAGAAACAGGCAGGGTGGTGGTACCCACCCGCGCGGACTCACAAGAGGTCCTACCACCAGTAATTACGCAAATTATAATTTTGCGGGTTTGATTTTTATTACACGATGTTATTCCTTCACCGTGGAAGTCAATCGTGAACAATTGTTATGTACGTATTTCATTAGAAAAATTGGTACCCGCCTGCGGGATTCGAACACCGTTGCATCGCTATATAGGAATGCACCGGACGTCTTATCATTTAGGCCACGACGACTTCTAGTGGTTTCATCACAACATACATCACTAATGCAGTTCGTTTTTTTTATTATTATTATATAACCGCACATAATAAATAGCACTAGAAGTTCAATGCAATTTTTTGTTTGAGGAGGGAAGGATTATTGCTGACTCGTTAGCCCCTCCTGATTCACCAAGACAGTTTGGCGAGCACAGGTTCAGCTGGGAAGATGGGATTAGCTAATAGCTGCCCAAGCGCCTCCGAAGAAAACTAACAACTGAAGGACAGCTGTTTCGTCATTCTACTACCTACGAACTCGGAATCGTGATCCGCTGAGAAAAAATGGTAAAAACTCTTAGGCTTAGGTTTGGTTTGGTAAATGGCTTAGATTTCTTGTCGAGCGAACTCTTCGACGAGTTCGGTGAGTACGATTATCGGGTTCCCTATGCCTTCTTGTAATGTTGGAGTTGCAGGCGTCTAATATTAGTGTTAGTGGATTAGGTGGATCTGTAAGGACGAGTCTAGAGTATCGACAGTGACTCCTCAATAAGCCGATTTCGCACAGTCTGTGGCGACCACGATGAGGGGTTATCGTGCTCAATTACCTTATCGAATTAGTAGGGTAAGTTAAAAATAACTGATAAAAATATATGATTATAGAGACATAATATAATGAGATAAGACCAATAAATGGCTTTTTAACTAAAAAAAATAAACTGATAGTAATCACATCACTATCGATTTGTAAACACGCTAGAACATAATTATTTTAACCTCTATAACCTCTAAGTAATCGTTCCAGTCACCAGTCCCCCTTTACCGACTCCCAATTTATTTTGAGCGTAATGCAAACATGAAACTACCTGAATTTATAAGCCATGATGTCATCCTTCATGGAGGTTCTTTATGTTTTTTTTTTGTTTTTTTTAATGCCCTTGTAGGCAAACGAGCATACGGCCTACCTGATGGTGAGTGGTTACCGTCGCCCATGGACTTTAGCAGTGCCAGAGGCAGAGCCAAGCCGCTAGCTACCGCTTACTACTCTCCACAAGCCTCGTTTGAAGAACGAAATGTCATAGCGCTCGGGAAACACCGTGGAGGGGAGCTCATTCCATAGCCGGATGGTACGTGGCAAAAAAAAACCTCTGGAAACACACTGTGGATGACCGCAGTGGCTCCAGGTATTATGGATGAACGGTGGCGGGCGGTGCGATGGTAAAAACGAGATGACGGTATCATCTTAAATAATTCCTCAGAGCACTCCTCATGGAACATACGGTACAAAATACAGAGGAAACCGAAGTCCCTCCGCATACCCAGAGGCTCCAAACGATCCATGCGAATGGGATTATCGATAGTCCGAACGGCCCTCTTCTGTATGGAGTCAAATGGAAGAAGCTGGTATTTGGGAGCCCCGGCCCAGAGATGGAAGCAGTACTCTACGCGAGGCCGGACTTGTGCTGTATAAAGCAAAAGTCTTTGTCCAGGCGTGAAGTACCGCTTCGCCCTGTTGAGGAATCCCACCATTTTGGACCTCTTCTGAGTACTGGTGGTAGGACCTCTTGTGAGTCCGCACGAGTAGGTACCACCGCCCCGCCTATTTCTGCCGTGAAGCAGTAATGCGTTTCGGTTTGAAGGGTGGGGCGTAATTATACTGAGACCTTAGAACTTATATCTCAAGGTAGGGTGGCGCATTTACGTTGTAGATGTCTATGGGTTCCAGTAACCACTTCACTTAACACCAGGTGGGCTGTGAGCTCGTCCACACATCTAGGCAATAAAAAAAAGTATATATATAGGTATATATAAACTGGACACTAGCAGCAATGGCATTGTAAAAAGAGAAGAGGAACTATACTTAAGTAAATGTTTTTGTTGAAATGTTGCGAAGCTAATACAATTAAAAACAATCTCATTTTATTAGTGACAACACTCCATCTATCCTTTTTTTTTTTTTTCGTGTAGAGGGTCGAGAACCTCCTACGAGGTCCCCGCGCAAAAGGGGCGCGCGGGGTATGTGAGACTCTACGATCTGCATGGTGTTGTGAGCAGACCGCGGGCCCAAGGATTTTAGGGCTCACCCACTAAACGACTCCCCTGCACTCTTACACCCGACGTCCGATCCCCTCCGAGGTCAGAACCCGGATGAGGTAGGGGGGCTACCGCGGTCAACACTACAACCAGACAACGCGGCTCACCCCAAGGACGCCTAGCCGACGGAGCCTTCGAGGCGAATCGAAGGCTCTGAAACGTCGGCCGTCTCGGTACGGCAGCCCAGACGGTGCCGCTGGTGTCCCGGAATACCCCGCTGGACCAGAACCAGCCTGCCGGGTCGGGACGCGATACACCGTCGACCGGTCGCTCTATTACTCCACGGCAGCGCGCTAGGGTGCTGGTAGCGCGCCGCGCGGCCTCTACCCCCTCAGGTCGCCCCTTGACCTTCACCGGGGGGACTCCATCTATCCTACTATAATAATATAAACGCGAAAGTTTTAAAGAATGTATGGATGTATGTTTGTTACTCCTTCACGCAAAAACTACTGGATGGATTTTGATGAAACTGTACAATAATCTAGCCTACACATCAGAATAACACATGAGCCATAATTTATAAATATATAGTGTGAATTACGTAGAAATATAACGATAAGTGTCAAGTAAGTAGGAAAAAAATCTGCCATCTGCAAGCTATTCTGGCGTGCGTCACAAAAATCGTTATAGTTACATGTATTTATTGTATAATGGAAATGAATAGCTTAAATAGTCAAAAAAGCCCACGACAGCATATATCTGTCTTTTGTGTGTAAGTTATTATAGCCAAAATAGTGAACCATAAATACAATCAAAATTGAAAATTTATTTCTAACGCACATTTGGTAGGTAGTAACAAATTGATGCTTACAAAAGAAATTTATTGCATCTGGTATTTAAAGTAGATAATCTTTGTCTTTTACACACACATAATTTGGACCATTAATTGAATAGTTATGACTACAAGCAACCGAGTGCGCGATACTATGAAAGATGAAGATAGGAAATTCAATAATCAATCATTAATAAATTATGGTTCCCGAAGCGAAACAAGGGCGCGTCGCTAGTACTCTATAAATTATTGATGTTGTTGACGATATGAGTGGCACAGTGGAGTTTTTATTTTGCTTACTTTTACTTTGCTTTTCCATCGCACTAGCGGTTTTCATCGACAGCAAGTCTTATTTTAAAAAGCCATTGTTGGACGGTTGAATTTAAGGGGATTGGGTTCTGTAGGCGATGAGGGGCTATTTAAAAACACGCTGCTTCATTATAATTATATTGCAGATAGTTTGAACACTGTTATATACACCATTATAAAATTATTATCTTTATATTTTTTATAAAACTATTACATGTTTCTCTTGCCGTGTCTAGATGAGAAGTTCTGTCATTTTCTTACGAGAATACAATCATCTGTTTTTTCATTTAAAATAATTCTAATATTCGAAATCTGTAATCATGTGTCAAGTGTTTCCTGCCATTACATTTATATTCAAACTCTAACAGCCATCAATAATCTACAACAAATGCATTATAGCATGGGACTTTTCGGCGGGAAATATTCCTATTTTACTGAGATTATATTACATCATATATCATCTCATCTCATTTCATTTGATTTCATCCCAGTTGATTAATGTCTCAAATTAATCATCTTCCTTTCATTTCATTTCATCATTTTTCATAAAAATAAGAAAATAAATTAAAATAAGACATGACTTAAAGGTCTTAGTTACAAGGTCATAAAATCCCTTAACAAAAAATTTTTAAGTGTATTATCTATGCATTCAACACTTGTGAAAATCTGCACTATTCCTGTTTTAATAACAAAGTAGTGTAAAATGGTCATTAAAAAGAAATAAACATTCTTACAGATTCGCATTATCTTTGGAAATAATCCCATTGTGTGATAAATACGATGTATGTGAAATCGCCGTTGTTGTCATGAAAATCTGTAATCACAATGTCTGAACCGATTGAGCTAGAATCGGACAATATTTGCAGTACTGAAGATGCATTTGAGGAGTTTCAATGTGTTTCCATGTCTGCACAACAAAAGTACATAAAGCTTTCAGATCTCGTATCACCGCAGTCTTCACCATGTGATTACAATTCAGACAAGTCCAATGAGAAAGATTGCGACGATTCAAAAAAAGCCGATACCTCGGCTAAAACGGATAAGGACATAAACATAGATATACCATCGCCTACTCAACAAGTTGGTAACCTGAAAAATTCAGGTTCGTCCAAAACATTGAATACATTTATTAATAAAGCTGTGGAATCAGATATTCAAGTTGGCAGTCGAAGATTGTCAAAAGCCGACAGTACAATTGGAGGCAGTACTGTACAGGAATCCCAGACTGTGTTAAATTATTGTAATAAGAGCAACCAACAGATTACTGAATCAGAAAATGTAATATGTGATAAAAATAGAAGTGTAATTGTTGGCAAAAAAAGAGGGAGGAAACCAAAACAAAAAATAATAGGAACTCGTAAACCGTCATCTCCACCACAAACATATTTACAAGAAGACATATTGTCTACAAATATGTTATCAAATCAGACAGAAGATGAAGAAAGCTTAGAAATTAATAAAAACCATCATAACAGACCCAGTAAAGATAAAATATTTGAAACAAACAAAACAACTACATCTGAAGCAGATTCTACTAATAACATTGAGATGTCAGCTGAGTGTACAAATAGCTCAAATGATTTGAAAATGAAAATATGTCCAAAAGCCAAGGAAAAGATATTTCCATCTCACAGTTATAAAGATCTTACGACACAACTAAGTAACCAAGACATTCGAAATCAACATAATAGCTCTAAGGTTGAACTAATTAGAAGAAAGCGAGGTAGACCTAAAAAAACACATGATGATAAAATTGTCAACACAACGACAAATGTTGATAAAAATCAGTCGGAAGTTATAATTGATGACTTACCAATCCTTCATAATACAATGTTAAAAAAGTCAATAACAGGTTCTGAAGATAAATTTGAATTGCAATCCTCTGATGAGCCTGAAGCACCAGTTATAAAGTCTCAAATAATAACACTAAATGATGAAGATGTAAATATAAGTGAAAATGAAAGAAAAAAAAGTCACTCAGTCACTGAAAATCAAGATTCTGATGGTGATGATGAGATAAGCTTGTTATCTTTGAAATCATTTGCTGCTCAACAATTGCTCGAGAATAGAGATATTTTATCACCGATAAATAAACCTGATGATCAGGAACAAAGTAACAGTACTAAGGTTGATACAATTAAAAAAAAAAGAGGTAGACCTAAAAAAATATATGAAAATAAAATGATAAATAGATCACTAAATGCTGATAAAAATCAGTCGGAAGCCACAAATCATGACTTACTGATTGCCCAAAATTCAACTGTACTCAAAACACCAATAATTTCTGAAGATAACCTGGAATTTAAATCCTCTGACATACTAAAATCACAAGTTTTACGCCCCCCAATAATAACACTAAATGATGAAGCCGAAATTTCCATAAACATTGAACAAAAAAATTGTAGCAAAGAAACAATCACTGAAAATCAAATTTCTGATGATGATGAGATAAGCTTGATGTGTCTAAAATCATATACACCTAAACAATTTCTCGATAATAAAGATATTACAACACCACTAAGCACACCTGATAATCAAGAACAATGTAAGAGCTCTAATGTAGAACCAATTAAAAAGAAACGAGGTAGACCTAAAAAAAAATATGAAAAGAAGACAACCAGCAGATCACCAAATGTTGATAAAAATCAGTCACAAGAGATAAATGATGGATTACAGATTGTTCAAAGTTCAACTGGGCCCAAAACATCGACCACATATTCTGAAAATAAAGAACCCTCTAATAAGTCTGAAACACAAGTTACAGAATCTCAGGTAATTACATTAAATGATGAAGATGAAAATATTCAATCTTACTTAAGTGAAAATGAACAAAAAAATTGTCCCATTGAGACTGAAAATCAAATTTCCAATAATGATGAGATATGTATGCTACCTCTTAATTCAAACAATACCAATATAGATACTTCTAAAAGTGATACTACCAAAATTTTACTTGAATCTGAAAAATCAGTAAATAATGTTACAAATGAAAGCTGTGTTCCCAATAGTGATGAAGCTGAACAGCCTTTAGTAAATGATACTTCAGGAAGGCCCGTGCGTAGAGTAATTCGAAAGCCAATACAATATGATGAGGAATCTGATGAAGATCCTTTTGCCAATGTAGAATTGTCTGATGATGATCTTACAAATGGAAAGAAAAATAGATATTATTCTGATGATGAATATATTCCCCATGGCACTAAAAAAAGAAAAGGTAAAGCTATCACTGAATCAGACTCCTCAGATAGTGAAATAATGGATGAAATAAAAAAAAAGAAGTCATCAAAATTACTAGATGGACCTTCTCCTAAAAAAAGAGGAAGAAAGAGTAAAGCAGAAAAATCTGCTGCTGAAGCTTGTAATGAACAAAATAAATACTGTAATGTCAGAATTGGAGACACTAATGAATGTTTAGAATCTTCGATAAATCAGTTCCATGATGATAATGACAACAATGAAACCTTATGTGAACTTAAATCTTCGAGTACCACAGATGAATTTGAAAGTTTTCTTGCCAAGAAAATAAAAGGGACTAGTTTAAAAATAAAAAAATTATCTACTTCTGATATGACTGATAATGCTCTAACAACCCTGCAAATACCTGTGCTTGATCCAAAAGAGATCAAAAAGTCCATTGACACTAGTTCTCAGACAGAAACTGCCCTTACAAAATCAGCTGCAGTCCAAACATGCCATCGATATAACCTACCCATGAAAGCAAACGTTTCTTTGTCTGAAGGTCAATCAGTAAAGGCTTGTGAATTTTTAAGTAATATTGTAAACACAACAGTCGAGCTCGGGCAACTTATGACACAGAAGTCGGAAGATTTCATAAAGAGGAAAATAAATGTAGAAAATGTTACTGATACACTAAAAATGGATTACTGTGTAAAGAAATCCTTCCTTTTGTTCAAATTGGCTAAACACAATCTCACACAAATGGAAGAGGATTTGGCTACACAATATAACACATTTTTAAAAGAGCAGAATCTCTCATGGGTTAGAGAAGAAGAAAAGGAAATTACTGCAAGTACAAAAGTGAGTGATGATAGTGATTGTGAAATTGTTGAAGAAATAGTACAGCCCACTAAGGAAGTTAAAAAAACAAAACCTCTATTCAATCCTAAAACCGTGTTCCTAAACAAAGAATTATCTATTAAAATTGCAAAAAAACCTGAGGAAAAGAAAAAAATACCAATAAAAGGACGGAATACACTATGGATTAGTAACACAGTGCTTTTAAAAAAAGTGAAACCTTCACAGTCTTTTTTAGCCCAGGACAGCCGAAATAAAAAACCTCCTGATCAAAACTATGTAACCAAGAAAATGGTTAGTGATTTTTTTCTAAATTACTATTACAAGAAAATCTATGAAGTCTGCAATGCAGTTGCATCAATGAACTGGATAAATGTAAATACAAGTTGCGAGTGCTACCATTTTGTAACAGGCATTAATTTCTCAGCCGCATCTTGTGTTAATGAATCTGAAGATATTACAACTATATCATCTACCAGTTTGGATATGATTGAAGAACCTTCACCAAAAAAATTTAATCCTGAAACACTATTTAAACTGTGTACTCAGGTTCTACAAAAGCAACTCCATAGTGCAGATAACCATTTAACTCTTGCAGAAAGTAAAAAATTTCAAAATCTCAGACAATGTGATTCCTGTGAGAATCCCAAAACCTTGTTTTGGTGTTGTATGGATTTACTACAGAAGTGTCTACAAAAAAATAACACCTCGGATTTGAACAATTTATCTAAAGAGAAAAGATTAGGTCATGAAGTTGTTTTAAAAAAAATTCAAAAGCCTCAGTCGTTATTACAATGTAGTTTACAAGTCCTATTACATACCAGTAACAATAATTTAGAGAGTAAAGAAGCTTTCCTAATGAACAAATCCACTACAAATGGCCTGAATTTTGTGATGAAAATAGAAAATATGAATAATTTTTCCAATGCAGAGCAGATGTATAGACCAAAAACATTACTATCATTTAGCTTAATTGCACTACAAAAGGATAAGGTCGGATATTTACAAAATCAAAACACAGCTATACTTCCAGATCCAGAGAGAGATAAAATACATTTTCATGGTCTACAGTATGCATGGTCTACACCAAAAACATTATTTAAATTGTGTATAGAAAAATTAGAAAATAAGTATAACAAAAGTGATGATTACAATAATAAAATTGTTAACAACTTGCAAACTAAAATAGAAATGAAAAATGCCTTATCCTTAAAATCTATATGCTACAATGTAATAGTGAAAATACTACAGCCAATAGATTCAACACCACAAGAAACTGATTTAACATCTACAAAACAAAATGTAAAATCGCTATTTTCACTGTGTGTTGAATACATACAGCAAATCCAAAAACGGGAACAACGTAAGTACAACATCGATTTTGATGAAGTACCTTCAGGGAATCCAAATGAATTAAAACAGATAGCATTTTTAAATCTATGCAGAACCTTCTTCAGTGATAAAAGTCTAGAACTGGAAAATATGAATGATCAAGTAGAAGCTTTTACTATAAATTCTATAAATACACTATCAGAAGAAGCTTACTTTAACATAGAGAGAACTTTGGATGTTCGAAATTCTGAATATACAGATGATTCAGATATATATGATGAAGCTACTGAATTTGATCTCAATGAAATTGAAGAAAACAATCTGAATGATGAGGAAAACAACTGGGTAACACATGTACAAATGCAAGAGCTACGCTCATGTTTCCCTACCGCTTCACCTGATCAAACTGCATGTAATGAATCAAACATCCAACCAGTATTTGCTCAGATTAAACTAGAACCCGAAGATGAGAATACTGAAAATATAGATATATCAATAGTGAAAACAGAATCAGTACATAATCCCGATGAAATGACAATAATTCCAGAAAGTATAATTAGTAAATCAGAGCTTATTGAAGCCCCAGATACTGAGGATGTAGAAATCAATAGAACAATTCGTTCTAGCTATGATGTCAACTTATTTGAAACCTTCGTTTCTAACAACGAACTTACGCAAGCTGTAAATGAAAAGGCAGACAGTATATTTAGTCAATCGGATTTAAAAGTTCAAAGACACCATGAACCAGATTATGACCAAGAGTGTGACACAAACAATAGCTTATTAATACCACAAACATATGAAACTATAAAGATTGGAAATGCGAAAAATTCTTTAATGGAGAGTAGTTCTGATGAAGGACCAAGCTCAAAGAAAGCACCTAATAAAAAAAAACTTGACAAACGACGAGCTAAGCAGAAAAAAGTTGATCCAAAATCTGTCAACAAAGAAAAAATATCTAAAGGAAAAGACAAACTTAATAGTGAAGTAGATACATTCACAAGAAAAATGAGAGAGAAAATTAGACAAAACCAAAAGAAAAATGACGTCTCTGACTCTGAAAGTGATATCCCATTAGACATTAGAAAAATCAAAAGTGACAAAAAGAAAAGTAACATTGAAAAAAATAACATAGATGAAACTAAACAATCCACAAATAAAGTACCTGAAGTTGAAATACAGTGTAACAATGTGGACTCTACCCAACAATTTCAAGACAACAATGAGTCATCCCAAGAACCTACTGAGATAGACTCATTCATTGGATTCTCTGCCACTGAACTGAATGAAACCACTGAATTTCAAAAATATTTGAAATACTTATATGATAAATTGATCCCTAACATCGCTGATGAAAAAAAATTAGGAACCTCAGTGATCACTCAAATAGAAAACAAACGAAGCTCTGTAACTCAAATAGAAAGTGAACAACCTAATAATAGACCTGAAACACCATTAATCAATTATGAAGACCCTGCAGAGGAAGTGCAGTGCGAGCCAAGTTTACATATATTTAATGATTTTATGGAAGACTTTCAAAAAACTAACGACAATAATCCGCACATGCTTAACAGTGCATGTAAGTATACAGAACGAAACGGCTGGCAATGTTACCCTATAAATGTTAAAGACACAAAACTCTACCAGCAAACACAAATCATTTTGGATAAACTACCAGAATCGTTTGTCAATGTGTACTTTCAATACCAGGAAATTGCAAGTAAGGATAATCAGGATCGGGAAATTGACAGGTAAATCAATAAAAATTGTAAATCTTGTTTGCTAAAATTGTAAACAAAATGTAAGAATTGTTAAATTTAATACCAGTATGGGCAAGTGTAATAGAAATTAATTATAGTGTGCCTCTGTGTGAAATGCGAGTGCATGTGTGCGTAAATACTCTATTTAGTAGTATAGATGTTACTGTATTATCTTGATGTTAAATTATGTAACTTGGTATTATATGCTTTTTGAAACCCTAAAATTATGTAGTTTCTTTCAATAACAAATTTTAAACAAATATTTCAGATTGACAGACTTAACCTCCTTAAACCGTATACCAAAAGAAATGACCACTAAATCTAGGCCCAGAAGCAAAGAATCAAAACATGAGAAAAACCAAGAGAATGTCTCTTCTGATGCAAGACTACCGCATTTAGAACAACACGAGCTTAGTCCTTCAGATGATGATGTTGATGCTGATGACAGCATAGCGCCTGCAGTGAGTATGAATAACTAGAGAAAAAAACTAGAGATTACAAATTTACTTTTTGATATTATACAAAGTGTCATTATTTATGTGACCCTGACACCGAGCCTGTCTCAGCCCTTATTAGGTAAATTAAAGAGATAATCTTTTAAAAAAATGTAACACATTTTCTAAAGCATTGAGTACCAAATTGAGTACCAAAAGTTGAAATATGCTTTTTAGGTATGTTCACGAGAGCTTACATAAGTGAGTGATTTGAGAGATTTTATGATCGCCGTTTTTACCCTCGCACCGCCCGCCACTGAAGTAGAGTTCAGCCATACTACCTGGAGCCACTGCGGTCATCCACAGTGCGTTTCCAGAGGTCTTTCTTGCCGCGTACCATACAGCTTTGGAATGAGCTCCCCTCCACGGTGTTTCCCGAGCGCTATGACATGTCCTTCTTCAAACGAGGCTTGTGAAGAATATTAAGCGGTAGGCAGCGGCTTGGCTCTGCCCCTGGCATTGCTGAAGTCCATGGACGACGATAACCACTCACCAACAGGTGGGGCATATGCTAGTCTGCCTACAAGGGCAATAAAAAAAAAAAAAAAAGATTGACTAATGAGTATTATGATTTTCTTATAGATATGGCTAAGAAAAATCCTTGAGGGCCCCAAAACCAATTAATTTTTAATTTTAAGATGCCGACCCGCAACGTGGAAAATAATATAGCCAAGGATTCTCTAATGAATGACAGCGGTGATGAGGATAAAACAGAATGTATAGAAGAAGAACCAGAACACATTTCAGTCCCAAAGAGACCCGGTCCGAAGTCAAAGACTGTCCCAGAGAGTAAGGCTGAGAAATCAATAATGTTGACAGCTGATAAAGTAATGAATAAGGAGTTGAATCTTCTGAACACTCCGGCCGTGATCCAGGAAGAACCGATAGCTACAACAAGAAAAGGCCCTGTTACAAGAAATAAATCGGTAAGTAAGAGAAGGAATTGCTTTTGTTCAAGGGCAGTTATGCCACTTCAGTGTCTTAAAGTCAACAATGAGTGATGGGTTTATCAAATAGGTGAACTAGTTTGCCCAACTATCAGATTTTTTTTTATTGCCTTTGTAGGCAGACAACAAAAATACACATTTATAGGGTTAATTTCAGGAGCAAACTCACTGATGCCTACTTATCTATTATGTATCTTTTATTTTTATATGAGAATTTTCTGCAATTATTACTAGATTTATAAGAGGTTTTTTTTTATTTATTGCTTAGGTGGGTGGACGAGCTCACGGCCCACCTGGTATTTAGTGATTACCGGAGCCCATAGACATCTACAACGTAAATGACGCTATCCACCTTGAGATATAAGTTCTTAGGTCTCAGTTTTTACAGTACAACAGCCGCCCCACCCTTCAAATCGAAACGCATTACTGCTTCACGGCAGAAATAGGCAGGGTGAAGAAGCAATTTAAAGAAGAAACTATTGAAAAATGTTTCAGAATCCAAAGCCGAAATCTAGCCCCAACCAACGAGGTGTAGCTACCAAAGAAGACTCTTCATCCGAGGAAGAGAAACTCTGGGTGAATACCAAAGAGAAGCTCCTCAAAAGATTGGAGAAGAAAGATAATGCCAGGTTTGTTTTTATTTATGATTCAGTCAAGCATAATTGAAGTCAAATAGTTGCAAGCTATAACCTGGTAGTGGTGTTCTGCTAATTGGTGATACTTCTTGTGTTTCATTCTTGATGACGTAGGTATGGTAATGTTTTTTTGTCTGTTACTATATACAGTAACTTCTGAGATCCAAAAGTTGGAGATTTATAAGATTATAAAGATTGAAACATTAAAAAACATTCAACGGCCGAGGCAAGCACGTGCACATCTATATACTGAATACCAAAGATTGACATAAAATTAAATATTGACTATGTGATAGAATCTAATAAATCATTGAAAGCCATTACCACTATTACAATAAGGTGATAACTTTAGGTAACTCAAAAACAAGTTAAATTAAATATTCACAAAAAAAGTTATTATTATTATTTTTTATTGCATAGATGGTTGAACGAACTAACAACCCGCCTGATGTTAAGTGAATAGCGGAGCCCATAGACATCTACAACGTAAATGCCGCCATCCACCTTGAGATATGAGTTCTAAAGTCTCAGTATAGTTACAACGGCTGCCCCACCCTTCAAACCGGAACGCATTACTGCTTCACGGCAGAAATTGGCGGGGTGGTGGTACCTACCCGTGCGGACTCACAAGACGTCCTACCACCAATAACAACAAAGGCATAATATAACGTTTTGTTAACATGTTCACAGCGTGGAAGACGCCAAACGTGCCAAGCTTGTGAATGAGTTCATAGAGCGGCGCGGAGACGGACTCGACTCGAGGAAGCGGACGCGCAATCCGCGCTATCGGAAATCTAAAAAGTTCTTACTGGAACGAGAAAAACAACTTAAGTATGTCAATTTTGTTGGTGTAACATAAATTTTTTTTAAATAAAACTTCTTTAGACGCGTTGAGAGTAAAATTTAACTCGCCAATGATTCGTTACGGGTAGAGATAAAATATATAATTTAGAACGAGCGAGAGCGAGAAAATAGATGAAGCGTCTCACGGACCAGTCAACTTTTGAAAGAGGGAGAAAGCGAGCTAAGTCGTTTATCTTATACACATGCTGTTTACGGGCGTAGGCCACTAGATGGCTTGTTATTAGTTTCTCATTGCTCCTATAGATGGTAGTAACATATTAACTACCTTACATTTTATTGTTGATGAAGTAATTAAAAAAATATATGTTTCTATAATTTAAATATATAAATGGTGAAGGGGTCGTTTCTCATATACACAAAATTCTCTATTACAAGAGAAATTTTATTTAAGGCTAAAAATTGACGAAAATCACAATACTACACCGCAAAAGTTTCACTTATTTCACGTGCAGCAAGTTGCACGCGCATCGTTTGTTTTATTCTTGTAGGTAGACGAGCATACGGCCCACCTGATGGTGAGTGCTTACTGTCACCCATGGACGTCAGTAACGCCAGGGACAGAGCCAAGCTGCTGCCTACCGTTGAGTATATGTGCACCATTCGATAATGTCACTATATTTAGATTAGACAACATTTCTCTGTCTCACAGTTCGAAATATGGCCGAATCGTATACAGGCATCCGTCGCTTAAATAAATGAAATAGGTTTTGTTTCTCTTCAGAACCCTGTCGAAAGAATTATATGGGGAAGCCGAGGGCGGACCAAGCGGGAAGGGCTGTGGAAACCATTTATTCAAAGGTCGCAGAAACATTAGAAAGGTACCGAGATCAATACTTGTTTTCTCAAATGTATGTGGGAAACGGAACGTTTTCGAGTAAAAGGGATGAAAGGGACGGAAGGGAAATGGTCAAGATGGCGATCAGGCATAGCAAGAGTGTGAACGATTACGACGTGTTATATAATAAATTTTGTTACTCTTCCAAAAAACTACTATTTACTTTGAGCAAATCCCACATGTATTTTGTATTATTTAGACAAACGTTACAAAATGTATATGATATTACGTTCAGGTGATCGACAAAAAATCGCTGACCCATAGAACTGTGCTGGCCAACGTAGAGGAGTTGGAGAGGAAACGGAGACTGCTTGCGAGACAAACCAGGCTGGTGAGTTACTGATATTATAATATTTAACTAACGTTTAAGACGAAGGTTCGAGAGCTGTTTCTCAGAGAGTTAGCAGAGTCATCTAATTGATAATATTCGTTTATATATGTTTTTATATGTATATATTCATGTATATGTATATATTTATGTATATGTATTTAAGTACGAGTATTTGTATCTATAAATATTATGTATGTTATAATATATACACATATGTTTAAGTAATATCACCTTCACACTACACCTACCAAGGTTCATCTCTGCACTCCCCTAAGGTAGACTGTTAGAGAATGCCTATGGCATTAAGTCCGCCTTTACACTTTCTAGTATATGAAGTTATAAATAAATAAATGCTGTAATGTGTGCACTTTGACTTAAGTGTCTAGAGAAGTATTCGTACCAAATCCATCGTACTGGTACTATGACAATTAATTAATGGTGGTAGGACCTCTTATGAGACCGCTCGGGTGGGTACCACCACCCCGCCTATTTCTGCCGTGAAGCAGTAATGCGTTTCGGTTTAAAGGGTGGGGCAGCCGTTGTAACTATACTGAGACTTTTGAACTTATATCTCAAGGTGGATGGCGCATTTACGTTGTAGATGTCTATGGGCTCCAGTAACCACTTAACACCATACGAGCTGTGAGGTCATCCAACCATCTAAGCAATAAAAAAAAAAATATTTTTTTTTAAAATATAAAATCACGAAATAACGAAAATCCGAAATTACGATATTATGATATCACTAGTTAATGGTTTCTCGTATAATAGTTTCCATCAAACATTATTATCAGTAGGTACAAAAAATGTATTTTCTTCCAGAGAGAACATCTTGGTTGCGAAGAGGATGTGAACGTGATGGTGATCAATGACGAAGTCTGCCTGGAGTACGACTTCGAGGAGAACCGTCCCGTCGTCACCATACACCCCTTCTTCACGAAGGTCATGAAGGCTCACCAGGTCCGCATGTTTGTTCAGTAGCCGACACGAGCCAACAGATGCATTTCCGTATTGATACCGGCGAGCGTGCAAGGTCGCATACCCGATCCTGTAGACAGAATGGTAAACAGTCGACGTCGCCCAAAACACGTCATTTCGGATTCTCCCGATCTATTGACGGTGCTTTTAGGTACACCGGTCACCGTCCTTTTAACCCGTTAATATTAACCCATAGACACAGCCCAATGAGTTTCTCGCCGGATCTTCTCAGTGGGTCGCGTTTCCGATCCGGTGGTAGATTCTGCGAAGCACGGCTCTTGCTAGGACTAGTGATAGCAACACTCCGGTTTGAGCCCCGTGAGCTCACCTACACGTAAGAGTAAAGCTGAAATAGCCTCTCAAGGCTATAGGCATAGATAAACAAGAAGAAAATGTGCAAGGTCGTTCTGCGAAGCAACGCCTTCTAGTTTCAAGTCTGAGATACCTGGTGCGCCCATGAGACTTCCAAGGGCTGTTGCCCATAGGCGACGTAACGTCTACAGGACGTGTACACACGCGATGTAACTCAAACTTTCAATGAGATATATGGGGTATTCTCTCACCGGCCACATCCTATATGATGTACTATATTGTTGTTGTCAAACCAAAATCTGCTAGGTGCACTTTTTGAGATTTTTACTTTTTGACTTTTTCGTATAGTTCACAGCCCTATCTACCGTTTAAAAAAAAACTGTTATGTGTCTATAGCCTTAATATTTATCTATAGTTTTCATTTGATATAGTTCTTAAAAATTCACCTTCATATAAAATTTTATACGAAAAAATTTTTACTCGTTAAATCAACATAGAGTTTTTGCAAATAGCAGATTTTGGTTTGACAGCGATGATATGTTATTTTTATCGCTGTTGGAGTTTCATCATCAATTCTTTAAAGAAGTTCTCACATGAAAAATGTATGTAGATATGTGATCAACATACTTAAGTGTAAATCAAATCAAATCAAAAAAGTTTTTATTCAACATAGATGAAAGTACATACTTTTTGAACGTCAAAAGAGCTACCGCCAATTCACAAGAACTAGCCTCCGTCCTGAGAAGAACTGGCCAGAAACTCAGCGGACATGTCTTTGTTTTTAAATATAAGATTATTTTTTAGATATTCATTTTTACAATAAGTATTATAACGTAACCATTATTGCAATATTGAAATTCCCGGAGCGAGCAACTCATTCCCACTTTGTGCAATCTTCTAGATAATCATTGACTTTATAGTAAGCTTTATTGCACAGATCGCCTTGATCTGTGCAATAAAGCTTACTATAAAGTCAAAGCGTAAAGTGTATTTTCTGATTCGCATTAAAAGTGTACATTTTCTAAAAATATTCGAAATTGAGTTAATATGCGTAAACATTTGGTATCATCAGTATTTTTCTTACAAATAGCGTAGTTTAGTTTTTTTTTTTACTTTGCTCATGTTTTGACTACTATTAACAAAATTAATACATAATTTTATCTTACTTTAAAAGACAGTTAATGTAACTGGTGAAAAATAAAAAATAAACGTTGCAAATATGATTAATATTAAAAATATTGCATGTTAAACCTTTAAAACACTCCTGTATATTAAGGTTTGAGATTATACAGTTTTAATGCGAGAAGACGAGATGTTCTTTAATAGTTTTCTTAAACCTATGTACATTATTTTGACAGTACGAAGGAGTGAAGTTTATGTGGGACGCTTGCTTCGAGAGCGTGGAGCACATCGCGGCCGGGAAGCCGGGCAGCGGCTGCATCCTCGCGCACTGCATGGGGCTCGGCAAGACGCTGCAGGTGCTGGCCCTGCTGCACACTGTGAGTCTACACCGCACTAACGTCTTATAGTCTGCGAACTACAAACGAGAGTCAAATACAAGCCTGAAGTAAACATAAAACTATCTATACTAATATATAAATCTACAGTGGTTTTTACTATTCCGTTCCGTTCCGTTATAACTACTGAACCGTGCACCCGATTAACTTGAAACTTGGTATTCATGTAGAAAATGCATGTAGGTACTTAATGGATAGGCTAATATTTATATGAGTGTTGGACTCCCTACACCAGTTGCGGGGGCGTTAATGATGAGAATCTTTGTGGGGGTGAGTAATAATAATGTTAATTTTAAATGCCCAGCGAAGCGGACGGGTACAGCTAGTTCATTTATAAAACTAAACATACATCCTTTTAGTTCTGTTTTTTTTTGTCAATCATGGATCTAGCCATCAACGGCAGATGAGAATAAAATTTTTTTGAAAGGTGAAATGTATGGATCGTATCTCTTCTGAGTTTCTTGCCGGGTCTTCTCAGTAGGTCGTGATTCCAATCCGGCAGTAGGTTCTGGAAAGCAATGCTCTTACTAGGGCTAGGCTTGGCAAACTCTTCCAGGCTTGAGCCCCGTAAGCGCATACACGTCCGGTGAAGCTAACGTCGAGGTTACTAGCAATACCTAGGCAAAACAAAGGGCCTGGCTAGAATGTGTGGCCTTATCCAATCCTGAAAATGGTTTTAATGGAGTATTCGTTCGTATTCGTATCAATAACAATAACGTATATTCTGTGTATTGTTCTATAACAAGGTACTGACGCACCCCGGGGTCGGTATCCAGCGGGTGCTCGTGTGCTGCCCTCTATCGACCGTGCTGAACTGGGTCGACGAGATCCACAAATGGATCGGGCCTGTCACCAATCAAATAAAGGTATCTAAGCAAAACTTTTTTCACGTACAACGTATAGTACTTATCAAAAAGTAAATAATCAAATTAACAAAAAAAAAAAAACACCTTAACTGTTGGTGACCACATAAACTGTACAGACTGGCACAAATGAGTGACAAGTCTAACTCTTGTAGCGCCCATGTGCAATCATTACTCCAGCGCCCTCTAGTGAGCGCGCGGTCAAAATGGCATAGGAACAACAATTTCATTGAAAGTACCGAGGCCGGCGCCCCCTGACACCCCAGAAATCATCTCTCAAGGTGGGTGGCGGCATTTACGTCCAATACCGGGTTGCCCGTAAGCTCGTCCACCGTTCCTAGGAATGATTAATATAAATTACCAATACTAAAATATGCAAAACGTTTTTCAAGCCGCGTAAATTGAGAAAGAAACTTCAGGTAATTAATTCTGATAAGCTTAAATTATCTGAAACTAAATTCTAATATTGATTGTTGTTGTTGCAGTGGTAATGAAATTTAAGTTTGCTTATTTACTTTTAACTTACAAAATCATCATTGAAGCCAATTAATACTTGATACTATTTAAATGATAATTATCCAAGTTTTATGTTATACTCGTGTAACGTTAATATTACAAAAAAAAAAAAACAAAATGTGTGCAATTCACACGTGGTAGAAGTGAAACCTTCCAAAATTAAAATACAATTATCCTAAACGTCTTAAGTATATGTAAAATTTTGTCATTAGTAAATAATTGTAAGGTAGCGCCCTCTGTGAATTCATATTTTAATTTCACGTATAATCCTAAATTAAAATTCACTACAAGAGCTTTCATACACACGTTAGTATTAAAAAATCTCACAGATGGCGCTGTATTAAATAGTATGTATATTTCTGTCTCATTCTTTGTATTTGTGTCTCTTACCTGTCGCTTTTTTCCGTTGCATCCGGTTTGAAATCACAACGATTCTAAATAAGTTTTCACTTCAAAAACCTTATTTCAATTCCAACAGGTATTCGAACTGTCCAAACTGAAAAAGACATACGAGAGAGCATACCAACTTGAGGACTGGTACAACGGCGGCGGTATCTTTATAATCGGCTATGAGCTGTTCCGGAGTCTGTCCACGCTCGACCCTGAGCTGGACGACATCCGGCCGACCATCGTCAACAAGATCCGCACCGCCCTACTGGACCCCGGGCCCGACATCATCGTGTGCGACGAGGGGCACCTGCTCAAGAACGACTGCTCCGTGCTCGCCGTCGCCATGAGCCGCGTCGCCACCCGGCGCCGGATAGTGCTCACCGGAACTCCCATGCAGAATAATCTAAGGGAATACTTCTGCATGGTCAATTTCGTCAAACCGAATCTGTTGGGGACGTACTCGGAGTTTTCCAATCGGTATGTAATATTGACTTTGTAAGCAGACGAGCATACTGCCCACTTAATGATTCCATCACTCATGGATGTCAGAAACGCAAGGCCCACTGCCAAGTCGTTGCCTACATCTAAGTACCGTCCGCAAGCCTCGTTTGAAGAAGGACATGTCATAGTGCTCTGAAAACACCATGGAGGGAAGTACACTCAGAACCGGATGGTATGGTGGAATCAGCGGTTGCAGATAAAATGGATGATCTCTGCTCCGGTGGTGGGAGGTGCGACAGTAAAAAGGAGATGGAGAGATCATTTCGACCATTTCCTCAAGACACGTCCCATGGAATGTATGATACAAAACGCAGAAAGAACCGAAATCCCCCAAGTATATCTTGCCTCCCCATTGCTGGACCCAGGGTCGCGGGTTCGATTCCCACATCAGGAAAACATTCGTTGTTTGTTCTTTGCATTTGGGTATTTAATATCTATGTAATATGTAACTATAATTGAGACCCTTAGAACTTATATCTCAAGATGGGTGGCACATTTACGTTGTAGATGTCTATGGGCTCCAGTAACCACTTAACACCAGGTGGGCTGTGAGCTTGTCCACTCATCTAAGCAATAAAAAAATAAAAAAAAATCTAATTGCAATGTATATATTTATACGTTCGTAAGTATGTATATCAGTTACTGGTTCAAATAGTATATAGGGAAACCTGTCGGTCGGGGCCGCGTGAGCGAGTATGACTTGTCTGCGATTATTATATTATATCTCTCCATATTCACTAATAAAGACAATTAACGTAAAACAATATTAATTGTTACAATATGTCCAAGCATCTTGCATTCACACATTTGTGTCTGTAAGTGTGTCAATAAAGAAATATTGATTTATTTTTAAACTATCGAGTTGATAAAGCAATGTAGGCGTTTTTTATAATGACGAATAGTTGATGGAGAATTTTAACAATTGTTTTTTTTTTTCTTTCTAAACAGATTCGAAAATCCCATAATGAACGGTCAACACCGCGACTCGAGACAAGAAGACATAAGACTTATGAAAGCTCGCACGCACATCCTGCACAAAGTTCTCGAAGGATGCCTCCAAAGGCAAGAAGCTTCGGTGCTCTACCCGTATCTGCCCAAGAAACATGAATACACCGTTTTTATAGCGCTGACGCAGTGCCAGTGGGACCTGTACAAGCACTACCTGCTGCACTACGGGAAACAAACAAAGAACAGCATCCTGAAAGACTTCCACATCCTGCAGAAGATTTGGTCGCACCCTCAGGTGTTACACATATTTCAAACTAAAGCCAGAGACGAGAAAGCCAAAATTAAAGGTAACCGATGATATGAGTAACCAATATTAATTTAAAGGTTATTTTATCATTATTATTAGTTTAAAGGTCACTCTAATATTAATTTAAGGGTCACTTTAATAATAATTTAAAAGTTAATTTAATACAATGCAATAAAAATTAAATAAATTTAATAAAGCAATAATAAAAAAGATACATTAAAGATAAGAGCTAGTATTAATGCCGGCAGTCCGACCAACCGAACGTTGTTAGGAATCTTCATTATACAGGACTACCTTGAAATTGTCGTTAGTTCGATTCAGGTCATCGCCAGAAATATTTTTATAAGACGCGTATGTATTGTATGTAAATAATAAATTTTAAATTTATACCTTGAAACAATGCGTATTACAATTGATATTCATATTCGTTATTACTTGAACCCGTGCACAAGCTCGCGGCTTACAGGGTGCTACATGAGACATGAGGTCTGTGTCTCAGTTGAATAGTGTAATGGCTCTGCCATCCTTCAAATTGGGACGCATTACTATTACGCAATAAAAAATAGGTTTATCAGTATTATTTACCAGAACGCGCACTACCATGACTAAGAAATAAAGTATAAGGTACACATATATATCTGTTGATAGAAGCAATTGTTTATGGATTTGCTCCTAATCGTTAGTACAGAATTGGTTAATGCTTCGCAGCCGAGAAGTTGGAGGACGATCTCGCCCACGAGGACATAACATCGGAGGACATCAAGCCAGCGGAAACAGAAGTGTGGTGGCTCCAGTACCTCGATGGTGGGAAGATGCTGGACAGCCTCGAGAGCTCCAACAAGTTTGCTGCCGTGTTTCAAATATTAGAGGAGTGCACGGCGCTTGGAGATAAAGTGTGAGTACGTTACATGTACTAACTATAGTATTGTTACGCGCTGGGGTTCGGGATAAATAAATGCTCCACCAAAGTACAACTTAAAACTGTATTTATCACTTAGAACACACACAGAACACTTTAAAATTCTCAATTTGCTTCAAGTAATCCGTTCGCTGTTTCGCTTCGAGTAGTTACTCCGATTACTAACTGACTGCGTGCCATCTCTGCAACGCTTTTATAGCCGATATCACATCCCTAGAATTATCGAGAATATTCCACACAAGTCGAGTATTGTTTTTCCGCTACCTGACAATAGATGGCGTTGTACTTCTCGATCGTTCTACGTGCTACTAGATTTTTCGATATTCGTTTGGCTTTTCGACGATAGATGGCGTTACTCTTGCTGGCGTAACAGTATCTACCGGGTAGATATCATAGAATACAAAACATTGAATAGATTCCTGAAGGCCGCTAATGACATTTTGAAGATAAGTTTGCATATATACAAGTTCCGAATAATAACATTCGGGCTGTCGGTGGCCAAACTTTTGTTTTGTTTTTTATCCTCAGAAGTAACTAAGTTTTCATTACGGTGATATTTTGTCGTTTCTGAAAATCCATTCGTATCATATAATGACATTAACCATATTGAGCAAAAAAACAAATTTTATAATTTTGAATCAGGGTCAATCCAGTACTTCTCCCATACTTTCCTACTTATACATATTTGTCGTAGGAACCGCGTTATTAAGACCACCATCAGAGATCACAGGGGTGAATCTAGCTATTCACCCCTGTGATGTCTGATGATGGTCTGATGGTGATCGAGTTAAGAGAAATATTGAGTACACAAAACACGTTTGCTGCTTTAAAACAATTTAAAAAAATTCTCTAGTTAGCAAACGAGAACAAATGACAGTTCTTAGGATGAAGGAACCGCTCTTCAAGAAGGCTGGTTCCTAAGTGAAATGACGTCTATGCGCGCCTCCATCGGCTATGCTCTTTCGTAGCATGAAATTAGCCGAGCTCCGACGACATTACGTACGATTTTTACTGGTGGTAGGACCTCTTGTGAGTTCGCACGCGTAGGTACCACCGTCCTCCCTATTTCTACCGTGAAGCAGTAATGCGTTTCGGTTTGAAGGGTGGGGTAGCCGTTGTAACTATAATGAGACCTTAAAACTCATATCTCAAGGTGGGTGGCACATTTACGCTGTAGATATCTATGGACTCCAGTAACCACTTAACACCAGATGGACAGTGAGCTCGTCCACCCAAGCAATAAAAAAAATAAAAAGAAGTGTTGTCACCTCTCGGGAATCGTGCTGCGCTTCGTTTTGCTACCAAACTAATGACAGTATCCGACATTTGTAATAGTTGTAATATAAAAATGACAATCAAAATTTCAGTTTAATATTCTCAACGTCGCTCTTCACGCTGGATGCCTTGGAGTACTTCTTACGGAAGATCAAGAACTGGAGTCTGGGTCACGACTACTACCGTCTCGACGGATCGGTCCCCCCGGAGGTCCGACAGAAGTGGTGCAGAGAGTTCAATGCCGAGAACAACATTAAGACGAAGTAAGCAAGCACCTTATTGTCGTTAAATTATATTAATTCGTAATATACATCTATAGTATTGCAATAAGTGCTTTTCAATCACGTCTCCTGATTTGAGCAACTTAGAGAAACTCACATCGACTGTAATCTTGAAATACTTGACAAGTTTAATTGACAAGTGACGGATGTCTTAAATGTGTAGTAAGAGAGTTAGTTACATTACGAAGATGCAAGTTTCCTTCGCAATTTGTAAATTTAATATCTAGAGTACATATGTATGTAGTACTAATAATATGTGTATGGATGAAGGCTGCATCGCAAAATATATTGATCAATTCGATTAATTAAAATAGACTATACCGGCTTTTTATATTAATCAATTCGATTTTTTTTTATTGCTTAGAGGGATGGACGAGCTCACAGCCCACCTGATGTTAAGTGGTTACTGGAACCCATAGACATCTACAACGCAAATGCGCCACCCACCTCGAGATATAAGTTCTAAGGTCTCAGTATAGTTACAACGGCTACCCCACCCTTCGAACCGAAACGCATTACTGCTTCATGGCGGAAATAGGCGGGGTGGTGGTACCTACCCGTGTGGACTCCCAAGAGGTCCTACCACCAGTAATTACGCAAATTATAATTTTGCGGGTTTCATTTTTATTACACGATGTTATTCCTTCACTGTGGAAGTCAATCGTTAACATTTGTTGAGTACGTATTTCATTAGAAAAATCGCTGCGGGATTCGAACACCGGTACATCGCTTCATACGAATGCACCGGACGTCTTATCCTTTAGGCTACGACGACTTCAAAATTAACATCGACTAGACCGGTTTTTTGTAGGTAAATTTTCGATATCTAAATATATAACTATCGATAGCTTAAAAAAAACTAAGGATGCCTTTCCATCGATATCTAAAGATGTCTTTGCATATTTAAGGATGACGTAATTTTGATTAGCATGAAATGACAGTGGTAATAACGTAATGCTTGGCTGTGAGCGCAGACTGTTCCTGATCTCGACCCGGGCGGGCTCGCTGGGGCTCAACATGACGGCGGCCAACCGGGTCATCATCCTGGACACGTCGTGGAACCCGGCGCACGACATACAGAGCATCTTCAGGGTCTACCGCTTCGGGCAGAGGAAGGACTGCTACATATATCGATTCGTTGCCATGGTAAGTGTACTTTACTTTGCTATCCTCCCCACTTCGACTTCGATAAAGCAGCACGACACGAGAACCCTCTCATCGTGGACGCCGGTAACTACATTCCCGATTCTGCGGACAGAACGGAAAGCAGTCGACGTCGCCCCAAACACGTCATTTCGGATCCTCCCGATCCACTAACGGTGCTTCTAGGTACCTCAAGCACCGGTCACCGTTCTCGTCGAACCCGTCGCTTGCGACGAAGGGCTCGGCGAGCGAATTAACCCATAGATAAAGCCCACTGATTTTCTCGCCGGATCTTCTCAGTGGGTCGCGATTCCGATCCGGTGGTAGATGCTGCGAAACGCGGCTCTTGCTAGGGTTCGTGTTAGCAACGTCGTCAGGTTTGAGCCCTGTGAGCTCACCTTCTAGTTAGGTTACGCTGATATAGCCTCTCAAGGCTCTCAGCTTAGGTAAGAAAAAAAAACTATTCTCCATGGTTCCAAGCCGGTTTCGGCAACGGTGAAAGTTTTCTGTTTATTAACTTAAAAGCTAATGTCAGCGCCTCTCGTGCGCTCTAATATGGCTACGGTAGCCTATCTTGTTCTTAAACGTGCGCAAACCGAAGCTACACGTAAGAACACCACCGACGAAGTTGTAAAAAATTGTGGAAGGCGGTTTATTTTTCAGTTTATTTCGTCTGTCGTCCAGTTCACGTTATATATATAAAATATAGACGGGTGAAAGGCTATTTGGTTTGAACGACATTTTTAGAATTAGTATCTAGACTCTAGATACACTTAGTGTACACTACATATTATTATACGGTTGAACTCGAAAAACATGCAATTAAATTTCAAATAATATTCAATTATTAATTTTATTCAAATTTTAAATTACTAATTCCATGTGACTAACGCGAGTTATGTGTTATAAATATTTCATACACTTATCCTTGTAACTGTTAACACAAGGGAAAACAAAAGGCGTTGAATGTGACACGCGCGGCCACTAAACGTGTCTCGTGTTATCCAGGGAACAATGGAACAGAAGATATACGAGCGGTCGGTGACGAAGCAAGCGGTCGCCTGCCGCGTCGTGGACGAGCAGCAGATAGAGCGCCACTACAACAGCGCCGAGCTCACGGAGCTCTACCGGTAACTAGTGCCACTCACATTACCTTGTACTTAATACTGGTGGTAGGACCTCTTGTGAGTCCGCACGGGTAGGTACCACCACCCTGCCTATTTCTGCCGTGAAGCAGTAATGCGTTTCGATTTGAAGATAGTACTTAATGATATGCAGCGGCTTGGCTCTGCCCCTGGCATTGCTGACGTCCATGAGCGACGGTGACCACTTACCATCAGGTGGGCCGTATGCTCGTCTGCCTACAAAGGCAATAAAAAAAAGGGCGGGGCAGCCGTTGTAATTATACTGAGACCTTAGAACTCATATTTCAAGGTGGGTGGCGCATTTACGTTGTAGATATCTATGGACTCCAGTAACCACTTAACACCATGTGGGCTGTGAGCTCGTCCACCCATCTAGACAATAAAAACAAATAAAAAATTTGCATTCGAATCCCGCCAGCATGTACCAATTTTTTTAATGAAATAAGTACTTAACAAATAAATGTTCACGATTGACTTCCACAATGAAGGAATAACATCGTGTAATAAAAATCAAACCCGCAAAATTATTTCAGTGGGCTTTTTGGAGGATCCCGAGAAGCTACATCCAACGTCGTTGATTGAGTTTCCCACATTTGTGCACTTTCACAGATACTAAACAGTTAATAAACCACCGTTATTACGCATTTAAACCTGAAGAAACACTAAATAGTCCTAATAAAACAAATCACACAACTTCACACCTCGCGTTCCCGCCAAAAAGTCTCTCACTTTGATTGGGTTTTTGGCGGGAAACGCGGGAGTGAAGTTTTGTGATTTATTTTATTTTGTTTTTTTAATGTTTCTTCAGGTTCAGATGTGTAATAACGGTGGTTTATTAACTGCTTAGTATCTGTGAAAGTGCACAAATATGGGAAAATTAAACAAAACCGCTGAACGTAACTTCTCGGGATCCTCCAAAAAGTCCACTGAAAAAGTCTCAGTAAACGACCACCATTTTACTGAGGTTATGTTTCACCCCATGTCATTTCATCTCATTTCGAATGATTTCATTTCATTTCATGCTGTTTCATATTAATCAACTTCATTTCATTTCATAAAATCATTTTTCATATAAAAAAATATATAAAAGATTAGGCTGTATGGTATGATACCTTTGCCTTTCCAATTGGAAAAATAAAACTACTACTACTACCAATATAGATGAGTGTATGTGTGTGTGTATGCGCAGGTTCGACGAGACAGGCGCGAGCGTGGCGGGCGGCGTGGCGGTGGGCGTGCAGGACGTGGCGCTGCTGCGGCTGGCGCGCGACGCCGCCATCCACGCGGTGCACGAGCACGACTCGCTGCTGCGCGGCTCCACCGAGCCCGGCCTGCCCGAGCACGAGCGCGCCGCCGCCTGGATGCAGTTCCAGCAGGAGCACGCGCACAAACGTAACCGCACCATATAACTATACTTGAGACCTTAGAACTTATATCTCAAGGTGGGTGGCGCATTTACGTTATAAATGCATATGGGCTCCAGTAACCACTTAACACCAGGTGGGCTGTGAGCTCGTCCACTCATCTAAGCAATAACAAAAAAAAACATCTCTACACTTAGAGAGAGAGAGAGAGAGAGTATTATTTATTGTACACCAATAAAAAAAAATGTGTGGTGTCGTGGGACACCGGACAGGAACGATGTTCCTTATTATAAAAATATTAATTTTAAGTTCTATTCGAGGTATAAAGAAAATAAAACTGGAGGTTTCGCAACAACCCACGGTCATTCGGTAACGTGCGAACTTATTGTGGTACATTTCATTCACGATTGTTTGCATAAGAGTTAGTGTATTGCGCAAACGAACGCTCTGAGATCGTGGTCAATTAAATATAAAAAAATATGTTATGTTTTGTACGTACATAATTACAACATTAAGTCGTACACTGTATGCATTACTAATAAACATCTTACGTTACGGACTTTTTCTCCCGGTTAGGGTACCTCTCCGCATCGTCCCATAAGGTATTTCGTTTCAAAAACAATGCGATACATAAAATACAAAAAAGTACAATTGGCGGTCTTATCGCTAAGAGCGATCTTTTCCAGACAACCATCAATCGGACAAGAATTGTTTGGAAACGAATTACGCGCGGTGTACCAATCCAGTGATAACATACACATACATACATATATTTATAAAAATACATACATAGTTATTGCCCTTGTAGGCGGACGAACATACAGCCCACCTGATGGTGAGTGGTTACCATTGCCCATGGACTTCAGCAATGCCAGAGACAGAGCAAAACCGCTGCCTAACTCCGCTTTGTACTTTATGGCTTAACTTAGTCATGCATGAAAGAATCTAACATTTTCTCATTATTTTTACAGAAATGCAAAATGAACTCGCAGCAAACAACACAAGGATTTCGAGCAAACTTCAGGGCCACGAGTACGCTAAGTCGCCCGTTCCGCAACCATCGCCAAGAAAAGACGAAGGTCCAAAAACGAAACGAGGAAAGAAAAACAGCGCGGTCCCCCCGCAGGACTGCGCGGCCGAGAGCAGCATCCAAGGATCTCTAATCAACGAGATAAGGAACATACTAATCAACCACAATTTCCAAATAAGTAAAAGCGAAGACTTACTTAACTTTGTCAATAAAGTACGGATGATAGTGTCGACGGGAAGCCCCTCCGACGACGCGGTGGCGATGAGCGTGGCCGGCCTGCTGCTGCAGCAGCGCTGGATGGCCATGCCCGTCGCCATCGCCATGGTGTGCGAGGCGATAAAGCGACGCGTAGTCGAGGAAGGACTAAAGCAAACGCACGTTGTCGGACCGGACGCGACGCCGCCGGCCGTGACGCCGCCGGACGCGACGCCGCCGGACGCGCCGCAGACGAGCGCCGCCCAACGTCAAGACGCGTCTGTGGGAAGCAGACGGACGAAACGGAAAGCGGCCATAGCCGCGGAACGACACCTCGACATGATCGTGCCGAATCTACTTGATGACGACAGCGATTTGGATACCGAACCCGCCTATACCGAACCCGCACATACGAACCCAACGCGGAAGACAGAACAGAAATCTGGAAAGAAAATCAAGATGACAACTACTATCGATATGGAACCCGCAAATAGTGCACGTGATAATATAGAAATGCATCGATCTAATACTGTCGAACGGGAGCCAGTCAATGCGGCCGCAAGCATACCGACCGCGCCTCCGAAAGACGCTGAAGTCGTTGACTTAGATTCGGAGCCACAGAACGATACACCCGACGTTATAGTGGACAGCGACGAGGGCGTCGAAGTGAACAGCGTTATATCCAACCGCCCGAAACGGATGACGACATCGGAGCGATCTAGAAAAAATAAAAACGCTAAATCGAATAACAAAGAGACCGACAATGATACGTACAGCATTTTGATTGAAAACGATAGTGAGTTAGCGAAGGACCCTCAGCACGGCGCGCCACGCCCACACGACACGTCAGCCGAAAGACCGATTAAGATAAAGAAAGTCGCTCAAATAGATGTGGAGCTCGTGAGTAACGCTGAGCCCGAAGCCGCCATCGCGCTGAGCGACGACGACGAGCCCATAGTCAAAACCAACAAGATCACGTACACGCCCAAAACGAGCAAGAAAAAGAAACCACAAGGAAAGATTAATCTGCCTCCGCTACTATTGACAAACGAGAACTTCATAAAGATCGTCGCCCACACGTACCTGTCCGGCAACCCCAAGCTGGACCGCGACGCGGCGCTACTGGCCGCCCAGTACAGCACGCTTAAAGCTCTCAAGGAAGTCGAAGCTACGGGGAAGCTCCTCGACAGTGGCCCCATCTATGATATAGCCGTTAAGGTAATTTTATAATACAACTAGCAACCCCTTCGCTTCGGAAACATGGTTTTTTTTTTTGCTTAAATGGGAGGACGTGCTCACAGCCCACCTGGTGTTAAGTGGTTACTGGAGCCCATAGACATCTACAACGTAAATGCGCCACCCACCTGGAGATATGAGTTCTAAGGTCTCAGTATAGTTAAACGGCCACTCCACCCTTCAAACCGAAACGCATTACTGCTTCACGGCAGAAATAGGCAGAGTGCTGGTACTTACCCGCGCCGACTCACAAGAGGTCCTCCCACCAGTAAGACAAAATCAAATATTAAGTTTTAAGATAAATAATTAAAATTTGAAGTTTCCGGTTCGAAGGAATAAAGATAAACAAGTAAAATACAACCAAAATTGTGTTGTAACTGAAATGCGGGTCTCGTGTCTAAAGGATTGTCTAATTTCTGCTGTTGTGCTAACTGACTCCGATAACCGGTTAACAGCAGCTTAACAATGCTTAAAATAACCTAAATAGGAAATTATAACGTATTATTAAAACTATCCCAGCTTAAGGTGTATAGTTTTTAATGATATCGATGTTGAGGTATAGTTTTTAGTAGTCGTTGAAGGTCACCAGTGCCGGGCGGCACAATAACGAGTCCGTAATTAGTTGGACAGTTTATTTCCAATCACAGACGGTATAAAAATATTTAGAAGGAGAAATTACGGAGTACAGAAGGCACAGATAAAGCGAGCGGCGGCCGAGTCGTGTCGCAGGCGACGCCCAGTACGTACGCAGTTATACATAGTCGGGGTCTTTGCTGCATACTAACGGTTACGCCCGACTATGCTTGTGTAAATAATATAATTTTGAGTAGTGTTGTGAATGTATGATTGTTTGGCGTATTTGTGTACTGTATGAGAGTGTGTTATAGAATACGTAATTAAATATGATATAATATTAAATATTGCGCAGGTGTACAATGTAAATTAATAAATAATATAAACTAATATACATAAATATAGTAGAAACACCTATATAGTTCAATGGTGCTATATCGACTGACTCGTTTCTCGAAGTTTCGGTTTTGGCCGGCGACGTCTCTGCCGCCCCGCCCGCACGCATGCCCCTCCAAGACCCACGAGTAGAACGAATAGGGATGTTATAGGCGCGCTATAAAATTTTAAATTGAAATTCATTTACAGGAACTAGGCGTCGAACTTCTTACGAAACTGCACGGCACGATGTCGAAACCGACGAGGAGTGCTGAATATTCAGCGGCGAGTCTCCTAAAGAAATCCTTAATGAATATAGAAAATCAGATCAAAGAGGACACTGCCAACGAACCAACGGTCAGGACGCACGAGCACCCGCCCCCGCCCCCGCCCCGCGTGCCGCCGCTCATCATTCAACGAAATAAAAAAACTGGACTGAATACTGCAATCAACGGACATCCGAAGGGCAGCTTCGATCACAACGACGATCCGAACGTTGAGAAATTGTCGCAGCACGAACCTAGGAAACACGTCGTCCCGATCAGAATGTACCAGCGCCCCACCGCGCCCGCGCCCGCCACCGTCCACACGACGCTGACTAGCGACGAGTGCATCCTGCCCGACGACGATGACGTCATCATCAGCGACATCCTGCCCGCCGTCTCCTGCCCGGTGCCCACTCCCTCCACGCAGACCTCTTCCGCGAACAAAGTCGTGGCCGGAACCTCAAGGGACTACAGCATAGCAACAGGATTGCCCCAATACCTTGGTCGCCCCGATCATCCCCGGGTACCGGAAGATAATCAAGCAGCGGTCGTGAACACCGAGCGTGCCGTCTCCACGCAGGGCCCGGCGGATTGTATATGTCTGGACAGCGACGACGACGAGGGCCCCGCCCCCCCGCACCCCGTCTCCATATCGTACACCCCGCCGGTCCCCGCGCCCCAGCGCTCTGACGGTCAGCCGCAGTACATCACCGGCGACACCAAACGGACACCGAAACCGCCGGCCGCCGAAACAATCGCAGCCGCGAATCCCACGGCGCCACCNACGCAGGGCCCGGCGGATTGTATATGTCTGGACAGCGACGACGACGAGGGCCCCGCCCCCCCGCACCCCGTCTCCATATCGTACACCCCGCCGGTCCCCGCGCCCCAGCGCTCTGACGGTCAGCCGCAGTACATCACCGGCGACACCAAACGGACACCGAAACCGCCGGCCGCCGAAACAATCGCAGCCGCGAATCCCACGGCGCCACCAGTCGTACTCACGTACGGGCGCAATAGGAAATCTCTAAGCCTAGCTGTGAAAACCACCGCCCCTCCAATCGCCGCGGTCCCCCCAACCCACGTGAGCGTTTCGGAGCCCCCTCGCACGGCAGACGTCGTGAGCCCGGTCGACAAGGCGAAGTCGCAGGAGCCCCGGGCACCGGCGCCGGCCGAAGCGCCGCCAGAACCAATGTCGATGTTCAAGAACGTTGTACACATCATGGCGCACGACGCGCATCCGCTATCGAAATCCGAGCCCTCGCACAAAGCCGGCAATAGATTACAAACCGTCAGGTTGCTGCCTGTAAAAAAGCTGAGAGCTCAGGTCGACGACCCAGTGGCTTCGTCATCGAAATCGCTTGAATGGAACGCGCAGCCAAAAGCGAAGAGAGCGCCCAAATCGAACCGACCGGCCGACAACAGGACCGTTATAAATCTCACGGAACTCGGACCCGTGAGTTCGGTAACTGCGCCCTCAAAGCACACAACGAGCGCCTCCACCTCCAAGGTGCCGCTAAGTAAATCGGTGACCATCGTCAGCAAGCCCAGCAACATCGCGTTGCATAAAAAAACGATATGTTTGATCGCACCAAAGATGATGACGATAAAGGCAGTAAACGATAATAAGTAAGCAATTTTTTTTCCCTTAGATGGGTGGACGAGCTCGCAGCTCACCTGGTGTTAAGTGGTTACTGGAGCCCATAGACATCTACAACGTAAATGCGCCACCCACCTTGAGATATAAATTCTAAGGTCTCAAGTATAGTTACAACGGCTGCCCCACCCTTCAAACCGAAACGCATTACTGCTTCACGGCAGAAATAAGTACGTTAGTGGTACCTACCCGCGCGGACTCACAAGAGGTCCTACCACCAGTAAAAAATAATCCCCATTCAATTTCTTGATAAATAATAGTCAATAGTGAGATCAATTGTGATGAATCACTATAGTGAGGTCTTAGAAATTATATCTCAAGGTGGGTGGCACGTTTACGTTATAGATGTCTTTGGGCTCCAGCAACCACTTAACACCAGGTGGGCTGTAAGCTCGTCCACCCATTTAAGCAATAAATAAATAAATCTCAAATCTCGCTTACCATAAACAGCTAATATTAATGTAAATAAAAAATTCGCCAACAGAAAACGCCCGAGCATATTGACGAAAGTAAAACCTGTACTCGCGACGAAGCTTGTGATGAAAGACGTCAAAACCAAGAAGAGAACGATCCCGTCCCCGCCGCAGGAGCCCGCGAAGAAACGGAAGGTTAACGGTGAGTGGACCGGTGCGCTACTGGCCTTACCAAAACTTCGATATTGATCTTCGCTTGCATCTATACATATAAATACTATTTTTACTGGTGGTAGGACCTCTTGTGAAACCGAGCGGGTGGGTACCACCGCCCTGCCTATTTCTGCCGTGAAGCAGTAATGCGTTTCGGTTTGAAGGGCGGGGTAGCCGTTGTAACTATACTTGACACCTTAGAACTTAGTCTCAAGGTGGGTGGCGCATTTACGTCGTGGATGTCTATGGGCTCCAGTAACCACTTAAAAAACCAGGTGGGCTGTGAGCTCGTCCAACCATCTAAGCAAAAATAAATAAATTGGAGTGTCTGTTTGTAGTATTGAAATAACCGCTATTTACTACATGCATATGAATGTATTATTATATACGGTACATACACCAAAATAACATTTTTTACAATTTTTGTCTGTCTGTCTGTTTGTTCCGGCTAATCTCTGGAACGGCTGGACATTCACCTATAGGTAGTTGATGATTGTACGCACTAATCTCAGGAACAACTGATCCGATTTGAAAAATTCTTTCAGTGTTAGACAGCCCATTTATTGAGAAAGGCTTAGGCTATATAACATCACGGTAAGACCAATACAAGTGAAGCACCAATAAAGAATGTTTCAAAATAGGGGCTTAAATAGCTTCCTTAACATCCTGTAATTCATAAATATTTTCTCTTTCTACGTAAATGAAGGGGGGGGGGGGTAAAATTTAGCGTTATGCCAAAGTAACTATTCCACGCTGACGGGGTCGCGGGCAAAAGCTTGTCCTAGATATAATCGGCTCAAAGCTGACTGAAGCTATACAGTTATTGCACCGTCCGTATTGGGAAATACTGTCAAGTTGTTACCGAAACGTATCAACAACTTCAAAGCGAACGCCATAATAGACCTTAAAACAATCGGGGTGAAGTCTCAGTTTAGAAGATTGCACAAAGTGGGAATGAGTTGCTCGCTCCGGGCATTTCAATATTGCAATAATTGTTACGTTATAATACTCATTGTAAAAATTAATATTAAAAAAAAAAAGGTGTGCCCGCTAACTTTCTTGCCAGTTCTTCTCAGGACGGGGACTAGTTTTTGTGAATTGGCGGTAGTTTCTTTTTGACGTTCAACAAGTATGTACTTTCATTTATGTTGAATAACATTTTTTTGATTTGATTTGATTTTCAGTTGTTATAACGCTATCCCACCCATCAAACCGGGACGTGTTGTGGACCAACTCCACCTGTCAATGCCATGTCAGTCGATAAGCGATGTAAAATCTGTTTTTTTTTTTCATTTCAGAAATGTCCCTCGAAGATTTCGACATTGATAATATAGACGACATCATAGAATTGGATTAACGATTGAGGCTTTCCTGAAAATCTACTAAAAGATGTTACATAAATGAAGACTATTATGGAACGCAGCTTGGTGCCGTCTATATACCACGTGTTTTTTTTAAATTAATTTAATAAAACTAAAGCAGCTTTTTTTTTAAACACGCGTTCTTAGTTCGCCTTAAAAATTGTCAATACATTTTCTTGTTTGCAAAAAAAGAAAAAAAATTCATCAGCTGTCAATTTATTGTTTATTGAGACATTAAATCAGTTTGAGCGTATTGATTGACAAATTTTAATGCCACTTCACAGAACGCATAGCAAATTAGCATTCTCGTATTATTTCTATAATAACATTAATCTTGAATATATGTCGCCATCATTTAAATAAATCTAATCAACAAATAACTACAAGCAATACGTATGATGTATTTTAATGTGTTCAAAATTGCACAACGTCCGTGGAAGTGCCGTCTTTACGTTTTTTTTTTTTTTTTGTAAATTGTCTATGCTTTATAATTTCAACTGACGTAGTTTCCTTTAAAATTTAAACTTTGTAGTTTTTAAACAGTTTAAATAGAATACGTAGGTAAGCGACGAAATAATTTCATTCATGCCAATGAATACACAATATTAATTGTTTTTCATCTGAAAAAATATTACATATCGAGGGCTAAAAGGTTATTTGGTTTAAGAGACTTTTGACTTAATCCGCGGCGTTCATATTTTGTAATTAAAGGTCCGTTTTATTTGGTACTAGCTGACACGGCAGACTTCGTAGTGCCTCAATCGATAAATAAAAGACCTAAACTTTATTTAATTCGGAGAATTTTCATATTTATTTACCTTTTAAACCTTCTCTGGACTTCGATAAATAATTCAAGACCAAAATTAGCCTAATCGGTCCAGCCGTTCTCGAGTCTTAGCGAGACTAACGAACAGCAATTCATTTATATATATATATATATATATATATAGATAGAAGATAGATTAGTATCAACAATTCGATGTTTGTAATTGAACTTCAATCAAGTTTACTCCATTCAAATAGCTGAACCAGTATTAAGAATAGTTTTAAGAATTTTCCAAATTTTTGAATTTTCATAGCTCTCTTGTAATGTTGCAAAAATGTCGTTTAAAATCAAACGAAATAGCCTTTTAACCGTCGATATTATTTAACGATATTAAGTTTGCTTTTCGTACAAACATATAATAGAGAAATCAGTATTATTGAAAAACAGTATTTATTTGGTTGAATCCTTTTGTCGACTTTTCTCATGTTTTTTCGTTCGCTTAAAGACGACTGTCTCGCCTTCCACGAATGACGTCATCATAAAGCTTTTAATTCCTTCTTTAGAAAAAAGTAAACAAGAAAACCATATTTTACTGTACTAAATATTACTTAAAATATTAGTCAGTTGAGATTTCAAAAAAATTCAGATCGGTCTATTAGTTTATTGTATTGGATGTTGAAACTGTGCAACATTAAAAGGACGCTAAGTCTTTTCTTTTAAATATAGAGCATCAATTTTATAATGAAAAATTACTTTTTGAATAGTATTGTAATCATAACAAGTTGTTGACATGAAAAAACAAAACTCAATGATGATTAAATTCTTTTTAAAATTTGATGAACTACACCACCGCTGATATATGTTTCAATCGTATATTTGTATTAATAATCTTGAAAAACAGCATGCACATTATGTTCGGAACATTAAAAACGTTTACATATTAAGAATACTAAAGTTTAAAAATAACAAGAAACTCCCATTCTAGATTTGTCGTTATTGTTGATTTTGTCTGCTGTATAACTAATCAATGTGAACTTATCGTGTTTTATATATATCGACGCTTGAAAGGCAAGCGTGACTACTGCTTTGTACGTAAATGATAGGCAATAACCATATTCGATGCGCAAAAAAATATATATTTCTAGGTCTATTAAAACCATTTCAATCCTACAGCTAGATTCGTCAAAATATAATTTTTTCAGGTATATCAACTTTAAATTAGTCTACTGTAAAGTTCACGCATTGTCGCTTAGTCACGTTTGCCTTTCAAGCGTCGATATGCTTTTAATACGCTTGTAATGCTGTGGGACCGGACTATTTTAATTCTATAAAAGAGTTTTGAGGATATACTCGCGTTGATCTATCGATACTGATATAGGAATACTTGTCTCTCACTCTGTTAGTGCGTGCGCGAGCGAGAGGCGAATAAAGACGATGCTACACAACTACTACAACAAAAACACAAACTTAATTTTTGATACGTTTTGAATTCATTGTGAAACAATTTTGAACAGATGAACATTATTTTTTATTGAAGTCTTTTTTTTCTCTTCTTTATTAAAATATCTGAATGTCTAGTCTGAATTTGCAAATCGAAAGAACTAGTAAAGTTATCGAATGCGTATACATAAATTAATACCTACAAAACTAATTGCGGAATGAAGAATTTTGGTTACTTGTGAAAATTATTTAATTTAATAAATCGTGTTTTTTTCTTTCTCTCTTTTTACAATAAAAGGAGAAGGAGATAAACAATTTTTTATTATCCAAAAACTTTTAGGCTTTTAAATATAGACCCTTCGTCAAATAAATAAGAATTATTAATCGTTTATTATGAACGAAGTAGCTCATAAGTATATTCAGTAATGAATAGTGATTTGTGTATTGTTGCACGTACAAAATATACTTGTACATTGAAATGCTAATTAATCTACGTTCAAACTCCATCAGGCGTATCATCGATGAATGTAGAATTTTATCATTCTCATGAATGAACACGTCACGGTTTTGCATTAAGAAATTTCTCCTAAAACGAAAAGATTTATATATTATTATTTTATGTTCGAGTCTTGTCGGATGAGAATTGATTTAAGTTTATGTTTGTGATTTACGTGATTAGGATTTAAGGTGATTAAGTAAATTTTATGTCGTATTTTGTTTTGTTTTATTTTTATAATACAGCAAGACGCTCCGAATCATTATCGAGGTAAGTCCCTTCAGTGGTCAGTATTCATTGTCGCCTATCGAGAAACACGCGTGGGATACCTTATTGGAAGCTGCCTGTGTGTATATAGAAACAGCTGTGTGCTTAGTGCCCTACATTTGCCGCTAGGGGTGCTGTTCCAACTCCATATAAATTTGAATTAACTGTACGGTCGCGAAGTTAAACTCTCAATAAGACTCCCCGCGGCCTAGGCAGCCCGGAACTCTTTGGCTGCGGCAATCGTTACAAATGCATATTCGTTTTGGTAGGTGGTAGGGCCTCTTGTGAGTCCGCGCGGGTAGGTACCACCGCCCTGCCTATTTCTGACGTAAAGCAGTAATGCGTTTCGGTCTGAAGGATAGGGCAACCGTTGTAACTATACTGAGATCTTACAACTTTTATCTCAAGGTGGGTGGCGCATATACGTTGTGAATGTCTATGGGCTCCAGTAACCACTTAACACCAGGTGGGCTGTGAGCTCGTCCACCTATATAAGCAATAAAAAAAATTGCCAAATGTTAGTTATATGATACAGCATGCTTGTACAATCTCTTGTACTTAAAAAAACCGGTCTGGGTATGTATGAATATCATTAAAATATTTATAGAATAATAAGCCTTTTGAATGCCGTTCTAGAAAAAGAGGATGAATCCAGTCTTTTCTTTGATTTGCGTTTTTACGAGATACAAGTCCAAATCGCTCGACGAAAGGATCACAAATGGCTGTCGATTGGTTGCTCAAATATTCCGGCCGCCGTAGCCTAGTGCGCGGGGAACCAAAGCTCACTGCGTGCGACGCACATGTGTCCTCCAGCTCGCTTGATAGTAAATCGCTTTCGCTTGAAGCCACGCCAACCAGGACACCGCTTGGTGCGGTAAGCACCGTCACTTTAGAAAGGGATTCAATTGCAATTTACTGGTGGTAGGACCTCTTGTGAGTCCGCACGGATAGGTACCACCACCCCTCCTATACCTGCCGCGACGTAGTAATGCGTTTCGGTTTGAAGGATGGGGCAGCAGTTGTAACTATATTGAGACCTTAGAACTTATATCTCAAGGTGGGTGGCACATATACGTTGTAGATGTCTATGGGCTCCAGTAACCACTTAACACCAGGTGGGCTGTCAGCTCATCCACCCATCTAAGCAATAAAAAAAAAAAACTATATGCGTATCCCCGCCCCCTTAGTTCAATTTTCAAATGGCTCCACTAATTTTTATTTTTTCACAAATGTAATAAATAGTTCAGTAATTTCTGAGAAGGTAAAATTTTTGCTCTAAATAAAAAATTATTGATTTAAGTTTTTTTATTTACGTATTTTTTTAGTATAGTCTGCCGTTTTGGTACCTGTTGGTATACGTGTTGGCATACGAACATTTTTTTATTTTACGAGTAGACATGAATGGAAAAATAAAATGACAAAAGCACTTTCAAAAGTATCCAACTTAACTTTTTAATTCGTCTGGAAATAAACAATGAGATATCAAAATGAAATTAACTACTATGGATATATTTAACATAGGTACGCTTACAAGAATATAAATAATATAATATAAACTCATAATATGTTGAAAATTACGTACAAAAATTTTCATCTTATTAAAGCTTCTACATAAAATAAACGTGTAAACAAATTCCTTACAAACCAATAAACAAAATACATGACCAGTTATTTATCACTTGTCTTATAGAGAACAAAACAATCTACTCTTCAAAAATGCCTTTGATTCATAAATTCTTTTTTTTTTGAGATTTTTCAACATATAGATAACATATCTAAAGGTATCTAGCAAAATTTAATACAAACATAACATTTTAGTATATATGTGGTCAACAAACAATGAGGAAATCATTGGAAATTCATAAATGCCAAAACATAGTTCATTTTTATGAACATTAATAACATTTTTTGCTAAAAACTATAATAAATATATACTACTCGATCAAGTACATACTAAAATTTATTTCTGAAATATTTATTTTAATATTATTAAACAATTATTTTAAGAAATTAAACGCACCATTCGTTTTCAGTATGTTTTAAAACATCGATTTTTTTAATCGATATCTTTAATACTCTATCTCTTTTTATGGCAATATTTAATTGAAGCCGTAATCTGTACACGATTTTACAATACTTTCATTTCATTTTTATATAAACTACTCAAAACAAAATAGGGCCCACTTTAAGTTAATCTCGAATTTCGTCTAAAAAAAATTGTTGGGTAGTAAATAGTGAAGTTAAGCATTTCGAAGTATTGTTGACATGTTTATCTAACGTTCTCAATGTTTCAAGTCATGAATTCAATGGTGTGTAGACAAAAAAAGAGAAGTACTCCAAAAAACATTTATTACTCAAATTCTCAATCACTTGTACCCTCAGTCACATTCTGAGTGTTACAGTCGCACGTCTACTTTTTTCATTTTGAGTTGATTTCGGTGTTACTCGCGATCATTATGCCTGGTTCTCGGCATCATATGGATGTGGAAACAGCACCAAGAGCAGTGTTTATGCTTTAGGAGGGATAATCTCAGAGATCAGTGGCAAGACGTCTTGGTGTGTCGCGACGAGCTATTCGAAACGCGTGGGAACGTTTTTTAGAGACAGGTAGTATCACGAGGAGACCTGGATCAGGACGAGCGCGAGCTACAACCGTCCAGGAAGACCGGTATATCAGATTGACTGCACGTCGAGGGCGTACGATTCCCGCCCGCGTCTTACAAAATCGACTGCGGCAATCGACTGGCACACCAATCGGTGATCAAACCATTCGAAATCGGCTCCATGAAGACGGACAACGTTCCAGATTTCGTGTTATTCGTCTAAAATTGACAAGAGCGCATCGTGCAGCACGTTTGAAGTTTGCTCGCGAGCATGCGAATTGGACAATGGACAACTGGAGAAATACACTCTTTACGGACGAAAGTAAAGTGAAGTTTTCTGCGATGATCGTCGAGTGCGCGTGTGGAGAAGAGAAGGAGAACGTTTTTCAGAACCTTGCATACGCGAAAGGGATCGTTTTGGAGGTCCAAATGTTATGGTGTGCGCTGGAATAAGCTTGCTCGGTAAAACTGAGCTGGTAATTCTGGAAGAAGGCTCCATAACTGCCTCCCGGTATGTCGATCGAATAATTTGGCCCCATGTCATCCCATTTTCACAAAGAGTGGGTGAAAACTTCGTCTTTATGCAAGACAATGCTCGCCCGCATACAGCGCGAACAACACAGAGAGCTTTCTCTGAAGCCAATATTACGGTTTTACCATGACCGGCCATGAGTCCCGATGTTAACCCTATTGAACATTTATGGGACCAATTGAAAAAAAGCCTCAAATCGAACTTCAGTAATGTGACTAATCGACAAGAGCTCATAAACGCCCTAAAATTGTGTTGGGAGCGAATACCCGAGGAAAACATCACCCATTCGATTGAAAGTGTCCCAGACAGATTCAGAGAGTGCATATGGAATAGAGGAGGACCTACTCGCTATTAAGCACCATCAAACTCATTGATTTAGTCAATAATAAAAATCAAAATCAAACTTTACTTAAATCAATAATTTCTGTCAACTTTCCTAAAAACTGTAAATTTTGACTAAAGTCCATAAAATTATCAAAACTTACACTTGTTAATGTTCACACACTTTCGAAAACCTTAATTTATTCATTCCTAATCATAAAAACTGAAAAATGAAAAAGAATCTGTAAAATTCATTTATAAAACATGGTGGGCCCTATTTTGTTTTGAGTAGTTTAAAATAAATAAATACTGTTCGATAAAGTATTTTTCTAACAAGGCCTTATAAATTATAGAGTAAAAATTATAATACATAACAAATTTCAAAATCTTACTTTAATATCTAAGAATATGAATACAATACTAAAAGGTATGATTTAGCCATATTCGAATTGTTACATTTTGCAAAAATATATATCATCGCATTGTATATAATAATATAATATTGTACTATAACATCGATAAATCAAGTTTATTTTTTATCGATAAAAACAACGTACGCTAGTGAGTCAATGGGAGCTGAAATTAAATATAAATATAAATCGCAATCTTCGACCATGTCAATAACAATGTGTTGACATACCGGCCGACATGTTTCATTGTTACTTAATAAATAAAAATAAATAATGCACAGTCAATCGCGCTCCTAGGCGGTACAGTATCGCTGGACCACGTGTTTTCGTATCTAGCGATGCACCGGTGGTCGAATCCCGCAAGCGGGTACCAATTTTTCTAATGAAAAACGTACTTCACAAATGTTCACGATTGACTTCCACGGTGAAGGAAAAACATCGTGTAATAAAAATCAAACCCGCAAAATTATAATTTGCGTAATTACTGGTGGTAGGACCTCTTGTGAGTCCGCCGGGTAGGTACCACCGTCCCACCTATTTCTGAAGCAGCAATGCGTTTCGATTTGAAGGATGGGGCAGCCGTTGTAACTATACTGAGACCTTAGAATTTATATCTCAACGAAACTAGACTACACTAATCGGAATTACTTGAAATAATTATTTTTTAATCGTAGCTAAACATAACTGAAAACGGATATTCATATGCAACGCATTTAATTTGTACATTATTTTTTCCCTACCTATTCACTGGTAGCCTGAGAGGTTATTCCAGCTACTCCCGGACGAGTAAGTGAGCTCAAGGGCTCAGCCTGAGAAAGTTTGCTAACACTAGCATTAACAAGAGTAAACTTGTACAGTGGGCTACAAAAGTGCATGGACTGTCAGTAAAAAAAATGTGTATTCATAAAATTATCGAATTTTATGATTTAATCTCATTTATTTAGCGTCACCTATCGACTTTTATGATTTAATCTCACTTTTTTTTTAAATTGCCATTACATTTATTACTACCGACGTTTGGAATACTATTACATATTATATATACTACTATAATACAGTTTTCGTAGTCGTGGACAGTTGAGGTTAAAACTCTTATTCGTAGACATTTGAATAGATAATGCGAGATTGAACTATAAAAGTACTTTTAATTATATCTACGACTCGCGCAAACCCAAGAGAATGTTAGATTCAGAGATTTTTAGGATGCAACGGGTCGTTCTCAAAGGAGAAAAAACAATGTTCTACGAATAGCAACACAGGATTTTAGTGTCGACGTCACATCGGGCCTCCCGAAACCACGGACGCGCTGGTTAGCTGATTAAACACTATATTAACACGACAATATATTACTGAAATACATTTTGTCGATCGCAATTATTTTGGCTGTCACTCTGAACTAGTTTAGGGGCATTAACAGACAAACAGTTTAAATATCGACTATATTTAACACGTTGACTGCCATGTAGGTCACCGGTGCCCTTTGCGCCGCACTGAAATATTTATGTAGATTACTCTCTTTGTTCTTCTTACTAAAGCGCCGGAATATCTGGTAGACTCTGGGAAAGACGAATCCAAAGATACTGACAATGAATCTATTTATAAGACACCTAAAAGACTAAAATATACATTAACAAACAAAAGAAGGCGACGACAAGCAATCCAGGCGCTTAGTAACAGAAATCGACATAATTACATCAGTGCGCCGCGTAGGACACCGGTGAACTACATGGCAGTGAATGTGTTAATATTGAGTTAGGTATAACACACCGTTTGTAAGTTTAATTTCAGCTCCCCAATATAAAATCGATAACTCGATATCGATGCGTCGTCTCACCGAGTCGATACGCGAGCGAGTCTGGACTTGTCGAAGGCGCAGATGGCGTGCAGCAGCGCGGAGCGGCCGGCGGGGGGCGGCGCTCCCTCCGCGGCACCCATGTCTGCGCCTAATTAAAAAAGTATTTTTTAGTGGACCGAATCTTGAATCTAAATCATTCTCGAATTCGCTGGAACGCATACAATAAATTTCATGAAAATCGGTCCACCCGTTTAGGAGTTCCTGCGGGCCAAATGGTAAACCGTCGACGTCGCCTAAAACACGTCATTTCGGATCCTCCCGATCTACTCACTAACGGTGCTTTTAGGTACCCCAAACACTGGTCATCGTGCTCTTCGAACCCGTCGCTTGCGACAAAAGGCTCGACGAGTAAAATAACCCACAGACACAGCCCACTGAGTTTCTTGCCGGATCTTCTCAGTGGGTCACGTTTCTAATGCTGTAGTAGATTCTGCGAAGCACGGCTCTTCGTCAGGTTTGAGCCCCGAGAGCTCTCTTTAAGTTATTATATATTTTTATTTATATAGTTAATAGCTCTCGGCCCGCCTGATGTTCAGTGGTAAATATATACACATCACATGGAAATCTTTGAGTTGTGTAGTGTTACTGGTGTATACCATTCTTCATGACTGTTTCGCGCAGAAATAGTTAGAATATCGCTCGTAATATGTACACGTGGTATTGATCACCACCCAGAACCCATCAATCCAGAAAAAACACTTACACAATATTTGTACTATCTATAATACTTATGGGACCATATTGAGACTAATATTTCTATTATATGTGAAAGTGTAGAAAATACATAATACCCGAAAGAGTCCGTGTAAGGTAGTGTAACAAAACCTAGAGCTGACCTTGTGGCGGGGGCGGCGGGGTGCGCTCGCGGGGCGCGGGCGGCGAGGGGGACGAGGCCGTGCTGGCGCTCCGCACCGTGTCCGCCAGCGACGACGTCGACTTCCAGATGCTCTCGCGCTTTTTCTATAATTTTTTTTAAAGGGCTTTTATGACCTGGTAACTAAGGCCTTTAGGCCAAGTCTTATTTTAATTTTAATGAAAACTTGAAAATTTATGAAAAAAATAATATTATGAAATGAAATGAGATGAGATGAGATGGGATGAAATATAACCTCAGTAAAATGGTGGTCATTTACTGAGACTTTTTCAGTGGACTTTTTGGAGGATCCCGAGAAGTTACGTTCAGCGGCTTTGTTTCATTTTCCCACATTTGTGCACTTTCACAGATACTAAACAGTTAATAAACCACCGTTATTACACATTTAAACCTAAAGAAACACTAAATAGACAAAATAAAAGAAATCACAACACTTCACTCCTCGCGTTTCCGCCAAAAAGTCCCTTTTTCTATAAACCATTAAAAATTTCAAGTACCCTCGAAAAAAAAAACAAAAAAAAACTATTTTTCCGTCGCAATCCAACGGTCGTTGCATAATATTTAATATGATAAAGTTATTGACCATAAATGGACAGGTACAGTTTCGGCTGACCGACTCGATGATGCAGTAATTAGCGCCAATGACCGTTGAATCGAGGGTCGTGGGTTCAATTCCCATATCGGGAAAACATTGTGTAATGAACATGTTTGTTTGGTCTTTGTTTATGTGTTTAGTACCTATATACATATGTATATATTTAAACATATATAACTGTTTATATCAATCTCTGGTATCCATAACACAGGGGATCCTATATTGGGGCTGGATGACCGTGCGTGATTTTTTCTCATTTATTATTATATAATTATTATTATTATAAAAAATCTGCATAGTTCACAGAAAGACACGAGGAGAAAGTCACAATTGCGTTGAAAATTTCTTCCAATAAATAAAATAAAAAGGTATAAAATATATGCGACAGTAAATGAGTTCAAAAACAAAAATTAATGCTGATGACAGAACGTTAATACGTTAGTTAATAGTGCCACTCACCATTCTTTTTTTCTGTTTCTTCATTTCCTCTTCTGAAGAGAGTATTTCTTGGATCCTGACTTCTCTCTTTGCGCTTCGCACCTACGTTCAAAGATACATTTCTAACATAGGTTCAAATTCAAAACTTAACACACAATCATATCAAAGGTTCTATAGCTAATAACGATCTCTTTCAGACAACCACGTAATATTGCTTAAAAGGAAACATTGACGTAATATTAATATGTAATAGTTGTTATTAATCATTTATACAACAAATATGTTCTAAAATTCTACAACTATATTTTTTTATTGCTTAGATGAGTGGACGAGCTCACAGCCCACCTGGTATTAAGTGATTACTGGAGCCCATAGACATCTACAAAGTAAATGCGCCACTCACCTTGAGATATAAGTTCTAAGGTCTCAGTATAGTTACAAGGGCTGCCCCACCCTTCAAACCGAAACGCATTACTGCTTCACGGCAGAAATAGGCGAGGTGGTGGTACCTACCCGCGGGGACTTAGAGAGGCCCTACCACCAGCATAAAAAAATATTAATTTTCATCAAAAATACATCGACAAGTGAGTTTCCTTTGAAATCTTTAAAACGAATCACTACTCCATACCAGTTTCTGTTCTCGTTTTAATCTCGCTTCAGCGCTAGAGACGGCGGCCTTCAACTCTTCCTTCAGCTGTATGGGGAACTTGAGGTGGATCTTCTCGTCGCGCGGCGCCACCGTGAGGCCGTTGAGGGGCGCTTGGCAGAAGAACGGGTGCCGGAGTAGACTGTCTACTGTCGGCATGCCGTGCTTGCAAGCGTGACTTGAAAGGCACATGTGTAATACTGACTCTGTGAAAGATATTTAAATGGTTAGAACTATGGATTAGAATTCATTGGAATGGATACTATAGAGCGGAGGTGGCCAACCGGTAGATCGCGATCGACCGGTAGATCGCGATCGACCGGTCGATCGTGGCTATTAGCTCAGTCGATCGTGGCTATTAGCTCAGTCGATCGTGGCTGTTAGTTCCGTCGATCGTGGCTATTAGCTCAGTCGATCGTAGCTATTAGCTCAGTCGATCGTGGCTATTAGCTCAGTCGATCGTGGCTATTAGCTCAGTTGATCGTGGCAAGACAAAAAATATAAATACATAGAACAGACTGCACAACGTATTCACCAATTGCTGCACGCATCATCCTCATCTTGTATCATTTGGTAATGACCATTACGTCATATTATTTATCCTCTCTTCCACACAATAGTTCTCTTTTAATATATAATTTCAACTTTATGTTAATCTTTTCAATAAAAGAAAGTATACTACTTATTTGTATGCCGAACTACACTGTTTCACTAAATTACAAGAAATGTAATTAGTAGATTGTATAGTGCTATGTCAGTAAACAGTAGATCTTGGTTCTAATCAAGTTGGCCACCCCCGCTATAGAGTTATCTATCACACAGACTTTTGGCGAGAATGCGAGGAGTGAAGTTGTGTAATTTGTTTTATTTTGTCTATTTAGTGTTTCTTCAGGTTTAAATGTGTAATAACGGTGGTTTATTAACTGTTTAATATCTGTGAAAGTGCACAAATGTGGGAAAATGAAACAAAGCCGCTGAACGTAACTTCTCGGGATCCTCCAAAAAATCCACTGAAAAAATCTCAGTAAATGACCACCATTTTACTAAGATTATATTTCATCCCGTATCATCTCATTTCATTTAATTTCATCCCAGTTGATTAATGTCTCAAATTAATCATCTTCATTTCATTTCACTTCATATTATCATTTTTCATAAATATAAGAATATTATTTAAATTTGACATGACTTAAAGGTCTTAGTGACCAGGTCATAAAATCTCTTAGAAAAAGAAAAAAAAGTATCTGTCACACAGTTATGTATTAACAAATCGAGAGGTGAAACGCTATTTGGTTTAAGCAGTAATTCGCTAAATACGCGACATTTATCTTTATAATTAAAGATGCGTTTTATTTGATAATAGCATCAACAGTACGATGTGTTTACTTGAATTTCAATTAACTTTACTCCATTCAAATAGTTCAAGAATATTTTTTGTTAGGATATTTTTTCCAAATTTTAAACTTGAAATGGCTCTCCTGTATTTTTTTTCTTTTTTTTAATGCTGAGATGGGTGGACAAGCTCACAGCCCACCTGGTGTTAAGTGGTTACTGGAGCCCATGGACATATACAATGTTAATGCGCCACCCACCTTTAGACATAACCTGCATTCACGGCAAGAATAGGCAGGGTGGTGGTACCTACCCGCGCGGACTCACAAGAGGTCCCTACCACCAGTAATTACGCGAATTATAATTTTGCGGGTTTAATTTGGTGAGAGTGGAAATCAGAATGTACATACCTAAATCCATATTGATTCCGTCGGGGAAGTAATCGCAGTGGGGGTCCTCCGGTGCGTTGGCGAACGTCATCTCGTACAAGGTTCTGCCGAAGCAGTATAAATCGATGTCTTCGGGGGTCGTTACCCTCCGCAGTTCGAGTAAATAGGGTCGGTAGAGACAGGGCACGCCGATAACAAAATTCTCGACCTCCATTAGCAGAGCTCTTTGGTTCTCTATTGCGATGTTGCCGGGATGGATGTGACCTACAAATTGGTAGGTTTTTTTTTAATGGCGGTCGTCGGTACGCATACTTAATCTACCGTAGATTGGGGGGCATTTCCAAATCCAATACAAATTTTCATAGATTTTTCTCAGGGTAATACCAATAAAATTAAGATTAAACTAGTTCCGGAGGCTTACATTTTTATATACGTTGCGTTATTACACATAGTTCATTACAAAATATACACAAAAACTAAAAAAATTAGCATGACCCAATTCACCTTGGCTTTGGGGTGAATGAGGTTACGTATGGAGACAATAGTTTTTCGATGGGTGTCGGGTTTCGGGTGGCAATATTTAATTGTTAGGCAGGTACTAACTTTAGGTAATTAACTTTTTAATATCTTTAATGAGTCACATGTTAAATGCATCAGGTCATAAATTAAATAGTTTAAGTTTCTTTTCAATGTTAAATGTTTGTGATATGGCAGTACTTTTTTAAATAAATAAATAAATGAGTTACAAAACTTTGATGACTAAATTAAACTATTTAATATTCTTAAACACTAAATAAAAGTAATTTTCAGTTCAACAAAGCTAAATCTAACAACTCAAAAAAAGTATTGTGACATCCCAGATTTGTCTATTATCTAACTCTAGTCTGTATTCCCCTTTCCGACGGAAAGATGAGACAACCCTTATACAATACTATTAAGAGTTCAAGCTTGTGTATTTTTTTATTTATAGACGCGCATACAGCCCTACTGAGGAATGCTTAACAAAGCTCATTCACACCAACAATGCTAGGCTTACAGCCAAGTCGCTGCCTACCACGTGAGTACTCTCTGACAACCTCGTTTGATAAATGACATGTCTTAAGATGGATGACGATATTTATACGTAACTACTTAACACCAGGTGGGCTGTGAGCTCGTCCACACATCTAGGCAATAAAAAAAAACGTAACTAGCCGTAACCGCCCGCTTCGCTGGGCATTTAAAATTAACATTATTATTTATTGTCATTATTACTAGGGAGGCCAACACTCATATACCTAGTCAGGTCATAAATTCTGTCACACGTTTAATGTAAAATAATTGAAATAAGTTTATTCATTATGTAACCATTCATATACCAAAATGAACTTAACAAAACATAGATTCTTATGACACTAAAGTTTATTCAAAATGACCTCCGTGATTTTGAAGACAGGCCTTCAATCTGCGCGGCCAGTCGTCTATCGCAGCACGAACGAGGTCCATGTCAATATCGGCGGCTGCCTTAATCAAGGATGTCTTGAGTGACTCCAAATTGGGATGAGGCTTTGAGCACGCCTTTTCCTCCAAGTGTTGCCATATCTTGTAATCTAACGGATTCAAATCTGGACTGGAGGAGGGCCAGTCTTCGTGCCGGATGAAGTCGATTTCACGCGCCGCCAGCCAGTCTTGTGTGCTCTTCGCTCTATGAGCTGGCGCCGAATCTTGTTGGAATACCCAGTGCCTGTTATTGAACATGGTATGAGAAACAGGTTCCACAAGGTTCGTCAGGACTGTATTTTGATACACAACTGCATTCGTTTTTACACCTTTCTCACAAAAATGTACCTCTGTTAAGCCCCAATAAGAAACTCCCAACCATACCATGAGCGAGGATGGAAAATGACCTCGTTGGACACGCGGAATACGGTTGCTCGCTTCTTCACTACTGTGTGCGTACACCTTATCATTTTGTTTGTTGTAGCTCTCTTCTACGGTAAAAAATTTTTCATCCGAAAAAAGAATTTCCCGATATTTTTTTCCCGCGTACCGCTTCAACAAAGCGCGGCATCTCTTCAGTCTCAGGTCCATTAGACGAGCATTCAAACGATGTCCTGTTTTTCTTCGATATGCCCGAAGCCCTAAGTCTTCATTTAACACCCTTTTCACCGTGGTTCTGCTTAACCCCATCTGAAGGGCCAACAGTTTCTGCTTACGTTTGGGATTTCTTTGAATTCGCGCCTTCACAGCTTTTATCACTGCTGGAGTCCTAACAGACCGAGGGCGACCACTTCTTGACCTGTCATCTACACTAGAGTCTTCATTGTATCGTTTGATGGTACGATAAACGAATCTTTTGGTTATATTCAAATTTTTCAGTATGTTAAAAATTTGAATTGGCGCGTAACCGCAACGATGCAACGCAATAACTGCAACACGGTCTTCTTTAAGCGTCCACTCCATATTTAAAAATGAGTAAAATTCTAAAAGTATACATTTTTATTTTCATGAACAATTCGAAATTCGAATTCAATAAACTTTTTTGTGGCCAGTATTCTAAAAGAAAAGTTTTTACTGTGTGACAATACTTATGACCTGACTAGGTAAATATTAGCCTATCCATTAAGTATATGTATTTTGTACATGGATACCAAGTTTCAAGTCAATCGGATGCATGATTCAGTACTTATAACGGAACATCCGTAAAAACCACTGTAGATTTATATATTAGTATAGATATAGATAATATTTGTGGAGTCCCTTAACTACTGAACACCGGGTGGGAAGTAGTACTGCCAATACCGGAAATGTCTCTACGGGTTTCAACAAAATAGTATTTGCTTTTTTTACATACATTTGAAGTGAAAAATTAGCGCTGAATTTTTTAATTTTTTTCACAAGTTTATATAATTTGACATTCCTTATTAAGTGTCTTTACCATTCGTTAAGTGATTGTGATGATAATCGAAGAAATCAAAATCCAATATCCAAGTCTCTTTGTTGCAAAAAAACATTCCAATTATGTGTTTATTAGGTACTAGTTTCTCTTATTCTAGCTGATTTATCAAATGTCATCAATTTTCGAGCACAATAACGATAATTATTGTCTTATAGTAAAAAAAATATATATTCGAATTGTTCTTACCGTGTGGTAGACCTTTTTCGTGTAGAAACTTTATTGCTTGCAATATCTGATAACCATAGTGTGCGATTTGTCCGGTCGTGAATGGTTTCCTTATTTTCGGGTTGCCATACTTCATTAAATAATGTTTACTGTATTCGGTACCGTATAATATATCTCTCAGACTTCCGCTCTCGTGTATCCTTCGAATAACGTAGGCACCATTTTCTAAATTATGTATAGCTAATATTTGGTCTATATACGGGTGCTAAAAATTTACAAAATCAAAATCAAATTTATAAGATTAACAAAATCATAAAAGCGCTATAAATATATTAATTAGTCTAAAGGATTTGAATTTGATAGTTATTTTATACAAAATCACTTTTATGTAAATCTATTCATGAAATTATGGAATTAAGTATGGCACTAAATAAGCAGTATACAGGGGATGCAAATTAAAAAGTGTATTTACATATATTGTAACGTTTGTATATCAGTGGTATACATTATTAAAACACAATGTTTCACAAATTATATTACACGATATTAAAATTATAAAATATAAGCGTATGCTCGAGGCAAAGGGAACTTAAGTTATACAGCATGTTTGCGTTTGTTAAAAAAATATGTTTGATATATCACCGATTTTGAATAAATAATTTTTTTTTGTCAACATCAATCCAATATATTACCGACGCCCAAACAACAAAACCAAGACAGGAAAACAAGATCGGGGGTTCGAACCGAACTCATGAGTTTACCACTTCATAAAATAGTTTTTTTTTTATTGCTTAGATGGGTGGACGAGCTCACAGCCCACCTGGTGTTAAGTGGTTACTGGAACCCATAGACATCCACAACGTAAATGCGCCACCCACCTTGAGATAGAAGTTCTAAGGTCTCAAGTATAGTTACAACGGCTGCCCCACCCTTCAAACCGAAACGCATATGAAGCAGTAGCTTCACGGCAGAAATAGGCAGGGTGGTGATACCCACCCGCGCGGACTCACAAGAGGTCCTACCACCAGTAATTACACAAATTATAATTTTGCGGGTTTCATTTTTATTACACGATGTTATTCCTTCACCGTGGAAGTCAATCGTGAACATTTGTTGAGTACGTATTTCATTAGAAAAATTGGTACCCGCCAGCGAGATTCGAACACCGGTGCATCGCTTCAATACGAATGCACCGGACGTATTATCCGTTAGGCCACGACGACTACTTACCGTTGCCTCATGGGCACAAATGTGAATGTCTCTTAAAACTTGAGATTTGAAATGCTTTTTGGTACTGTAATCCCTAGCGCTGCCGGCTCACACAGCCACGTCCACGCAAAAATAACAAAAATCCCAAAATACAATTACCGAAAGATTTTGTAGGCTCTTGAAGGCAATCTGTAAGTCTTTATCGCAGAGATATCTATCCGGTCCGTAGTGCTGATACGAAAGTAAGCAATTAGTCTTGCTACTAATATCGGACATCTGAAATATACATATATGATTTAAATTAAATAAATGAACAAATATTCATGTCACGAAATTAACGAAAAGAAAACAATACATGTAGGTGACCAATTTAATTTTATGGGACCTTTTTCTAGAAACATGATAGAATTGTACCTTAGAAACAGTTTTTTTTAAGCGTTTTAGTAGTAGTTTTATACTGGGTGTTAAGAGATCGCCTCCGAAAACGAAGACAGATCATAGTTTTTTTTTCTTTCCTGCCTATGATGATAACCTTGAGAGGCTATTTCAGCTTCACCCTAACGTGTAGGTGAGCTTACGGGGCTCAAACAAGAGTGTTGCTAACACTGACCCTAGCAAGAGCAGTTCTTCGAAGAATCTACCACTGGATCGGAAACGCGACCCACTGAGAAGGTCCGGCGAGAAACTCAGTGGGCTGTCTGTGTCTATGGATTAATTCGCTCGTCGAGCCCTTCGTCGCAAGTGACGGGTTCGACGAGGACGGTGACCGGTGCTTGTGGTGCCTAAAATCACCTATGATAGTACTAATGACACCTTTGATGCCTTTCACTTCTCGATATTGTCTGTTTGCATAGCGTAGCAAAAACCTCTAACTAAATCGAATAAAGGACGCGTCAACATACAAACAAATGTGTAGATGTTTTTTTGCTTTTGCAGGCAGACATACGGCCCACCTGATGGTAAGCGGTTATGATCGCTCATGGACATCAGCAATGCCAGTGGCCGGGCCAAGCCTCTGCCTGCCGTTGTCATTATCATATGGCTATTATTATTATTATTTTTTACTATATCTATCTCTGAGCACATTAATAAATAAATTATGAGCCACTGAATATTAACCATACAGGTTTCGTATTTTTACTAATAGAGACGCATTAACGTTTTTTTTTCTTCTTCAAAGTTCATCGACTTCCATTTGCATACAAATAACTTGGATACAATAACAAGTCTTGCAAGTGTATTTTTATCTTTACTGATAAACTCTGCGACTCAGCAGAATATAATATACAAATGAATGTAAAACAATAATTTTCATTTTGATTTTATTAAATTGTCGATATGCATCGTCGCAATTAAAACAAGTTGGCTACTGTAATCAATCCTGTCGCCTAGTATGAGATCGAATTTGTTGTGTATAGGCCTACCCATAATATAATGCTAAAACCAATCGAAATCATTTCTTAAGAAGACAGAAGACAATCAAAAAGTTTAACTTTTAATTGTATCTGATGATTAAAGCGTCATTATAGCCTCAAGGATAAAAATATCTAGGTCCATTTGATTCAAGTGATGCAACTGTATGCAAAACAATCTTCTTAAATATTGTTTAACTAGCGACCCGCCCTCGCTTCGCTTCGGAAACTGTAATTTATTATTGATTTCTCCACTATTTAATGGATGTTATTATACATATAAACCTTCCTCTTCAATCACTCCATCTATTAAAGAAAACCGCATCAAAATCCGTTGCGTTGTTTTAAAGATTTAAGCATACATAGGGACAGAGAAAGCGACTTTGTTTTATACTATGTAATGATGAAGAAAACATCTTACACCGCTGAGTTATAATGACGAAAATGCAGTACATTTTATTACGCACCAAAAAATAATGTTTCCTTATTCTCCATCCAATATCGGCAATGGGTCCTTTTAGTTCATAACGCAAGTCTCCCCTCAAGGCTATTGACACGGTCTGCAGAGATTGCTCTGTAATTAAATAACTAGGTTTCAAATATTGATAGCATATCGACGCTTGAAAGGCAAAAGTAACTAAGCAACAATGCGTGAACATTACGACTAATTTAAAGTTGAAATACCTAAAAACAAAATTTATTTTAATGAATCTAGCTGTAGTAGAATCTAGCTAGTAGCTGTAGGATTGAAATTATTTTAATAGACCTAGAAATAATTATTTTTTTGGCATCGAATATGGTTATTGCCTATCATTTATGTAAAAAGTAGTTATTGTCGCTTAGTCACGTTTGCCTTTCAAGCATCGATATGAACTTAATTCCTTCTGTCATTTCACTAATCAGCTTATAGCTTTAAATGTTAATTGAAAAAATGATTGAGTTAATATCTATATGCAAATAAGGAAAGAGATCATCATAGTAATATCAATATATAACTAGATAGAGAATGCCCACAACACATATAAATCAATGAGCATTTATTATAGTACTTCAGTACACAAGACATCATTACTGTTACATTCTTTCATTTCTACATTCTGTTCTGCACAATCCTAACACACCTATTTATCTGGTCAAGCACTTTAGGTACCTGGTGCCTAGCTACCCAGCTTGCAGATTTCTTATCCACCCATTTAACTGATATGATGGATTTTTACTGTTTGTACAGTGCAATTGCAGAATCCTCTTCTACATTATTTATGTCTTAGCACTGTAATTTTTAATGAATAAATTTACTTTTATCGTATGTATTTATCGATATGTATTTATTTATTTTTATGTCTGTTTATATAAAAAAAAGTTATAGAGAGATATGATAACATGATAATAACTTACAGATAGAATAAAACCTCTTTTTTATTCTGGTTTTTATATCCTTTTTGCTCGGAGTTAAGAAAACTCTTTAAATAGTTAATCTTTGTGCTATTGTCTTACTTGTAAATACTTTCTTGCTTTTGTTATTATAATTCTGTACATAATAAAAAACTAGTTAAATATTATACATACCTGAGATGGCTAATGAATAGTTGTTTGGATCTAGAAAACTTCTCACTGCCAATGACAATGCTAATATCTGATGTTTCAGCACTTCATTTAAATAGTTCTGAAACAATTATTATGATGTAAATAATTGACTATCTAAATTCAACAGACCTAAACCTCAATATCCTCCTGAGGGGTATCACACACATGAAGAAATTGTTGTGGTATAAAGAAGCAACATAACATGTCAGTGGTATTATTGTATCCACAATCGCTTAATATTTACTAATAAAAAATCCTGTCAATATTTACAAATTCGCATGAATCCCAATTTTGCTGGGTAATTAATATATTACCGTGTTTAATAATTATTGTGTTTAATACGTATAATTATATGTGCCGGTGATGTGTAGCACAAAAGTTTTTAATTAATTTGTGACATTTATACATAAGTGTACATTTGAATTAGTCTGGTGTTTTCCTCCATTCCTTATGTTGTTTCTTGCTTGCTGATTGTTTTTAAATTTTTTTGTTTCTATGCTTTTGTTTCTCTAGTGTTTTTAATTTGTTTATATTGGTGAGAACCTTTAATTGGCTTTTTGTTTCTATTATTTGTTATATTATTATACTTTGTTAGTTGGCTGTTGGTTCTCCTTGTATTAAATAAATAAATAAATAAATTACAATTTTTTAGTTCTAAAGTTTTGACTTAGTTCTCACTGCTACTGTATTTATATATTCCTTACCTGCAAAGCCACTTGTCTTTCTGCGATAAATGAAGGCTGCATATTTCCTATGAGTTTTTTAGGTGGGAGAGGCAAATCTATATTGGATTTCAGCAGTAATGAGTGTAGCGATGCAAAATCACTATATCTACGAGATACATTCCACATATTTTCTTTGATGGGGCCTCTTTGAACCCTAATTATGTATTCCTGAAGTAAAATTCAAAGAATTAACTTTTCAATCACTTTTTTGTTTGCACACGTGTGAATGATGTCATATAGGACCTTTACATTGGAATACATCAGAATATTTACCTGCACTTCATATTGATTGAAACTATTGTATTGTGATAATACTGACACATAATAAATAACAGTGGGAGTTGATCAAGAGGCCAATACAGGTATACAAAACATAGTTTAATATCAGAACTTTTTGTCTGTTCTAATTTATCACATACTTAATCAATATTGTGTTTATTAAAATTAAGACTTAGTGGAAAATATTTCAAGTACAAGTGCAATTCAAAGAGTTTTCATATCATCATATACGTGGGTTTTAATAACTACATTTCATTTACTAAACTAACACCTTCAGTTTTACTTTAAGCCAAAAACCATATCATACAAAAACTAAGATCTTAATAAGTAAATTTAAATTTTCTCACTCTTGAAAATATTAATTATCCTAATATACATATTATTATGCGATAAGTTTAAATTAGATAGACCTTGACAATTTAATTTTATGATTTTTGCTTACGGTGTGTTTGTTAATGTTTTGAGCATTTTCTATGAAACACGTAATTTTCGCTGTGTCGTCTAATCTCCATATGACGGACGACGCATTCTGCCACAAAGCCATTGCCGGTATTGCAGATTCATTTAGTTAATTACAATAACAATAATACATTTTTGTTGAATTTCACTGAAAAAATTGTCATTTATAATTGAAACTTCTTAGGAAACTTATCAAAAGTTGGTCTTGTTATTTTAACACACTGTTACACCGATTATTACTTAAAAACAAAGACGCCATCCAAAGACCAAAAAGTGGAAAAGGACTATGTTTATGTATTAATTAATTTTCCGTTTCTGTTTAGAGCAGTTTTTGATTAAAATCACCATAGATTTTTTTTTTGTTTTAGTACAATTTTTCCTTATTAAGAAAGGCAAGGGGATCTAAGCCCATTCAGTAATGTCTGTTCTATATAATTTCTGACCCACCATAGGTATATTTTTTTTTTGGTACAATTTTTCCTTGTTAGGAAAGGCAAGGGGATCTAAGCCCATACAGCCGTAATTAGTAGTAGTAGAGTTTTTCTCCAAGAAAAAGGCAATAGAACAAAGCCATACAGCCAATTCTTAAGTTTTACATCTTTATACCACACCATAAATAATACACTTAATATTTAGGAATAATCATAAACTACATAGCATAGTCAATACACTTATTAAGACTTCAGAGTGATACAATACACTTAAATTTAACGATACTTTTTTTATGATTGATGGATTACCCGTTGCCCGGAGGCCTTTCCAGTTTCACCAGAATGGTAGGCGAGCAAAGGCTCGGCCAGGAGGGGAGGGATTTGCTAACAGCTGCCTGAACGGGTTACGTTTACGGTTCCCTGAGCCTGCCCTACCCTATCTCATCGTGTCTCATTTAATCCATGTCATTTTTCACTTTTATAAGATTAGGCAGTCTGGTATAATAGCTTCGCCTTTCCTCTGGGAATATGTAACTACTACTCAACAAACTTCATTCTGTTTACAAATGCTATTTTTAACACTACAAGTCCGACTGGCGGGACTTTTGTGAGTTTTTGTGAGTTCGTTGTTCCGGGCTGTTGGCGAAGATGATTTAGAAATAATGTTTACACTGATTTGGTATGAGGTTTTAATATAAAAGCGACACAATAACTAAAATAAAATACAAAATGAGTTGAGAATCGTACAATTAAACTAAGACTCGCAATATTTTACTGGTCGTCGTCGCGCGCGCTGAGGGCGTGTGTTTTCGCGCTCAGAGAGCTGTCTCAGCGGGCGGTAAGGCGGCGGCGGGGGCGGTATCGCACGTTCGGAAATTACGTTCCGTTATATCCTCCCCCTCCGAGTCACTAGAACGCCTCGTTAGTGGCTCGGCAGAAACAACAAGACGGGGCCGTCCACGCAGGCATCGAGGCTGTACTGGATCTGAGACCTGACCGGTTTGATTATGATACGGCTTCAAATGAGAAGCATGAAATTCCCCTAAAACCTGCGAATTCAAATCAGTAACCTCATAGGTAGTAGGACTAACGATATTACTGATCTGGTAGGGTCCGTCACGCTTAGGCATGACCTTCTTCGTTCTACCTTTGACGGCATCACTTAACAAGTGCGTAGAGAGAAGGACTAGATCACCTACTTGGTAACTGGGACCAGATAATCGACCTTTATCGGTTTGCTACTTCCTATCATCCTGATGATGTTCAGCGTAAGGCATTGGGGCTCCCCCTGGTCTGAAGACATCCTCGTTGCACTGCAGAAGAGAAGCTAGGCGGTTAACGCTCTGGAGGACACAGCATAGTTCCCTCGTCTTCTCTTAAGAAATCAGCAGCAGAACAAGGCGTGAGGTCACTGGGGTACTCGAACTCCAATGGAAAAANTAATGGTATGTATTGGAATAAAACACAGATATACCATAGACATTAAATAACAAGTGTATTATCTATGCCATAGACATTGAGGAAAAATCAATACCTAGCTACGTTATGTCATTTCCGGTTCTACCGCAACGAGTCGCGAGCGGAGTAACTGGCTTTCCGTCTGCCACAATTATAAGTTTGTGAAAAATGTCGCTGATCTCCGCTCGTATTGCTGGCTCTGTAGCCAGGCGCTTGCCTAATGCTGCTACACAGGTATATTTTCATTACAAATAAGCTTAAGAACACAATCCTCAGGTGATTATGAAAAATCGGCCGGTTAATATAACCATCAGAATCTCGGTCGAATTTATCTTCAATTGGCTTTTTTTTTCTTTTGCCTATAAGTCCTAAAAATAAAATAAATTCATCTTCTCTATCTTTATAGTGTGCGGATACTAAAATATTAAATTTAAAAAAAACATCTGAAAGATCAGTGTTATGTAATAAGAGGGCGATTGATGTTCTATGTGATTGCGGAGATTAAAATTATGGAACATAAGAGTATTTGTGGAAAGTGTTTATTAAAATTATGCTGTGTGTTTAATAAAAGGTGTTAATTAAGTTAAGTACGTGACATAATTTTGTATACCCATTTGGTTATGTCTGCAGGTGTCAAAGGTGGCGGTGCCCGCAGTGGCCGTGGCATCTCGCAAACTACATGTTTCAACCACCCACAAAGCTGCCGAGATCTCCACCATCCTCGAAGAGAGGATCCTTGGAGCCGCGCCCAAGGTCAGTTTTGTAGTATTACATAAAAGTGCTTCTACTATATTTCGTGCTGATCAGGTCATAACCACAATAAATAATTAAGTTAAATTAATTATTAATTGTGTGTAAGTTAGTTTTGTTTAAAATTGGAATAAAAAACTTTTTTGCTAAATTTAAAATACATCAACAGCTGATTCTGACAAGTGATTCAATAGGAAAAACTAAATTTGTTTATTTGAAATATAAACATTTATAGAGTTCATTTTAACGGGTTTTATCCATTAAATGAAAAAAAACATACATAATCATAGTTTAAAGCTATTTCAATAGTATCAAGTTCTAAAAGGTTATGAAATTTCAGTGCTATGTTTTAATTTTTTTATAAAACTAATCTGTCATAGTTTCAGTTCTGAGAATCGTTATAGTTAATGCCTTATTTTAAGCCATGTCCTACTGGAAGGTTAATTCATGCAGAAATAAATAAAACTTCATGATTAGATCTGCAACTCAATGATAAGTAAACTTTTTGCCATCATTAGACTCGAATCATGTCTGTGGTCAAGACAAAATCCTGGAGTAAATACCAGTCGCTCCAGATATATGCACCTGGCACATACAATGAAACAACAATATTTAAATTTTTTATTGAATAGATATAACTGCACTGCACCAATCTTGACACATAATATAGAAGTCTCAATTATATGGTGTAATGACTAAATTGGAATGCACAACTAAAGAATACTACTTACCTAAGTAGGCTCTACCAACTTTTTTATTTTTATTGCATAAATGGCTGGACGATTCACAGCCCACCTAGTGTTAAGTGGTTACCAGAGCCCATAGACATCTACAATGTAAATGCCGCCACCCACCTTGAGATATGAATTCTAAGGTCTCAGTATGTGTGATTATTGCAGTTATAATATTTGCAGGTTTTTTTAATTATATCTTCATTGTGGTTTTGTTTACCTGTCTATGGAATTTGATTAATAGCAACCAAATTGTGAATGCAAGATGAATTAGATGATTAGCAAGATGAATACTTGCTAATTTTATTAAATTATAATAAACTCACAATCGTGGTTTCTGTACCAGGAGATAGAAGATTATAAACGTTTTTATTGTGAGCTTTAAATTTGTGGAACAGGCTGATCTAGAAGAGACTGGTCGTGTCTTGAGCATTGGTGATGGTATCGCTCGTGTTTATGGCTTGAAGAACATCCAGGCTGAGGAGATGGTGGAGTTCTCCTCAGGTCTCAAGGTTAGTAAATAATTTAAAATATATTTCAAGAAACGATGCTTTATAAAGTGTATAGGTTATTTCTAATAAGTAATTCATAAAATAAGTGTTGAAAATTATTTACACAATTGAATCATAGACTATCATAATCATAAAGCTCTAAAAACCATAATTTTTATTTTGAAATAAAACTTTTTCAATTTAATTCTTACAAATACTAAATTATAAAAACAAAAATTATTTTCTTAGGGAATGGCCCTTAACTTGGAACCTGACAATGTGGGTGTGGTAGTATTTGGTAATGACAAGCTTATCAAGGAAGGAGATATTGTCAAGCGTACTGGTGCTATCGTAGACGTTCCCGTCGGAGAGCAGATCCTTGGGCGTGTAGTAGATGCTTTGGGTAACCCTATTGACGGCAAGGGACCAATCGACACGAAATCCCGTATGAGGGTCGGTATTAAGGCGCCAGGTATCATTCCCCGCGTGTCTGTGCGTGAGCCTATGCAGACTGGTGAGTTACGTGTTATTAAATCTGTATAAAGTACACCGCTGTCACCTCTTCTTTATTAATAAATTATGTTTGCCTTATTTGTTTATTAATAAATTGTAAAAAAAATGCAATTAATTCCATACCGAGTATGCTAAAAATTGCTGTGAACAAAATTTCATTTTTCCAATATAAAAAATTCCCCTATATCTGCTTAAAAACAAGTAAATTCGATTTTTTTTAAATTTAGTGGTGACAAAATACTACATGATTATTAAATATTTTTTGATGTTCAGGTATCAAGGCTGTTGACTCTCTGGTACCAATTGGTCGTGGTCAGCGTGAGTTGATCATTGGTGACCGTCAAACTGGTAAGACTGCCCTGGCCATTGATACCATCATCAACCAGCAGCGATTCAACAAGGGTGAGGATGAGAAGAAGAAGTTGTACTGCATTTATGTTGCCATTGGACAGAAGAGGTCTACTGTAGCTCAAATTGTGAAGAGATTGACTGATGCTGGTTTGTACATTTCATTTAATGAACATTTACAATGTGCTAGAGTTGTTTAAAATTCAATAAATAGCATAAAAAAATCATTTAAATCACATAGTATCAAATAACTTAGCAATAAAGATTTTTTCTTAGTCTGTCTTTGTCTATATAATATTTGTTTTATTGATATGTAACTGATTTAAAAGTTTGTTTGTCCCAATCCTTTGTTAACTTTTGTCAAGATTTTACAGCATTTCTTTGTAGCATAATCAAAATATTGTATTTGTTATCATTGTAACAATTTAATTTTACCATAATTAAACTTGATTAATACTCCAGGTGCCATCAACTACACAATCATCGTGTCTGCCACCGCTTCCGATGCTGCTCCCCTGCAGTACCTGGCTCCGTACTCTGGTTGTGCCATGGGTGAATTTTTCCGTGATAATGGCAAACACGCCCTTATCATCTACGACGATTTGTCCAAACAAGCCGTAGCCTACCGTCAGGTACAATATCACCTAATACTGTTTATAATGAAATTTATATCAACAATAAGGTTTCAAACCATAGTTCTTTTTTTGTGTACAGAATAAGACTTAACAGATTTATTCTTTATTGTTTACAGATGTCTCTACTGCTGCGTCGTCCCCCCGGCCGTGAGGCTTATCCTGGTGACGTGTTCTATCTTCACTCCCGTCTGCTTGAGCGTGCCGCTAAGATGTAAATATTCAAAGTTGTTATAAAGATAAAATTATGATGTAATATGACTTAAACTGGATAATATAGGTTAATTTTTTTTAATAGAGGAATCAATGCCAAGTCCATGAATAATTTGAAACCAATTATAAACAAATTTCTAACTTAAAAACTTAAAATCACAAAGGAAAAAGTGTTCCCTTTTTTTCTTTCTATTTTGTAATGTGATAAATGTATTTATAACAGGTCTGACAAAATGGGTGGTGGCTCACTGACTGCTTTACCCGTCATTGAAACCCAAGCCGGTGATGTGTCAGCTTACATTCCCACCAACGTGATCTCCATCACTGATGGACAGATCTTCTTGGAAACTGAGCTGTTCTACAAAGGTATCCGACCAGCCATCAACGTCGGTCTGTCTGTATCGCGTGTCGGATCTGCTGCTCAGACCAAGGCTATGAAGCAGGTGAATATGCTAAAAATTTTAATTTGCATCTCACAGGTTAAATTAATGTCTTGCAAGTGTAAAAAAAAAATTGTGTTGTACTAAGGCAAAATGAAAAGTCTTGTTTGTCATGTGATTTTTAGGTGGCCGGTTCCATGAAGCTGGAATTGGCTCAGTACCGTGAGGTCGCAGCTTTTGCCCAGTTCGGTTCTGACTTGGATGCCGCTACACAGCAGCTGCTCAACAGAGGAATGCGTCTTACTGAGCTCCTCAAGCAAGGACAATACGTGCCCATGGCTATTGAGGAACAGGTATTAAAATATAAAGATTCGAATAAATTGAGGTTTTTGACTCTCATAAATGAAAAACTCTAAATATCATCATTTTGATTTTGTTTTGTTGAAATACTAATGGGATTTATATATGCATAGGTCGCCATCATTTACTGCGGTGTCCGCGGTCACCTCGACAAGCTGGACCCCTCCAAAATCACTGCCTTTGAGAAGGAATTCACTCAACACATCAAAACTAGCCACCAGGGTCTTCTCTCCACGATCGCCAAAGACGGTCAGATCACCCCCGAATCTGACGCCTCCTTGAAGAAGATCGTCACAGACTTCCTAGCTACTTTCACCCAATCGCAGTAAACTAGTTTATGTAACTTGACGTGTGACTGATCTCAAAACTCGAGTTTGTAGAGCAGTCCCATATCAAATTAAAAGCTTCGCCTGACGGAAGTACTGCTGTAATGTCTACAGTACTTTCATGAGACGAATAGTAGTATAGCATTCATATGGGCTGTATTGAATGTTGATACAATCATGGAATGTATTTATCTCGTGTTGGAGCGGTTATATAACAGTAATAAATGTCTTACACACTATGTATTGTTTTATTAACTCCTAACCAACCAAAAGACAGGTACTACTGATAAAGCAATAAACTAATAATAAAAATAAATGTTGAAATTATGGATTTATGCATTTTAAGTTCCCGGTAGGAGAAGGGCAACAAGCATTTGTGATTGGTCATGTGACCTAAATACTTAAGGGCAGCTGTCATCGCAACGTTGAAGTGGCAGTGGGCAGGACACATTGCTCGTTAGAACGGATGGCCGCTGGGGCCAGAAAGTTCTTGAGTGGCGACCGCGTACCGGAAGAGGTAGTGTGGGTAGGCCTCCTACAAGATGGACCTACGATCTAGCGAGGTTCGCGGGGTTCCGCTGGATGCAGGCAGGGCAGGACCGGTATTTGTGGCGAGGCTTGTTGGAGGCCTATTTCCAGCAGTAGATGACCGGGCTGATAAGATAAGAAGAAGAAGCTGCCGTCATCTACAAGTACTCTTAAATGCAATGCACATTACCTATGACAAATGCCATTCGACAGACAACGCAAGACATCAGACAGTAGCTCTAATGGGCTGTTTTCCTTATGCCAATTTATTGGGATAGTTAGCTACTTTATTATATTGTAAAACCTTGGTGTCCGCCGAAAAGCGACCAATTAGGATGGTGTAATTTCATATATTATAGTGCCCAAAGTTAGGTATAATTTTTTTCAACTCCACACTTCTCTATTCGCAACTGCTAATAAATTATGAAATGCAGGTGAAAATATTGAAAAGGGAGGGAGTTAGATAGGAAGGCAGGTTGGAAAACAAGTAAAGAAGGAAGAGTCGTCAGTGCACGTAAATTATGACTCTGGCGAATCTATAGAAGTCTGAACCACGCACGACCGGAAAGTAGGTATAGTGATGATTAAATGATCAATGAATGATATTTAGAAATAAAAGGAAATCGTATGCAGTAGGAAGGTCTGCATTCAAAATAACAACCCCCGTAATCAATTATAGGAAAGATCAGACCTAGTACGTATAGTCTTTAGGGTCTTATGGTAAGTCTTAAGGCAATAAAGAAGACGAAGAATATCATAGGTTTTCTGTCCGACGCTAGATGTTTTCCAGTTGAGTGTCTAGTCAACGTAAAGGGCCAAGTTCTTAACTACAGTATCTAGGACAATAACTATTATTTACAGGGTGAAAATTAAATATGACTTATGGCTTATAGCAACCCAAACGGTAGCCGCGCCTGGCCGCACGCCGCGACCAATCAGGAACTCTCGTTGTCGGCTCCCAGCGCGACTCAAAGAGTAGTGAGCGAGGGATTTCTTATGGTCCACCTGATGGTAAGTTATTACTGTCGCTCATGGACGTCAGCAATGACAGGGGCAGAGCCAAGCTGCTGCCTATCATTGAGTACTCTCCACAAGCCTCGTTTGAAGAAGTTCATGTCATAGCGCTCGGGAAACACCATGGAGGGGAGTTCATTCCAAAGCCGGATGGTACATGGCAGAAAAGATCTTTAGAAACGCACTGTCGATGAACACAGCGGCTCCAGATAATATGGATGTACTCTGCTCTGGTGGCGGAAGGTGAAAGGGAAGGAAATGAGGGGATCATCCCGAATTATTCCCCATGGAACATACGGCACAAAACATAGAGAGAAACAAAGTCCCTCCGTAGACCTAGAGGTTTCAAGCGATCCGCGATAACGGGACTATTGACAACCCGAACAGCCTGTTTCTCTATGGAGTGAAATGGAAAAAGCTGGTATTTGGGAGCTCCGGCCCAGAGGTGGGAGCAGTACTCCATGCGAGGGTCGACCTGTGCTTTGTAAAGCGAAAGTCTTTGTCCAGGCGTGAAATGCCACCTCGCTTTGTTGAGAACTCCCAACATTTTGGAAGCCTATTTAGCTTTACCTTCCAAATGACTCCGATACTGAACACCGCTCGAGAAATCAACCCCTAGAATCTATATACCTATTCGCGGAAAACTGCAGGGTTACTCCTTAAAATTGCGTCGCTATAACAAAAGGATCCTTCTCTGCAGTGAACGCGCAAACCTGTGTCTTCAATGGGTTGAACTGAACGGAATTTAATTCATTAAAATATCTTTTAAAATAATTTAAACCAACCCCAAATAATTGTAAATTATTGATGATTGCGTTCTTACTTGAAACAGAAACAGCAGGATTTCTATTTTGTATCGATATTGTTTTAGGAAAATGTTAAACTTCTACGAGTATTCATTAGTCGCCCTATGTTAAATTTATTTATAACCTGTGCTTATGTCGACAAAAAGTACATAATATGACCTAAAGGTCTCTGTTCTCATGTCATAAAGTTAAAAAAGAAAGTTCACAATACAAAACCTGAAAATTAGCGCTAGACCGAAAAAAAAACTGAAACCTTTGTAAATATTAAACATATGTAGATAAAAGTTAGCTTTAAGTACTTTAAAGATTTAATAAAAGCTATTGATTTTCTTCTGTTTGATTCTAGCTGTAATTCAGGCAAAAATGGATTTTTTTGAAAAAGCTCACGTTGTGAAAAACGAGACCTCAAAAGAGAAATCAAACTTATTAGTAAAGAAGCAACTTAAACAAATGCTAAGAGGCTATAAACAAAGTGACAATAAACTTATACAGGAGGCTACAATATTAAAAAGCAACTTAATAGACCCCGCTCTTGACTTCGATGATAACACATCAGTTAGCGGGTTTTCAGATCTGAACCTCACTAATTCCAGTCTTGATAGTTTAACTCCGAATACAGAAAAAACACAAGACAAAAGTTTAGATGACAACGATTTCAGTGATTTAGTTAATGATGAACAAATCGTACAAGATATAGATGAATCTATTTCTGAAAGCAATGATGATATCCAGTCACTCTCGGAGGTTAGTGAAGAAACCAGCGACATTAAATCAGACGAAAGTGATGTCGTATCTTTAATTAATAGCTTAGGTGAAAGTTCAGGGGCAGATGTTTATGAGACCGAATCTGATGATTTTGATACTGATGGAGCTTTAGCTAGTACAATACTAAAGAACTTAAAAAATAAATCTAATGAAGGTACTAAAACTAAGAAGAGAAAATTAGATCCCATAGATTCTGCAAGTAAATCTATGGATAAATTCGACAGTATGTTAAAGTCAAAAAAGAAATTAAATAAGAATACTATTAAAAAGAATAAAATTAAAAATTCTGATACTGCAAATGAATCTCCTCAGTCTGATGATATCAATTCTTCTTCCTCATCCACTAATTCCTTACCTTACATTTCAATAAAAGCAGCAAACATGCCGGAGCAAAATCTTAATGAAATATTAGGAAAATATTGTCATCCCACTGTGAAAAACTTACTTAGCGACTGCCACACAGCCGTAAAAGATTTTAGCATATTTTCTACTGAGAGCATTAATAGCTCAGAAATTGAAATTGAAGAAGAAGCAGACAGCTTAGTCCCCGAGTTAGGTGATGTAGCTGTTATTGACGAGTTAGAAGCAGAGACAAACCCAGAAACTTTAACTGAAATAGCCAGCATTGCTGTTGATGAAACAATGCCATTAGAAAACATTAGTAATGAAGAAGATTCAGTTGATTTTACAAATAAGCCCAATTTGGATTCAGTACAGATTTATTATGGAACAAAACATTGTGTTTTTGTATTGAAACATCCAGCAATATTGTATTTTCATGGTAAAGTAACAATGAGAGCATTAGGTGGCCAAATGGAAGTTTTTGGATACAATTTAAAAGATCAATACCAAGAAGTATATGCTCCAAGATTGAATTATGCTTTATCTGTAAAAACGGTAGAGTCTGAAAATAATTATCAGGGTCTGTTTAGTAAACTGACTGCTGTAGGGATATCTGTGAAAGAAGCTGAAGAAATTGTAACAACACTTGGAGAATATGATGGTATTCTCAGTCTTGGACCCCTGAAAGACTACAAAATGGATTTTGTAGAAAATAATTTTAGTATATGCGAACTGTTTACGAAAACAAAAAATGTTGAATCCTGTTTTCATAGAGCATCAGACATTTTAGGTTGTTCGTTGTATTTAAAAAGACCCTTGAGGACATATGAAGAAAGACCACAGTGGGAACAGGCATATACATACGGGACAGGTTTGTATATTAAATCTTGTGTAATTTCCAACTAACAAATTTTGATGTAGGTAAATTGGGGTAGTTCTAAGAAAAGTGTTATTGGTCATTTTACTAAATAAAAAGTTTGTTTAATTTGAAGTCAATGCCAGAAACAACAAAAGCCAAATAGGAAAATACTGTACACACCTATGGAGACAAATTGGAAAAAAAATCATACTCATACTCATAGTTTCAATCTCATACTATTGAGAGTTTCTTGTCTATATTTTAATTAAATTTGGAAGGTTAGTTTAGTTTAGGCACTCTTAAAGATACTTCTTTACTTTTTTAAATTTATAAAAATATTATAAAACCTAAACAGAATTTTCTATTTGTTTCAAAACGGAATTTTTAAGATAACATGATTATGTAACATGATTGAATATAAAGAAACTGTTTTTTTAACCGTGGATTCCAAATAAGAAACTTCACTTGATGTAATTTGAGATGCATTTGCCTGAACAAAAAATGCAGGAATTTTATATCACTATTCTTCAATTCTAAAATCAAACAAAACAATTCAGTTGAGGTTTGAAGAACCCTATGTTTGCTTGACTTTATGTTGATACCATAATTCGGTAGTCTGGTTGTCTGCAATATAAATAAATGTGTAAATAGTGTTTATTTTTCAAATTATGTTTTTAGATTCAGGAGCTAGAGGTATTATATGTGGTGGGAAGGGGACTGGGAAGTCAACTATGCTCAGATACCTATGCAATAGATTGCTGGATCATGGACCGGTGCTAGTCATAGATTTAGACCCGGGCCAGGCCGAGTTCACAGTAGCAGGAAATTTATCTGTAACAATTGTCAATGAGCCATTACTCGGACCTAATTTCACTCATTTGAAGACACCTGAGAAGTAAGAGTCATAGTTGCTTTTCAGTACATTATAACAAAACCCAGTTAGACAGTGGATTATTTTAAGCTTGTGCTTATCTACATTATAAACACTATTATTAATTGTTTTATACTATTATTTTTAGTTTTAATGGTTTCCTGATGTTTCTCTGCAGTCTTTGGTCTACCAGTGATGGTGGCGCTTAAAACAGTCAGAAATAATTGTTTATAATGATTGTAGGTACTATGTATCAAATATTCCCTAATATGCCAAAGACACCCACAGTCTTATACCAATCAGGAGACTGATGTACACCTAAAACTAAATTATCTGCTTTGTTTTAAATTTCTGAACACATACTTGAAGTATTTCGATTTCAAAATCATTTATAGCAATATTTTTACTTGCTATGCCATACAATGTGTGAATATGTTAATTAGTCAACGTTAGAACAAGGTGAATAGTGTTTTTTTTTTTTGTAAAATACATTCCTTGGCAATACTAATAAGACTGGATTATTTTAAACAATATTTTAGGTTTATTATTTATTATAGTTATATTATTGATTGAAGTTAGATATAAGCAAAAACATCATTTAAATTTATAAATGGTTTCTAAACAAACTGCTTATTCTCTTATTTCAGGATGCTAAACATTGGCATGATTAGCCCTATGGATAACCCAACCAGATACGCTTCGGCTGTCCAAGATATTATTGCTTATTGCCACCAAACCCACAAGTACAGATCAATGCCGTGGGTCATCAACACAATGGGAATGACCAACAATTTAGGACTTAAATTTATGTTATTGACTATTTTGGCAGCGAAACCGACATTTTTATGTCAGATATATTGTAAATCCTATAAAAAACAGTTTGAATGCCCATTACAATCAAACTCTGTAAGAAGATTGTGTGAATTTTATAAAAATGATAGATTGCTCAAGAATACCATTTGTCCGGAGTATTTTGATTACAATTTTATGACATTCATTACCGTAAATGAATCTAGTAATCAACCAAAAAGGGCCATACCACTAATGCCTAGAGATGAAAGATATTTAAATTATTTGGCATATTTCGGAGAGTTATTGAACATGCACCAAGGAACAAATATTTTAGGAATTGTGCCATATTCGTAAGTTTATTTCACCTTCAGAATTATTGGTATAACAAATCCTATCGAATTGTTACTTGAGTAATAATTTTATTTTTTTATTTTTTTTGTTGTTGCTTAGATGGATGGACGAGCTCATAGCCCAATTGGTGTTAAGTGGTTACTGGAGCCCATAGACATCTACAACGTAAATGCGCCACCCACCTCGAGATATAAGTTCTAAGGTCTCAATATAGTTACTTACTAGTAATTTGAATGTGAACAGTTAGATGCCGCTGCACTATGCATTTATTTCGTGTTTCGAAGAGTGGGACAACCAGTGATACTGCTATGTAATCGTGTCTATAAGAATCAAAATGTGATCACTTCTATAAATAGTCAAAAAGTAAATTTACCAAGGAAAAGTCTTCTATCAGTTTTTAGAAGAGAGTTCAGAGTTTATAGAAGTAGGTAGTCAAATCCACTAAAAACGCGTGAAATTATGTTTTGTAATAGGTGTTTTTATTTACACTCAATCAGGCAATCACGAGCGCAAATCCATTTGAACTGATAGCGATTTCCAGGCAACTCCTGATTATAATTATTTAGCCATAATCCACCTATCAAAAACAAAAAAGTTCACATTAATATATTTAATTGCCTAATCTGCAATTTATAAAATTACGTCCCATGATGTTAAAGATTTTTTGTTTACAAACAAAACAACAACAAATACCGAGTTCGAGCGAAATAAAATGAGAATGCCATCAATGTATTTGAAGAAAAATAAATATACATAATTAAGGATAACTAAAAAACTACTGGTCGACTAATGATAAAAATAAAATGGGACCACACGAGAATCATCAGCTTTGTAATAACAAAAAAAAGAACTATCAAAATTAGTTCACCTAGAAAAAAGTTCAGAGGTAATACATAAAAGAAAATACAGTCCAACTGATAACGTTCTCCTTTTTTTTGAAGTCGGTTAAAATTCAATGTAAATAAAAAATAATAAGGAAATACTCATTTTAACAACTAAAGAAAAAACATTAAATAATTCATTGCTTTACTAATTTATATAGTTAATTTATAACTTGAAAATTAACTTTTACGACAAATACGACGTAAATGCGTCACCCACTCTGAGACATAAGTTCTAAGGTCTCAAGTATAGTTACAACGGCTGCCCCACCCTTCAAACCGAAACGTATTACTGCTTCACGACAGAAATAGGCGGGGCGGTGGTACCTACCCGTGCGGACTCACAAGAGGTCCTACCACCAGTAAAAAACGTCTAGCAATCCATTTTTTTCTGGCAGGGGATCAAATCATGGGAAGTTTCAGAGCCTAGAGGGCGCGCGGGGTCCTCTAGCAATCTTGATATTTATGAACGACCGTAAACATTTACCATTAGACGGATGATAACACGATCCATCTTCGATGAGAACAAAATAATTGAATTCAACGACACATTATTATCTCTAAATGTTTTAAAAATTAAATGTGAAACAATCCGTTTCAAATGATTTGTTTAAGATTCAGATTCAATATCAATACGTCAAACGGGATAATAATTTTACATAATATATTAAACATGTTTATTAGAAAATATTTATGAGGGAATCGGAGCAGAGTTCATCCATATTATCTGGAACCGATGCGTTCATCGACAGTACGTTTCCAAAGATCTTTTTTGCCACTTACCATCCGGCTTTGGAATGAACTCCCCTCCACGGTGTTTTCCGAGCGCTATGACATGTCCTTCTTCAATCGAGGCTTGCAGAGAGTACTTAACGGAAGCAGCGGCTTGGCTCTGCCCCTGGCATTGCTGACGTCCATGAGCGACGGTGACCACTCACCATCAGGTGGGCCGTATGGTCGTCTGTCTACAAAGGCAGTAAAAAAAACGTCTATTCTGTGTAATTTGTAATAACAGTGATAAAGAGAGGAAAATAAAAGTAATGTGCGACTAAAATAATTTTAAGAAATCTTGCAAAATATTTAATTTGGCACAAAAACAAAAAAGTTGCCCTGAAAACCATTAATAAATATTCACGCTCCTTCAGAGTTCACGGCTTGAACGTGGAAGTGGTCTAAGATTGTTTGATACACACAAGTATCCTTCACACTCATAGGATTTCTCATTTTCTGTAGTCCCATCTACTGAGTTTGCCAATCTTTGGCGATGATAACCAACTACCGGAGACTCCGCGTAAATGATATTAGAACGAGTTCTCAAGGCTGAAGTCTCAGTTGCATTGGATTAACCTCTATTCCGTGCTTCACACGGCTGCAAGAAATAACGCGTATGCCAGAAGTACAGATATTTCTTTGTGATATGGTGACGTCAGCGCGTGCGATTTAAAAAAAAGCCTTAGCACAAGTAATCTGTTATTTTTAGCATTATCTATGTATCACTTGCATATTTTCTATCCTTTTTGCGGCCACACCGGACAAGGTCAGGGCTCCTAGCTCTTGCACGATCACCAAGCGATTATAAATACGAATAGCAATAACATTGCAAATACCAATAATTAGTGAGATAATACTCGAGAACTTAGATACTACTGGTTTTTTTTTTTTACATCGACGATGAGAAACGTTTTTTAAGTAGTTAACGGTCCCCATAGAAAGTACCTTGAGATATGAATCTAAATATAAATCGCATAAACAACTTTCGGCCCTTCAAACGAGATCGAAAATTATGGTTCACGGCATAAATAGGCTAGTGGTACTTACACTTGGGGGCTCTTAAGATACCACAAGTAATTACGCAAATTAATATTCTTGGAGTTTTGAATTTTACTACCGTTACGATACTGTATATCTTCATCATATTTATTTCGTAAACGTGTATTAAGTAGTAACTGCTGTCTCACTTTTCACACCGGAACGACCAACTTTTTCGCGGCAGAAATAGGCGGGTAGGTAGTACATACCTAAGTGAGTAATCACAAGACCCCCACCCAGGAATAATCTAAGTTAATCTTTATCATGTCACAATCTTTATAACCCCACTATTCTAAATAATTGGGCATTGCTAACGTCCATGAGCGACGGCAACCACTTACTATCAGGTCATATGATCGTCTGCCTGCTCGGCCAATAAAAAAAAGTAACTCGAATAGATTAAAGATTTATAATGTCAGTTGTTTCGCTAAACACAATTATTATTTTGCGTATAATACTGAGTCACTTATACATAGTAATGCTGAAGAAGGATGCTCTGCATATCTGAGCATCGCACTAACGCCTCGGTTCTAAAAGAATATCTCTCAAAGGTTGTCGTCAACAGCGCAATCCAGGATTCTCCAATATTTTGGACACGTATCGCGACGGCCAGCAGAGTCGATCGAGAAACTTACTGTTCAGGATAGGGTCAATGGTTAAAGTTCTCGTGGACGAATCCTCATGAGCTGGACTGATCAGATGAAAATTCTTACCATAACTCCACTTAACGAGTGCGTGCGCCAAACCTCAGTTCACGAACTATGGAGAACAGCTGTCAAGGCTTTAATAAACAAGGATTACATATAACCACGACTGCTCTGCCAAGAGTAACCGACTATTATGATGATGATGATGACTAAATCGCCAAATTCAATTTAAAACGGTCGGTCGTTGCATTTTTTTTACATACCAATAATTCTTGGATGCATTATTTTCATGGTTTTCGCTTATTCTATGTATGTATCTCATGCATTTTAATTGTAAGGCATCTCTGTTTTCGACTATAGCAGTGACGCCATACATAACGCCGCATGAATCACGCCTATCTGTCTTTTAAGTTCGCATGACGTAAGGTATATTTCAGTAACCGCCAAAGGATCGTTACATTAAAAGCCAAACATAACTTTCTTAAGTAATACTATAGTCAAATTGCTTTAAAATATCATTTTGTGTGTACACTAAATGAACGATTCTTTTATAAATATTTTGATAAGTTTTTGCGTGTCGTAGTCATGATTGAAAGTACTTTTACGGACGTTTACGGAATAATCTCGCGTTTTTTATAGTCGATATAACGACCATCCTTTTCTGGCTACTAATTACTTGCATATTAATTAGAAAGTAATTGCTCTAATAAATTGGTGCTACGTAAGAATAGAATGCTCACTTCGCGTATCTTATTCGTAGTATTGTCATGAGGTATTGTGATTGCGATGATTGTTTATGGGTTCGGATAACCGTTTAAAACTAAATGGGCAGTGAGCAACTAAATCAAGAAAAAAAGCTGCTTTTTGCATTGAAAAATTGTTTATTGGCCTTTAAAAAAAGGAAAACAAAATAACCTCTAACTATTTAGTATACTAGGTAGTAGTAGAAATACAGTAAAAAACAAATTCTAGTTTGCGTTTTCTCGTAGGATCATGATCGGTTTTTTATTTTATTTGGAGTCAGTAAATTTTATTTTTGTATTGAACTGTGATGTCATCAATCAAAGTTAAAATAAATTTTGTTTCCACTATATAGGTGTGTTCACTAATATTTGATTGGTGATCCAATTATTTCGCGGTTTATCAAGATATCGGGATAGGTGTAGATAAGCGTTAATTTTTACATTAATAGATTTGCGACAAAAACCGGGCCTTGATAAATAATAAATTGTTTCTTAACAAAGCCAGCATCTAGTGAATTAGGTATTCTGCGGTGTCTTCACCGTCAATTTCGTCGATCAGAATTTCAAATATAGAAACCACACAACGTTGGATATAATTTGAAAGTACATTCAATTGGCCATTGATCTATGAGAACAGCTTAATTTATCTTCAATTACATTGGTGTTTCTCACAAACCACCCAAGGATTCGGTCTTAAGAATGAGTCACTCTTATTAAAAGCGACCAACTCCTATTAATTCAGTTAATTGATTCGGGCGTTGAAGAAGCATTATTGTGTAACTATAATAGTGACTTGTTATTGCAGTCCGATAATGTAGGCACACAATCTCATTGCCAAGCACTTGTTTCCAGTACTTTTTATATATTTAAGAAGCAGACATGAATATATGTATATGCAGAAATATGAAGTTTCATCAAAATCAGTTTTCGCATGATATTCGAACACACAAAAAAGTCAAAAGTCGTTAAATATGTATATAAAATATAATGAACATCGCGTACCTCAATTTTCTGATATAAGCCTTGTTTAAATTCCGACTGATTAGTCTTAAGCGTAAAATTATTGCCCCGAGACAAACAATATTAATTTTATCAAATACCTAAAATTGAGTAGTGAGTAATAAATAGATAGTGCTCCAGGAAAAGAGTGAATCAGCAATGCTAGACTATGTTAACTTACTGCTTCACTTGCTAGATTAAATTCTTCGCTAAGAACTTCGACTTTAAAACGAACAAGTTACTCAGTTATTAAAGTATCCATATTTCATTTACCTTTTATTGTAATGCTAACATTTTAATAATAATAATAAAAGATTTTGTGCAGTTTGCATCACGTAGATTCGTAATGAAATATGATAATCGTTTTAATTTTACGCCGATCCGTTATAGATAGCTGTAAACCATATGTACGTATGTATATGCGGACGTACGCGCATTCAAATCAGATTAGCATTGCCATTTCGTTACGATAATTATTTTCATATAGAAAATGATACCGAACCGACAAAATAATGACGAAAAACCTCGTTTTTTCATGTTTCAGAGTGGAATTGAAAAACTTATGTATAGGTCTGAACGTGAGAGTGCCCGAGGATACAGTTACCAAGGTGATCAATGGCAAAATAGTAGCGCTTTGTAAACTGACAACCGTTGATAAGGGCAAAATGTTTACACTGGGAGATAAAGCAATACCATGTCTTGGAAACGGTAATTTTTATCCAATCTAATTAAGATTAAACACTAAGTTTACAATGATCACACACATGATTTGGGAAACTAATGATGTATTAAATAGAAATTGTTTTACTGAATTCTTGTTATAATATTAAGATCCAAAATAAAACGAAGGTTAACTGTATGAATAATTTAAATCTCTACTGTTAATAAATATATAGAAAAATGAATAATTATCAAGTAATTAAAGGTTTTTTCCTTCAGTGATGATGGTGTATGCATATTATCTATAATTTTATATATTTTCGTATTTTGGAGTAATAATATCATAAAAATGCGTTATCATTAAGTGCAGTAATAAATTGTTGATTATTCTTGATAAATTACAATATCGGACAAAAATGATATTGGTTCCATTTTCAGGTCTGGTGCGCTGCGTGGATTTAGAGAAACAAGTATTGTACATCATCACTCCATTGCCTGTTGGAATACTCTCTCAAGTTAACACATTGGTGTATTCGGATTGGGCTCCGGAGATAGTAGGGCAAGAGAAATACTTGCCAGACAACATAATTGTCCCTTACCGCATTACATCCCAGCAGAAACAGAAACAGCTCATGATAACACCACGCCGACGGTTCAACCCTTTAGTATTACTGAATATGTCAAGGAAAACCTAAATTGAAACTTTCAATTATTTGTTAATAAATTTGTAATTGGAATAGTTCCAAAATAATTATATATCTTAAATTATAAAAGGTAATCTAATATAATGTTAATTCATGTATATTTCAAAGATAATTTTGTACTTACAATACTAATAAAACATAACATAGATGTGTTTAACTTAAATTTTAAATATACCCCATTCCTGACACCTTTGATTTATAAATGCTGCAGAATTTTTATAAAAGTCAAAAAGAGTCTAGAAAAATGTTAAAACATAGGGTTCCTTTATTACTAATAAATTAGAAAGTTATAAATTTCACACAGATAATAGATTACAATAAAATTGCCACAGTATCAGATTGGACGTCTCAAAGACACAGCTGACAGGCACTTGGCTGAGAGTGGGGCTCGCGCTCCGTGTCAAATAAACATCCTACACAAATTTATACATCACTATTTTATTGAAAAATTAAAATACAAAATACCAAACTAAACAAGTCTCAGTGAGATGACACCGGTCGAGGAATTATATATCTATGTTGAAGAAATGCTACTCGATTATATAACATGATATAGCACAAAAAAATCTTAATGGACCCGTGGAGACAGGGAGTCCACAATCGCCCCTGACATATTGTTAAGGCATTTATGCTTAAATTTATAGATAAACTATAAAATATACAAGTACCGATTATGAAAGTGTAGCCACACGAATACTGAGTGGATGTGCGTGCAACGCGGGACGCGACTGCGTCAGCTGTCAGTATTGGAAGGAAGCACTGTGTGGCTGACGCCGCGACTGCTGTAGAGTCCGAGTCGTTTCAAACGTAAGTTATCAGGCAGTATGCGAACCATTCATAAATCAGAGTTTTCCCGACAACAGCACACTTACAGCAGAGAACACCTAGTCTTCTTCTTCTTCTTGACCTGTAATGCGGCTCTGGTTGCTGTTTCAAACACCTCACGTACACCTTCCTTGCTTTTGGCAGAGCATTCCAGATATGCAAACGCGTTAATCTTTTCAGCCATAGCCCGGCCTTCCTGCGGTTTCACAGGCTCTTGCTTCATTTTGCGAAGCTCGTTGATGGTGGCGGGATCGTTGCGGAGGTCTTTTTTGTTGCCTACTAAAATAATAGGCACGTTGGGGCAGAAGTGCTTTACCTCAGGGGTCCACTTCTCTGGGATGTTCTCGAGCGAATCCGGCGAGTCCACCGAGAAGCACATGAGGATCACATCCGTATCTGGATACGAGAGCGGCCGCAGCCGATCGTAATCTTCTTGGCCAGCGGTATCCCACAGAGCCAGTTCCACTTGTTTTCCATCCACTTCGATGTCGGCAACGTAATTCTCAAACACTGTCGGCACGTATACTTCCGGGAATTGATCCTTGCTGAACACTATCAGCAGACATGTTTTACCGCATGCACCGTCACCGACGATTACTAACTTTTTGCGTATCGCAGCCATCGGTCCTGTGAAACAATACAACGCAGATAATTATGATGATGTCGAGCGTCAACGCCTTTCATGACTTATAAATATGGCCGCCACAGGATTATGGGTAGGGAGTTGTTAGACAAGCCCTCAAATGTGAATAAGCACCTGAACTAGCGGAAGAAGAACACCACCACATAGTACCCTCACATGCGAGGGTGGTATTTATTATATTTTGTAGATACCTGAAGATTCTGGCTAATTTCTGCGGAATATTGGCTTTATCGACACTTTTTTTAATCGTCTTTGCTCATCACAAGCACTTTCGTTCATAAGTCACTAATGTTGCAATCACTAAAAAAGTAACTCCCAAAAGTAAACAAGTTTTTTTTTTTTTTTATGTATTTCAAGCACTCAATTTAGTGACATGGATTTAAACTTTCGAATATTTGATCAAATATAAAGAAATACAATCATTTTTAAATGTGAACTAAATAATACCATGATTTTTTTTAATCTGACACTTTCGAAAATGTGCATATCTGTGTTGTAAGTGAATGGTAGGTTTCATTGTGTCAAATGAATCGTGTGACCATACCGATAATGCCACAATAAATAAATTATAGATTATTTGAGATTAAAAATTTAAGAAAGACAACAGGATTTACGCTTTGCTCATTTCAAAGCTAGTCTTGTAACTTCTTTACTAATTTCCATTTATAAAGGCTTCTATTTACTGATGAAAAGCGAACAAAACAAAATATGAATTAATAAAAAATTTAAAAATTATTATATTGAATAAACTCTTCAAAATAATATTGCGTCAATCACTGAATTCCACTTTCTACTTAATAAGCTTAGAAACATGCAAAATAGTTTGTAACACGGACTTGTAAATAAAAATATTTTTTCCAGTATTTACTGTAACATAATTCCCCATTAGTAACAACCGAATTTTGGTCACACTTACCCAAACTATAAAATATGTCACGGTATGGATTATATTCCTTTTACCTATTTTACAAATTAATAAAATGAAAAATGTCTTTGTCCTACCCGTAAAGCACGGAGGATAGAAGTAAAAGGAGTACCTTCTCAATGTACTTTATGTGTCACCTGAAAGTGAGCCAATTAAGGTAGCGCCACAGTAGCACGTGGAAGAATTTAAAAAAAGCGCCTTAAACTACCACACTTCACTACAATCTAGCACATTTCGTCCTGTTTAAACTGCCATGTTCATATCATTTCCATTTCCTATACTAACGCTACTTCGGTGAGTCTTTTCAACTTGTCCCCTAAACAAGATGGTACTCCTTACCTCTACCGTTCATACTGCACATATATTAATTCATTACAGTTGCCTACCAGTCATAGCTGAATTAGATATTGTATTAACATAAAATATAAGGTACCTGGTGAATGTCAAAAAACCACCGTTTTACTGAGATTTTAATTTACCATAGCATCTTGTTTCATTTGATTTCATGCCAACTGATTAATGTTTCAATTAATCAACTACTTTTCATTTCGCTCCATATCATTTTTCATAAAAAAGAATAAACCATAGACCTCTATAGGTTTTATTTCAGTGGAATAAACAAACAAAATAATAAGCCGGATAGTACGATACTTGTGCCTGTCTAATTGGAAAAATAGAACTTAAATGTCAAATTGTCCATAGATAATACACTTGGGTTTTTTTTATTGTGGCTCGAGCAGTTTGTGCATTTGCCACTACTAGTGTGGAAAGGGTAGGGAAACCAATTTTATTTAGGTATCAAGTGGAATGTTCGAAATTTGGAAAGGATTGTAATAGGATTAGGTAGATAATAATATAAATACACTTGTTATTCTCTGTTTAGCTACCAAAGTGCACCATTAATAAATATCCGAAGAGCCTTTTTTTACAAATTGAACTTTCAGCTGAAAACTTTGTAGGTATTGGATTAAAAAGAAATTCCTTGTTCATAAGAAGTGTAAAGCGCAGTTGAAGTATAAAAATGCATGATTTTAGTCAAATAAAAAATACTTCACTAAATTACTGTTTTTACAAATTAAGAATATTTACTAACTAAGAAAATTGAAATTTATATGTAGGTCGAACATATCGACCAACATGCACTAGGTTTTTTTTTATGATTGAAGTATTATTGGTGGCCCGGAGTTCTTTCCAGTTTCACCAGGATAGGTGGGCGAGCAAAGGCTCAACCAGGAGGGGTGGGATTTGCTAACAGCTGCCTGAGCGCCTGAAGGAGACCTAACAACTCAAGAGCAACTGCTTTGCGATTGAATCTACTACCGGATCGGAATCGCGACCCGTTGAGAAGATCCGGCGAGAAACTCGGCGGGCTGATGCATGGTTCAGGTTGCCGTCGACCTCTTTGTCGAGTTTGACGAGTACGGTTACCGGGGCCCTACCCCTGCTCTTAGTGTTAAGAGCTGAAGGCATGAAATGAAAGAACAGATCGGCGTTTCACTGGCTTTGTATTTCAATGGATTAAATATAATACAATAATTATATACAAAAACGCGACATTGCATATTAAGAGGTCAATCATTACATGAAAAACCCAACCACCCATACCAATCAACTTCTTAAAAATTGCATATCCCCCTTTAAATAGAAAGCAGGACTGGTTCATGGCAGAAATAGGCAAGTTGCTGATTTGAAGTCGTCGTGGCCTAAAGGATAAGACGTCCGGTGCATTCGTATATAGCGATGCAACGGTATTCGAATCCCGCAGGCGGGCACCAATTTTTCTAATGAAATACGAACTTAACAATTGTTCACGATTAACTTCCACGGTGAAGGAATAACACCGTGTAATAAAAATCAAACCCGCAAAATTATAATTTGCGTAATTACTGGTGGTAGGACCTCTTGTGAGTCCGCACGGGTAGGTACCACCGCCCCGCCTATTTCTGCTGTGAAGCAGTAATGCGTTGCGGTTTGAAGGGTGGGGCAGCCGCTGTAACTATACTGAGACCTTAGAACTTATATCTCAAGGTGTGTGGCGCATTTACGTTGTAGATGTCTATGGGTTCCAGTAACCACTTAACACCAGGTGGGCTGTGAGCTCGTCCACACATCTAGGCAATAAAAAAAAATAGTTGTAGAATTTTAGAACATATTTGTTGTATAAATGATTAATAACAACTATTATATATTAACATATATAATAAAATAAAAAATAACAAACTTATTTGTGAGGGTTCTTATTACGCCCGAATACTATTTACTACCTTACAGAAATTAATAAATTTTGCGAGTTTCAGTTTTATTATATGATATTATTTCTTCTTTTTGTAAGCCATGCTTCCCATGTCTTATACCCATGTCTTATATTTTTTGGGATTTTAAAGCTAACAGAGCAAATCCACATTTATTGTTCATATGAAATGATGAAGCACCCATTCACTTTCCCCATTGGCACTGAGGAAGTGGCAGCTGTGTAGGTAGTCAATGTAATTTTTCTCCTACCTACGCCGAAAGTTCGGTTTTCCTCTCGCTGTACAGGGAAGAAAGTGTAACTTTCTTTCCCTGGGTACTGACAAGTGCGCATGCGCGTTAGTGTCTACGTCTGCTCTCACGCACCTAAAATTCTCCGCCATTGTTGTGCTCGGGTAATTTGCAATATTGTGTTTAGTGTAAAAGTGAAATAAACAAAAAACAATAAAATTTAATAGTGAATTATTAAACAAAGAATTATACAAGATACAAGAAAAATACAAGGGTTAGAAATGAATAGAACCAAACAAACATATTATCGACTAAATAAGACAAATGTATAAAAATTCAACACTTTATTTAAAAATTCTCACTTTTCGTCCCATACAATAAAAACCATCATATAAAAACACCCTTTACTTATAACTATAATATAATATTTTGAAACCTAGTTTAATATAAGTCTACGTAGTTATGGCAAAGTATTGTTTTAAAATGGTAATGTTTTTGTGACATAAAATATAACAAATTCGATGTTACAATTTTTCAATAACATAATAATTTTTTTTTTTCAAAAATTGATTTTCAGCCAAATAAGGTTTTGTGTCTTGGTGTCTGCAAATGTGGATCAATATTTTAGGTTAAATTAAAATTGCAGTTTTTTTTAAAGTTGCAATGGTGAATGTCCGAACCAGTCTATCTGTCTAATGTTAAGATTTATAAAGCAGGAAGTAAATGAATTGAAAAAAAAAAAATAATGAATCCAAAATTACTATTTTAACACAGAGGTGAAATATATTATTACTCCCTTAAAGTATTATTAAATTAAACTTTAGAAATACATAATATACAACAGCATATACACAGAATATTGAGGCACGTATTGGTAGTAAATTTATATAAAAATTTGACCTGAACAATAATTTCTGCTATCTTCGTATGTTTTTATTAAAGGCAAGATATAATCAGTATGAACTCTTAGAGACAGAGACAGTTCATGTTTTACTATTTGATGCGTTTATATAAAATAATTGATTATGCCAACTCAAGGTAGCCCTGCGAGTCATAGCTTCATATTTTAAGAGTCATCGGACGCCATCTGAAAAAGGAAAAATTGTTATCACTAAAATTTTCAAATTAGTATGTCCATAGTTCATAGTATGTAGGACCTGATATTTCAAAAAAAGCGATGAACATATTTCAAAATAAGTGATATAAGTGTAAGTCTAAAAAGTAATATTATTATGTATCTGCAGTGGGATCTATTGCAAAAACATGCAATGCATTTCATTGATAGTCGATCTGTTTCTATGACATTGTTGGGGACATCGAATTAATGATAGTAATGATACTGATCGGTACTTTAGTAAATCCGGGTTTTTCAAATTCTGGCATTTGATGGTTAAACACCAATGCCTTCAGGCGACATACTTATCAAAGTCCTCGATTTACTATTGGATCATTGGTTTTCGATAGACAAAATTAAAACTATGTTTACGGTTTAATCTTGCGTTAAATTATTTTCATTTAACCGATTTTTTCGAATACTTTCTAGTTTTTGTGTCAAGCAAATTTAACCGATTTTTTCGAATACTTTCTAGTTTTTGTGTCAAGCAAAATGTCAATGAAATTAATAAACCTGGAATTAAATGGTTAGTTTGAACTAAAGTACATTGACTTTTTTACATTGGCGAGGTTGGCAGTGAAAAAAGTCTTTGAGATATTTTAGAAGCAAGAAATTTAGCCCTTTTGCCCACAAGGAAATAGGCCGTATGGCCGAGTATACGGGCCCACTTGATGGCGAGTGGTTACTGAAGCTCATCAACGTCAGCCATACCAGGGGCAGAGTCAAGTCATTACTTATCGCTGGTACTCTCCGTAAGTCTCATTTCAAGAAGGGCATGTCATAGTGCTCGGGAAACACCGTGGAAGGGAAATTCATTCGAAAGGCGGATGGTATGCCGAAGAAAAGATCTCTGGCAACACACACAGAGATCCGAAGTCTCTCCGTAGACCCAAAGGTTTCAAGCGATCCGTGCGAATACCATTCTCGTTAATCCGAATGGCCCTCTTCTGTATGGAGTCAAATGGAAGTAGCCAGTATTTGGGAGCCTTGGCCCAGAGGTGTGGGTTGTACTCGACGCCAGGCTGGACTTTTACTCTGTAAAGAAAAAACCTTTGCACAGGCGTGAAGCACCGCTTCGCCCTGTTGAGGCCTCCCAACATTTTAGAAGCTAGATCGGCGTTAACTTCCAAATGACCCCACTCTGAGACTCGCCCCTGAGAGTTCTCTACTTCAGGCACAATTTTTGATCATCTCTCCTACACCACGCTCTGAAAAAGACTCTGATGGCCGATATATCGCGCATCCCCCATGCTGTCATCCGCATAGTAATGATCATGTCATTGATGTGCGATGCTCCGTCCTTCCAAAAAGCTAGCGCTCCACTTGCAGTGTCTCTCGGAGATTTCCTAAGATGATAGCTTCGACAGAAGGGCGTCATGTCAGACCCTTTCGAAGACCTTGGCGTTATCAAGGCTTACAGCGAGAGCCTCTCTATTGATATTCAAGGTTTCAGCCCCTCTGCGAGTAAGGTACACACGAAAATTGCCAGCTGCGACCGAGACGGAAACCGTACTGTTTGGTCACTGATCAGCTGGCAATCCTCAAGATACTTCAGGAGTTGCGTGTTTATTATTCGAAATGCCTAGGATGTTTTTGGGAGTTTAAATGTCACGACTTTTCTGTGAAGGTTAAAGTTTTTAATTTGCCTTGCTAATATAATATTGTGAAGTTTATTGTGAAGGCTAATGTAATATTCTAATTAATTAATTTTCCACTTAGGTCTATAGAGGATCGATGTCCTGAAATATTGTTTTAGAAAAGTATGATAGTAGTTTTCTGTAATGGAATGACTGGTTAGGTGGCACTTAGTTAGCATCCTGACTGCTAGGCCGAAGATGGGTTTTATTCTCATTCCAAATAAGTGACAGGCGCTTTTCTAAGTCCCCCAAAACCCTAGAAAGCATACGTCATCACATTGTAAATGATGATCGATTGTGTGCGGTGCAAAAACTTTTAACCACTTTTGTTACCCTATAATATTTGCACTACAATGAATCAGTTCGTTAGTTAGAAAGACCGCTACTAATGCATATGTGTAGAAATACACTCTTAATCTGTTAGTTTATGCAGATATTATGCTGTTTAAAAAAAGGCAGGAAAACCTTTAACAAAAACCAAAAATCCAGCAAGGTTACTTAATATTACATCTATTTCTCTCTCTCTCTATTTCGAATATAAACACGATAAACTAGATTGACGTCATATCTCAAGTGTACTCTGTGGATACGTTAAAATCTTTATGGGCTCTCGTTACCATTTTTAAGACCGTGAGTCGTCTTTGCATTAGGAACAAAATACTATGTTTGATTTTAGCGCGACGTAGAACATCAAGAAATCATTTCGTCATGCTTTTTTTCATGTTGTGAGGTGCAGATGGCGCTATAGCCATCTATATATATATATGTGTATACAACTACCGTATAAAGGTTGACAACACCAAAAAGTAAATAAAACAAAATAACTCATTTACAAAATTATTATTTTTATAATTTCTAAATAATACATTTTTTAAAAGAACACAAGTTATCCTAAAATTGATTTTGTTTTATCTACAGATTAAGGCAAGACTTTAAGGCCGAGATTGAATTTAATACAATTTAATATGGTGCGTAATAATTTTCAATTTTACTATGACGACCCGTCGTGGACTTACCTATATCTACACCTGATTAGACAGAGCTTTTTTTTTTAAGAGATTTTATGACCTGGTAACTGAGACCTTTAAGTCATGTCTTATTTTAATGTATATTCCTAATTTTATGAAAAATGATATTATGGAGTGAAATGAAATGAAAATGATTAATTTGAGACATTAATCAACTGGGATGAAATTAAATGAGATGATATGAGATGAAATCTAATCTCAGTAAAATGATGGTAATTTACTAAAATTTTTTCAGTGGACTTTTTGGAGGATTCCGAGAAGTTACGTCCAGCGGCTTTGTTTCATTTTCCCACATTTGTGCACTTTCACAGATATTAAACGGTTAATAAACCACAATTATTACATATTTAAACCCGAAGAAACACTAAACAGACAAAATAAAACAAATCACACAACTTCACTCCTCGCGTTCCCGCCAAAAAGTCCATTAGAAAGAGCACTATTCACTGAGCACAGATATTGTTGGTATCGTTATCGTTACCAAGTAATATTATAAAAGTGGTAATACTGACTACAGAACAGTGTTGCCATAACTTAAAACATAGATCCCACACCTATTCAATTGACACCGATTACTTTGATTACAGAGATATTGCTAACTATTTCAAATAACAAATGAAAATGATATAAATATATATAAATCGATCAAAATGATGAAATGTAATATAGTATTACTTTATTACTTTTTTACCTTTTGCCATGCGAAGATACCGTAAGATATAGCAGCTCCGACGGCGAAGGCCACGAAGTGTGGCAGATACTTTAGCGAGGGCCCGTGACGTTTCTTCATTAGTGCCGTTATGAATTTCAAGTTTCCTTCTGTGTAAGGAGGGTAGCGGCCTCTGAAAAGAATAATTAAATATGTGTTATAAGAGAACGTTCTGGAAGCGGCAGTTTCTAAATTAAGCACAAATGCTTTTTTATTTAGTGTGAATATCTTATGAAACCGTAATGTGAAGTGTGGACAGGTAGCCAACTGTTAGCTGATTTAAAAACATCTGCATTAACTAATTGCACTGCTCCTAACTTCTCTCATTGTATTTTTGTACACAGAAGAGCGAACAAAATAGTTGACACATTGTATTTTTACTGATGGTAGGACCTCTTGTGAGTCCGCGCGGGTGGGTACCACTACCTTGCCTATTTCTTCCCCCTTTAAACTAGAAAGCAGGACTGGTTCATGGCAGAAATAGGCAAGTTGTTGATTTGAAGTCGTCGTGGCCTAAAGGATAAGACGTCCGGTGCATTCGTATATAGCGATGCAACGGTGTTCGAATCCCGCAGGTGGTACTACCACCGCCCCACCTATTTCTGCCGTGAAGCAGTAATGCGTTTCGGTTTGAAGGGTAGGGCAGCCGTTGTAACTATACTTGAGATCTTAGAACTTATATCTCAAGGTGGGTGGCGCATTTACGTTGTAGATGTCTATGGGCTCCAGTAACCACATAACACCAGGTGGGCTGCAAGTTTACATTAGATGCCTGTCAACTTCGCCTAGAAACGAGACTGTCTACGATTTGCTACCAAAAGGTTCTTGGTTACTTTGGTCACGTTGCTCGGCGGCCACCAGACAACCTTGAAAAATTGGCTGTGGTGGCCAAGGTAGAAGGGAAAAGACCCCCCGGCCGGCCGCCAAACCGTTGCTCAATTCAGATAACCGCGCTCACCGGACTTTGTTGCGACCGCCCTGAGAGAATCCGACAATCGAACCAAAATGGAACCTGATGGTACAAAGAGCCACGAAGGCCTTTCATGGACATGACCTTTAGCAATGAAGTATGCCACTAAGAAGAAGATGCCTAGACAGTAACTCACGAAGCCAGTTTCTCTCCAATAGCAGCGAAGTTCTTCTTGAGGCAACTCTTTTTGTGTGTGAATGTATCGATAGTCTTCTTTCCGTGGTACGCACCTATACCGCTGTTACCCACACCACCAAACGGTAGAGTTTCAACTACAAACGGATTAAAAAGAAAAAAATTAATAAAATGGCATTTGGTAACTTGACCTTTTAGCCCATCTTAAGTATTTTACACTTCAAAAGTTCTCCCTGTAAAATAGTGTTAATTCATATTCAGACTACAATGTACTTTTTGGAAGAAATCCTTCAAGCGATTTCGTGATATATTCAAATCCAACTTCACACTTGTGCACGTGAAGAAGCAGATCGGGGAGAATGAAACAAATCACACGACATCACTTTTGATTTTCTCAGCAAAAAGTCATTTATCCTTTGTATGTTCCATTTTTCGGTACAGTAATAAGTACTAATGCGATTTCAGTTAGGTATTGACTATAAATTTGAAAATTATGAACTGTGTACTTAGTGCGAGTTTTTTAACGTCCTCGATAGCGTAAAAGTTAGCTCATATTTGTATGGAATGGGATCGTGTGCGTACGTTTGCCGCTAGGGGCGCTGTTCCAACTGCATACAAAATTGGGCTAACTTTTACGCTAACGAGAACGTTAAAAAACTCGCACTAAGCATACTGATATTTAATGGTACGACTGTAAGAAAGGGTAAAATTTTTATAATACATAACAGAAAATTATTTAACAGTTAATATCTATTAATCTATAATCCATTACATTAGATATAATTATTTAATAGAGAAATAATAATACCTTTTTTAGAACCTTTCGATTGGCGAAACTTGGGCAAGGATATTATGTTTCCCTATATTCGCCTAAGATTGAGGTTTCAAAATTAAATTAATAATTTTAAAAAGTTAAAATCGCATTAATTCCCCTACTGTTGTAATTCAAATTTATTAATTTATTTATATTAAATTCGAAAGCAATATTTGAAAGGTTTTTTCGGATGTAAACATTGTTTTTACTGTACTGACACTGTTGTTGTTGGATTTAAATACGTATAATTTATCAGAATACATTTTCCGAATTCTTTATATCGATCATACTATCGAGGTTTGTAATTACGATGACATCCGAAAAACCAATTCGCACAAAAGTTTACACTATATATATATTTACATATGGTTATTTATATATTGCATAAAGTATTAAATATAGTTGAAAGTTAGTCATTCGTTTTATAACTTTTATTAGCAGTATTAAGCATACAAAAAGATTGCAAGATGCATTCATTACAACGTGCATTAGTTGTCGAACTGTATTGTTTCCCTTGTGTATTTTATATTTAATCATATTTGAAAACGCTGTTTCTGTGCATGTTTTAATTTAACCAAGTCTTCAGTAAAATTTCTAATCTAAATATTCGATCCAATATTTGAGCGCATATTTGTTTTTTTTTATTCACTAATCTGTTTTTGAAGTGAAACTTCTTTAAGCGCATGAGGGTAAAATTTTTACAGATGTAACGTCACGCAGGTATGCAACGGAAGTGTCGAAAATTTTTAATACAGCGCCATCTATGAGATTTTTTAATACTAACGTGCGTATGAAACCTCTTGTAGTGAATTTCAATTTAGGATTATACGTGACGTTAAAATATCGATTCACAGAGGGCCCTACCTCATACTATAAAAGATGATTTACAATTATTTACTAATGACAAAATTTTACATATACTTAGACATTTAGGATAAGCGTATTTAAATTTTTGAAGGTTTCACTTCTAACACGTGTGAATTGTACACATGTTTCTTTTTTTGTTTTGAATAACGAAGGGAATTTTTAGTGATCTTAGTTTTTTTTTATTCAAGAATCTGTTTTTTTAATTTATTAACGAAGGGAATTTTGAATGACTATATTTTGTATTTTTTTTCAACTTTAATAAAAATTTCTTTTCAAACCTCCCATGTTCATTACGGTGTCGTTAATGCACATCCCTCCGCTTGTCGTGTTCTCGATAAACTTGGACAACACTTCGCCGTTGTTGCTGAACAGGTACAGCACTAGGGGCTTCTCTCTACACGCGTAAACAGATACATTGTTACCACCACCTCGGAGTTTTAACACTAAATTAATCGCATATCGTTAATCGTAAATTCAGGGTTGTGCCGATGCAAGTCTTAATAAAGCCGTTGATGTTGATATTCGATGCGTACTATATGATTAAAAAGGAAACGCGTCTATAAAATATCATAAAATATTAATTTTTTTCTTTCTGACTGTACTTTTTGCAGATGAAAGTATAACATGTAACTAAATATTATTAATTTGAAATTTCAACTTTAATTGTCTTGCTTTAAGGTTCGTAGTTTGTAAAAGTATTTAAAAGCACTAAATGTACTTATTATTTTGAATTGAATTCGAATCTATACACTATTGCAATTTTTTACGGTACAACCCTGGAAACAATAAGACATTTACTATATACACTGCGACAGCATTTATTATATATTTTAGAACATACATTAATCTTACTCTACATATTTTCTTATCGATAAACCATAAAATTAATAAGGACATTTCAATTTAAGCCGTACTCCAGATCAAATAAGCCTTCACCGTTACACCATCACCGAAGTAAAGAAATGAAACAGCACAATGACCTAGATGTTAATGAAATACATTTTTTACCATCACACCCGACCCCATTTTGATTTTTTGTTTACAAACACGGAATTAACTCTTCAAGTACTAACTGGAGTGACTATATCGATTTTTATAAATCTATCTAGATAATTCCGTGTTTGCATATATCCGTGTTCTTACCGCCGTAAAACATGATCGTGTCGTTGATACTAATGCTTCCAGAGCGAGTCTGTTCAGTGAATAGCTTTTGTATGTTGTATTGATTGCTGAACACGTAAAGCACTAGCGGATGTTCCCTGAAATTTGTTTAACTTAACGCTATGGGAGACGAATGTGTTCGAGGATCAATGAGAAAGTACCAGTTGAATTGTGTTTCCGTGTCACCATTACTAGTTTTGAAGTTAAATACTTTAGATTATCTGGCTCAAGATTATTGTCGATTGAAGTACTGCTCTGGTTTGTATTGTACGGGGTGTTAGAAAAATGGATAATTCGAATTACCATTTTCAATGATTCACATTAATGGATTCATAAATCTTTGTAGGTTTCACAGATTACTTCTAAGAAATCACGCAAACGATTTTGATAGGTACGGTTTTTATGGATAATAGGAAAATTTAAATAATTTTGTAAGTATTTTGGACTAAATCGCTTATCTTTGGAGGTGTTATATTAAAAAGTTGTTTTTTTTCTTCTTGTAGGCAGAATAAGCATATGGCTCACCCGATAGTGAGTGGTTACCGTCGCCCACGGACTTCAGCAATGCCAGGGGCAGAACAAAGCCGCTGCCTACCGTTAAGTACTCTCCACAAGCGTCGTTTGAAGAAAGACATGTCATAGCGCTCGGGTAACATCGAACGCTGAAATGGCTAAAATAAGCCAAATATTAAGAGAAAGTTTAGTCTGCTTGTGGCTGGCTTCAGGCGGGAAGCTAATTAAAAATAAAAAGACGGTTCTAAATTCTGGATAAATATCTTGTTTTTAAGCTTTGATATTATTGCCAATATAATTGCCAATGGAATTGTTCGAGATGATACCGGCATCTCGTTTTTACCATCGCACCTCCCGCCACCGGAGTAGAGTTCATCCATACTACCTGGAGCCACTGCGATCATCAACAGTGCGTTTCCAGAGGTCTTTTTTGCCACGTACCATCCGGCTATGGAATGAGCTCCCCTCCACGGTGTTACCCGAGCGCTATGCCATGTCCTTCTTCAAACGAGGCTTGTGGAGAGTATTAAGCGGTAGGCAGCGGCTTGGCTCTGCCCCTGGCATTGCTGAAGTCCATGGGCGACGGTAACCACTCACCATTAGGTGGGTCGTATGCTCGTCTGCCTACAAGGGCAATAAAAAAAATATATATTTAAGGTTCGGACAGAGTTTATGGCATTTGTTCTTTTTCGTGAATGTTCAAGACTTGTAGTTTCGGCAAAATCGCAAGTAACATTTTTATTATATCAAGTTTCTTAGTGCCAGTTTTTTGTAAACGAAAATTTGACACGTAATAGAAACACGTCGTTGTTATGCCTATCTTTGGAGACCAGGCCATCCATGGTGGTTCTTTTAAGGGTTAGTTAGTTTATGAGTTTTGGCCAATGTCACTTTGAATTCTTGATCCAATTTATAATGGAGATGATGCGGTACCTTAATTCTGACCCAAAAACCAACATCGGGTAAAAAGCGCAGTATGATAATTTATTGAACTTAGGCAAATGGCGATTTTATTCTTAGAGCATTTCGCAGCCTCATTAAGTCGTTCTATGTTGAATGAAAATTCAACTAAAATTTTTAATATAGGTATTTCCTAAGTTTACAATTTGAGAAATTTAATACATACTTCATATTTAACTGCAAACACATAATTTTATCGTGCTCAACTGTCTATATACTTATTTATATTGATTTGTTTACAGTGACATTAGTTACTACTTTACTAGTTTAGTTACTTAGTACTATAGTTAAGTACATATTTTTCAGTATGTTTACATTTAATACCCTCTAATATCTATTGACTTTTAACAAATCAATTACCCACTATCATTATTTCTAAAGTTTAATAAACTTAAATTGAGGTGACGTAAAGTGATTAATGTTTAAGTCAACCCATAGATGGCGTTATTCACAAAAACACCCTAAAGATGTGACGAGTGACGTCATTTTAAATTTTCTTTTCTTTGAGAGGAACGTTTTTCCACACATAATTATTTCAACAGTAAAACAGACTAATAATAACATAAAAACAAAAAAAAACCTCCCTTCACAGTAACTCAACACTCCTCTACAAAAGCGTAAAATAGACCAGTTGACTGATTATTTACTGAGTAATTGTTAAAAACCTTGATCAATCGAAATCTACTTCAAATCTATTTTTAGAAAGAGAGAGAGAGAGTGTGAGAGAGATAGAGTGACTGAGAGAGTATTCAGATTCAGAACACGTCACGCCTTATGAATGCTATCCTATTTTAACATTGAGTTTGTGGATAATAGAGGGGACGCTTCGCCTCGGTTACTATCTAATAGGAAAAATTAGATAAAAGCACGAAACGCCCAAACAATACGTTAACAAACTCGTATCCTGTAAATTGAACAGAAAAGCCATTGCTTAAATTACAGAAAATTATATCTCTAGTTATTTCGAATTAACAAATACATCAGTCAACTGCTCTATACGAATACATATCACACTGATTTTAAACCCACACTCATAATTCTAGTGATGGACCTGTTATTGCAGTTAAACAATCGATAATTGTTCGATGTCACCAAAAAATCGATATCGATCGAGCAAAAATCGATTTCCAACGAATTGTAATGGACCGATACATAAATGATAAATTCGAATGTTTCTTTTTTTTTAAATGAATCTCACACTAGCGTACCAACCACGAGACTTACCTTTCATTTATAAATTTGATGGCCTCGTAAGCGTTTTCAATACAAACTATTGGTAAGATGGGACCGAATATCTCGTCTTCCATCACTTTGTCGGCCGGTGTGACGTTGNTTTTTTTTTAAATGAATCTCACACTAGCGTACCAACCACGAGACTTACCTTTCATTTATAAATTTGATGGCCTCGTAAGCGTTTTCAATACAAACTATTGGTAAGATGGGACCGAATATCTCGTCTTCCATCACTTTGTCGGCCGGCGTGACGTTGGCCAATATTGTGGGCTCTATATATCTGTCGTTTGAATCGTAACAACCACCGATGGCTATTTTGTTCTTGCTCGATTCTATCAGCTGTTGCAGACGGCTGGAAGAGTTAATGTTGTTTTTGGTTGTGGTGTCAAGGTCGAACACGATCCGACTTTCACGAGGGCCATAGTTCGCAACCCGTCAAATGCATTTCAAATTTAATTTAATGGTATTAGCGCGTCTTGTCTTATTGTGAGATCATTGTAGAAGGTATGTTTAGCCTTTTTTGGCGTGAAGCAAGATTGTACAGTCGTTGAGACAATTGAGACTTTGTGATCGTGTTTTTACTGGTGGTAAGAACTCTTGTGAGTCCGCGCGAGTGGCTACCACCACCCCGCCTGTTTCTGCCGTGAAGCAGTAATGCATTTCAGTTTGAAGGGTGGGGCAGCCGTTGTAACTATACTTGAGACCTTAGAACTTATATCTCAAGGTGGGTGGCGCATTTACGTTGTGGATGTCTATGGGTTCCAGTAACCACTTAACACCAGGTGGGATGTGAGCTCGTCCACCCATCGAAGCAATAAAAAAAAAAGACGGGTTCACGTTATGTTCATGGGTTCCCTTAACCACTTAAAACGGCGAAACATTTTTTTGTTGTCTTCGTAGGCAGTCGATCATACAGGTCCCCCGATAGTGAGGGGTCATCGTTGCTCATGGACAGCGGCAATGTCATAGGGCACAGCCAAGTCGAAGTATTTCAGTTTAGGTATGTACAGTACCCGACAATAAATATTGCACATCGACCTTTGGCTTTCTAAAAGAGCTATAGACTAATTTAGGCTTCGTAAAGCGTTATATCTCTGTAATACTAACAATACAATCGCTCACTACCGCACTTGAAAAACGAATGACAAGAGTCACACAGGCAGTACCCGATAGGCATAAAATTCTGCGAAGCCAACATTAGGCGACTATTTCTTTCCAAAAGTCGATGTGCAATATTTAGCGTCGGGCACTGTACACGTTTAAGAATGGCTTCATTGGCATAAATCGCGAGGGAATTGGGGAAAAAGCATGTATGTGTTTGTGAAGTAACTTAAAAATATTTTAGCAATTTAATACTGGTACTAACCTGAAGTGCCTGTTATTTATGATACGGCATAGATCGGGGGATTTCTGTGGGTCCTCTCCGTACCATTCCTTCAGGACTTTCTTGGAGGCCTCCAGAAACTTGTTCTGTACTTCCTTCGTGCACAGTACGTAGTCGGGAGCAATGCAAGTTTGGCCCACGTTTATAAACTTACCCCAGAGTATTCGTTTTGCCGTCACAACTATGTCCACCGTGTTATCTACGTAAACTGGGCTGAAAATTTGTAAGCAGTTCATCGTTTATATATTTATATAGCATTACTAGTGGTAGGAAGTCTTTTTACTGGTAGAAGGACGTCTTGTGAGTCCGCACGGGTAGGTACCACCACCCTGCCTGAAGCAGTAATGCGTTTAGAATTGAAGGGCAGGGCAGTCGATGTACTGTTAAAACTGAGACTTTACAGCGCATGTCTTGAGGTGGATGGCGGCATTTACGTTGTAGATATCTATGGGCTCCACTTACCACTTAACACCAGGTGGGCCGTGAGCTTGTCCGCCCATCTAAGCTATAAAATGTATATAATTAAGTTATGCAATAGACTGCGGCTTTGAGCTTGTTGATTTTCATGAGCCACGGTGATCACTCACCATGAAGTTAGAACTTTGTACTCTGACAATAAAAAAAGTTATGGTTACGTCATATGAACATTCTGAAGCAACTCAACTTTTTTGTTACGTCAAATAAAAAAAACCGTTTCTTCTAGAAATGATGATGTAAGCGCCCTGAAATAAACAAGCAAAAATGCGCTGAGACTGAGATGAACGAACGAAACGGACTTTTAAAATTATATAACTACTTTTGCTAGATCGTCAAAACGCGCAAGTTTTCCCTCTCTTTCTTTCAGTCGGGCAATTGAAAAGATTTGCAACAGAATCGAATGTTTTTGCTATCTTTTTTTTTAGTACATACAATACAGCCAATGCTAAAAAGGTTTAGTCTTTTCGTATTATTTTAGCCCTCTTTAAGATGTTTAGATTAGTTTTACGCAAACACGTTGTGAACATAAATGCCCAAAATCTGTCAATTCAGAGTTATAGTACCTACTTGTAGAGTTATAGTCAGCAATTACTACATTGACTTTTTTTTCTACCTATAATAGTAACCTCGAGGGGTTATTCTAGATTCGCTGAATTAATAGTTCTATTCAAAGACTCAGTTCATATGGAGAGAGAGAGAGAGAGAGAAAAAGAGAAAGCACTATTGTGACATAGCGTCACGGCTTATGTGTCTTAAAATATGCTAAAATTGAGTTTGTAGTCAATGAAGCGGACGCTTTATGTCAGTAACTATAAGCAAATGGGGAAATAAAGCAAAAAAAAAAACGAAACGCCACAACAATAGTTTAAGTGAAATCTATAAATTCAAATCACAATACCTTTTGCCGCCAAGTTCCAATGTGACAGGCGTGAGATTTTTGGTGGCGGCTTCGTAAACAATTCTACCGACGTTAGTGCCTCCAGTGTAGAAGATGTAGTCAAACCTCTGTTTGAGCAACTCAGTGGTCTCTTGCGGACCTCCTTCGAATACGATGAAAGCATCCTTTGAAAGAAAAAAAAATATTTTTAATATTTTGAAACTGAACGACTTCTATAACTAATTACTCTTTAAACTTATACAATATTATTCACTAAAATTATCATTGAAACTTTGATGATAGAGGAACGGAGAGGGGTGATTATTTAGACTTACTTACAATTTGCATTACTCACTCATTTTTATTTGAATTTTCCTTACTCACTGACGATTTAGTCAAATAAAATAAAATCTTATGATCAAGACTATTTGGTTCTGAGTTCGGATCGATCGTTCGGATCTTGCATGCAAGAGTTCTAGAAATTGTCATTAGCGTTATTCGCGTTTTTTTTCCAGATACCTCCTATTCCGCTTCGGCTAATGCTAGTCTGCGTTTTCGGGGCTGTTCCCTTACACCCTGACCTAATAACTTTAAGCGTGTATTACTAATCTAAATATATGGTGTATAGAGTATAGTATGCTTACATTATCCAAATATTTCGGTAGATTTTCGACAACAAAGTTCGAGCAGGCGACTGATAGTTCGCTGGGTTTCACGATAACCGTGTTCCCGGCAGCGATGGCCCCGGCCATCGGCAAAAGCAGGAGCTGCAAGGGATAGTTCCAGGCGCCTATTACGAGGACCACGCCGTACGGGTCATTGTATATAACCACCTCGTCTAGAATGTTCACGAAGCCTTTTGGAGGCTGAAAAAAAGACATTGATAAAAATACTTATGACAGGATTTCTGTATTATTCTGGTATGGATATAATAAATAAAAAAATATCCGTTTGTTAATTATATTATTGATAAGGTAGACGCATTGAAATCGGACGAAGGTGCTCAATACAAAACTAATCGATATCTTTGAATATAGAAGTATTTATATATAAAGGAGCCTTTTTTTAGAGTACTTTCTGACTTATGTGTAAAAAAAATAAAAAAGAAACAAAAAAAAATTATCAATAAATTTCAAATATTTTTCAGATCTTCCTTTCTGTAATACAAACAACGTATGATATTAACACAATAGTCATGTAGGTATTTGGGTGCTTTGTGAGTATTTAAAATAAGTTTGCCTTACAGTCATTATTCATGATTATGGTAATAAAATTGACGTCAGTAAAGTACATTAATCACGAATACATTGAAATTAGTCGATAAGTCAACAATTTTAGGTTATTTAATTTTCTAAATAGTTTAAGAATTGTTACTTTTTTTGTTCGAGGTTTAATCATTCAAGTACATTTTATTTGAGAGATATTATATTTTTAAGTGGCATAATTATGTAAACGGTAGAGCTCACGGTGCATTTTTTATTGGTGGTAGGACCTCTTGTGAGTCCGCGCGGGTGGGTACCACCACCCTGCCTATTTCTGCCGTGAAGCAGTAATGCGTTTCGGTTTGAAGGGTGGGGCAGCCGTTATAACTATACTTGAGACCTTAGAACTTATATCTCAAGGTGGGTGGCACATTTGCGTTGTGGATGTCTATGGGCTCCAGTAATCACTCAACACCAGGTGGGCTGTGAGCACGTCCACCCATTTAAGCAATAAAAAAAAAAACAGATGTTAAGGTTATCCGCGGCTGATGAACCGTAGAAACGGCGACACATATTTTTTTCAAGCAGAGAGCCGAGCCTCGATAGCTTTCCTGGCCTATGAGGCGCGTAGAGTATGTGGCGACTCGTCAGGTGCCGCTGGTTTTGTGGGATACTCCACTGCGACGAAATCAACCAGCCGGGTCGGAATGCTATAGACTGTCGACCAGGTTGTTTTTCCAAAGTTCCTACGGCGACGACGGCATCACGGACCGTATCGCAGACCATCACCGCCACCGCGTCGTTTTTTTTATTATCGAAGAAGTTACATCAGGACAGGTGGGCGAGCAAAGGCTCAGCCAGTAGGGGTGAGATTTGCTAACAGCTGCCCGAGCGCCTTCGAAGGAGGCCTAGCAACTCAAGAGCAACTGCTTCGCGAATGAATCTACTACCGGATCGAAATCGCGACTCGCTGAGAAGATCCGGCGAGAACTTCAGCGGGCTGAAGCATGGGTTAGGTAATCACCGCGTCGTACCATTCTCATGGTGCCAGCGCTTTAGGCTCGAGCCTATTAGGCCGTCCCGTGACGATCACTGTGAAGAGACTGCTTCATCACAGGGGCCGTAGCTGGACAAACACACTTCTCCGACGCCCGGCACGGCACCGAGATGGTAGAAGAGCCCTCCCTCTCCCATTCCGCCACTTCGTTCTAAGAGTCTATGGCACCGCCTACCTTAATACCATATGGGTCATTTTTTTTATTGCACTGGATAAAATAAATGTATAATTAATTAAAACCACGTACTTAAATACGAAATAATCGGTAGCGAAATGGCGAATATTACAAACAAGATGTGTCCCGCGGTTTCACCTTTAAATTTGTGTTTTTTTTTATTAATTTACCCGGCATAGTGTTCCTTTTGTCACTCTCAGGTTGATAAACTATCAGTCGATTTGTAGATCCGTCGGTACGTGAAATCATGAATTAGCGAACACAATGTCATATTTAGTACAACAAAAAAAAAGTGTAATACCAATGCCCATATACTTAATATAATACCAATCATCGCCTACAATTATCCGTGCGAAATTTCATACCAATCCGTTTGGTTATTTTTGTATGATTTGATAACAAACAAAATAAAATCCAATCTAAATATGATGGTCACGTACCTCAGCAGTGAGGAAATGACGCGACGAGGAGGCAACAAACATCCAAACATACAAACTTTCACATTTATAATAATATGTAGTACATTTTACTCACATGTTCCGGCTTAGTCCACTCGTCCAAATAATGCAGAGTGTTCCTCAAATCATTGATCAAGTAGTCGACTTCGAGTAGAATAGCTTCCATTTTGCTTCGTCTTAGATCCTTGTGTAGGGCCTCCACCATGACGTTTTGGTTTTCCTCGTACATTCTTAACAGATTCTTGAGCTGCTGACGGCGCCATTCTATCGGCCTGGTTGTGCCGCGATTGAAAGTGTCTCGAGCTTTTTGGACGGCCTATCGAAAATGAATGCTTTATTTTAATTTAACAAACAGCTCATATCGTGTAGGTTGGGTCTATAAACACAAAGTTAATGCTTCAACTCACCACAAGGCATCGGTGTGCTTAGTGCGAGTTTTTTGACGTTCTTCGATAGCGTAAAAGTTAGCTCATATTTGTATGAAATGGGATCGTTTGCGTACGTTTGCCGTTAGGGGCGCTGTTCCAAATTCAAAAAATTGGGTTAACTTTTACGCTATCGAGAACGTTAATAAACTCGCACTAAGCACACAGATTGAAATGTCATTTGTATTGTAAGTCCGTCTCACCTTTGAATGCAGGGCCGCTTCTTGATAGAAATAGGCAGCACCTAAATAGGCTTACAATGCGCCCTACAGCAATTACACAAATTTATATACTAATTTTTGTTACACGGTGATATTCCTTCATAGTGGAAGTTTTATCGTGAACGCATAATTATTTTCTTAGAAAACATAGTACCTGTCCATTGCCTTGGCATTGTGAAATTAGGCACGAGGTATCGTTTGAAAATAGTATATTTATAAAAAGATACATAAATGCGAGTTAATTTTTTTTGATTCAAAAATTAAGTTACTTTTTCAATCGATCCAAATTTTATCAATATTACATTGAACGTACTATGTAAGTCGTATAAATTACCTAGTATAATATGTTTATTATACTTTATTATTAATATACCCACTTGCGTAAACAGTTCAACGCTCTATTTATCAGCCCTTTATAAATCATTACTGCACAATACACAATGTAAGCAAAGTAATAATTTTATTGTATTATGGCGACATAGCACCGTTTTTCCTTTACAATATTTGATTTGTCAAATGATTTATTTTCTTAATTCGCATTCTCTAGTCAGNATATGTTTATTATACTTTATTATTAATATACCCACTTGCGTAAACAGTTCAACGCTCTATTTATCAGCCCTTTATAAATCATTACTGCACAATACACAATGTAAGCAAAGTAATAATTTTATTGTATTATGGCGACATAGCACCGTTTTTCCTTTACAATATTTGATTTGTCAAATGATTTATTTTCTTAATTCGCATTCTCTAGTCAGAAAAGCGGAATCAATTTCTATTCCGCAACAGTAGTGTTACGTTTGAATCTTACAATTAAATAAATAAATAAAAAACAGAACAGATATCGGGTAAAATTATTTACCTCAGCAGCTGACATCGTCTTTTGTTTGGATGTTGTAAGATTCCCTGTAAAGAAAAGATATACATAGGTTAAACAAGGTCTAATTTATTCTATGAAATTATGACCTATTACTACTAGAATAATCAATCAAGAATCAAAGTAAGTTTATAACCGGATCAAACTCTGGCCGTTTAAATATTGTAGTCATTTATTTAATAATTCAATCAGTATTCTCACAAAGAGTCTTATCATTTGGGACGTCACACGATTAAATTGAGTAATGCATTAATATTTCATAATAGTTTCTTTATTGATAAGTGGAAGGGTTAAATACGATAAGTGAATGTCGTCAGTAGAAGTTTCTATTATAGAGTGTTAGAAACTGCCGTTTTTTTGATGCTTGGAAAACCTTGGAGAGAGATGACCAGTTTCGGATTTTGTCCGGCCCTGTCCGGAACCATGTCGGGTATTTTAAAAGATGACTTAAGACTTGCAACCTATAAGAGACGTACTGGTCATTTCTTAACTGATAATTTAAAAGAGAATAGGATGGTAAAATCGAAACAACTACTGAAGCGGTACGCAAAGGGAGGTCATAGAATTTTTTTGTTTACGGATGAGAAAATTTTTATAATTGAGCAAAAAATTAAAAAAAAATAGACCGTATTTATGCTCCAAGATCTAAGGAAGCTTCCCAATTAGTCGACAGAATGCAACGTGGGCACTATCCGACTTCAGTGATGGTTTGGTGGGGTATTAGCTATGAAGGAGTGACTGAGCCATACTTTTGTGAAAAAGGTATCAAAACATCGGCACAAGTGTATCAAGATACCATTCTTGAGTAGAAGGTAGTGAAGCCCCTTAACAACACCATGTTCAATAATCAAGAATGGTCCTTCCAGCAAAACTCGGCGCCAGGTCATAAAGCTCGGTCTACGCAGTCTTGGTTGGAAACGAACGTTTCGGACTTCATCAGAGCTAAAGACTGGCTGTCGTCTAGTCCCGATCTTAATCCGCTGGATTATGATTTATGGTCAGTTTTAGAGAGTACGGCTTGCTCTAAATGCCATGATAATTTGGAGTCCCTAAAACAATCCTTACGATTGGCAGTGAAAAATTTTCCCATGGAAAGAGTGCGTATTTCTATTGATAATTGGCCTCAACGTTTAAAGGACTGTATTGCAGCCAATGGAGACCACTTCGAATAAGCGTTTTATACTTTAAATTGTTTTATATTTATGTATTAAACTAACACACTGTAAAAGTAATAAATGTTATTTGCAATAGATTTTTTTTATTTTTAATTGTAACAGTATTTATGGCCAGACTAAGTACATACAAGTTCCTAACAACATTTGAACCGTCGGTCTACTGAGCAATATCATCCGCTCGATGGAAGATCTTCTTTTCGTCGTATCCCTACAAGCCAATGAAATCCCTTTACGAGGCGGAAATTTCGGCTGCTTCGCGGTAAATAAATACAAGAATGTGGTGAACTCAAATAATACCATCACTAACTGTACAAACCAACAAAACCGGCTGGTTTTATTTGAAAATAACTCTCAAACACTGGCCTAGGTAGTATCAAACATGAAGTATAAGAATATGGATTATCAATTGCTTTCAAAATTTTACTATAATGTATAAACAATTAATCCCTTAGAAATAATCTTATAAAAAATAATTACTGATCTTTGTAAACAATTACAATAAAAATATGATGTAACATCTATTTGTATGTAACTTAGAAAAAAGTAAAGAACTTCAGGGGATTAAAACATTATCTGGAAGAAATAAATACTATCAGTATTAATTTAATGATAAAAATGGAAAATTTGTTTATATCTACAAATCTCACTGAATCAGCAATATCAAATACCACTTAGATAGTATTAACGTAAGCTATGACCATGGGTCACCAGTTTAAAGATGAGTATTTAAAAATACAAAAAATTGTAAATGTCAATTTCAATTGGGTTTTGAGACAGAATTTGTGAAATAGAACTGTAGTTGCCACGGCCCTGCCTATTTCTGCCATAAAGCAGTAATGCGTTTCGGTTTGAAGGGCGGGGCATCCGTTGTACTGTTAAAACTGAGACCTTACAACTCATGTCGCAAGGTGGGTGGCGACATTTACTTTGTATGATGTCTATGGGCTCGTAAACACCAGCACCAGGTGGGCAGTGAACTCGTCCACCCATGTAAGCAATAAAAAAAAACTAAAGTAAAATACTTTTATTTCCAACAGGATTTTGTAACTTAATTTACATTCAATGTTTTATGTTTTATTGACATCATAAAGTGAACATCCCCAAGTTTAATTTCGAGGTCTCGAGTATTGTAATACAACTATTACACTTATCGGACCAGAGCACATTAGTGTTTCAAAGCAGGCATAAGTAGAATGGTGGCACCCACTGGTGTCAGCTTACAGTATACATAACCACTAGTAAAATGTGTTACTGAAATTTTACAATTTTTAATACTCATGGCATATATGTATGTGTGTGTATGTGCATATATATATTTCAGTTGATTGGTATACCGCATGTACCTAACTAGTTTCTAAACAATTCTTTTCCACCTGACGGTTGTCCGGAAGAGATCACACTCAGTGATAAGACTGCCAATTGTACTTTTTTTTTGTATTTAATGTTTCGCATTGTTTATTTTGTTGGTGTACAATAAAGAATACTCTCTCTCTCTCTCTCTGTCTCATAACACATTAATTCACTATTATTTAAGTTATCATTATTTAAATTAAAAACAGATACATGTTCAATGTAATATGTTATGTTTTTTGTTTTCCTTTTAGTTTTAATTTCTAGCTAGTTTAATATTAAAAGATGTTTGTTAAACTGATCTTAACAATCTTATTATCAGTGTGTTATTTATTACAATGTTTTTTTCTAATAAATCTGTATTCAGAACTTTTATTGAATAATGTCTAAAGATACATAACACAATTACAAGAGTATTTTTTTCCATTTCTTTTATGTTAAAAAGTGGAAAATTTCTTATTTACATAATTAATGATTCCGCTTTCTATTAATTAAAATTGAAAAGGTAACGATGACGCAAGGTACTTTGAACTCGGCTTTACGTAGCTATGTACATAAATGACCAATACTATCTGACCAGTTTGAACTTTAGGCATAAATTACTTAGGTATATAGTTAATAAACTATATTTTTGTTAGAACAAAACGCTAACATTACTTATTCAAGGTCATTGCACTTACCGACTGTCATCTTGAATTTTGAGATTCCTTGTTTAATATTTATTGTTGCCACACCTTAAGAAATTAAAAAGTTTTTTCCAAAAAAGTAACTCTCTATGTGCACTCTAAAGTACCTAAGTCTAATTTCGTTTTAGTAACGCATTCACTTCTGATACACTTTTGTTGCTGTAAATTGAAATTCGTAAAATGATTTTAATTTAATGTAAAAAATGCAAATAAATTCAACATTCAGGTTTAACTACGAGCACTAATATACATCAGCTGTTTACAAAGTGTGTAGAGTGAATGAATTAAACAATGATTTCGAACTGAACAACTTCCACAAAGCCGGCAAAGTTGCTCGTTAACAACGTTACTGTATCGTACAAAAGAATGCGTTAAATTTTAATATTAAGTGTAAAATCTATGAATGCTATCTGCTTTATGCGATTCCAAACGGCTCACTGAATTTGGCCTCCCTTTTTTTGATTTTCAGTTTTATTTTTATTTTTATGTATTTGTTCGTCGTTTGTTCGTTAATGTTCGAATGTAAAAATGGTTTGTTAGTATTTATTTATAATTAATTAAACAAATGATCACCCTTAAGTTGGCTCCTTTTACTAGATATCTTTATTTTTATCGCTCAGATTAATTAATTTTGATCAATCATCGTTTGTTCGATGACTATTGGTGATTGTTCGATCATAAAAATAATTAAATTCCCAATTATTAATTATTTTATAAAATCTAATAAGCAAACTATCACCTCACGCCCACTTTAAATATTCAAAATATTTGAATTTATAATTGTGTGACTTATCTTTATTATTTTTATTATGACAATGTGTATAATCACGTATATTTTCTTTCAACACTTATGAAAATATAGCATTCCGTTATAACGTGGTTGTTAATTAAAGCTGCTGTAAACAACCTAAACATTAATCCAACACTAGTATAATAAACTATTTTATAACAATTAGTCGACTAAATTTAGCAAAGTGTAATAAGTGTTTTAACAGTGAGAGGTCTACCTTCTTTTGAAAGTTCCCCACTTACTCGTTAGATGGTGCTTAATCCAACAATTTTTGAATCTAATATTTTTAATTGTAACTCATACATACCTAATATTGTTTTGTTTGATCATATTATTAATTTTGATCACACAAAATAATTTGTGATAGCTGATAAAAATCTTTGAGCCTGTTATATTTTTTTGTATTATTCCTGTTTGATTTCAATGTTTATTCGAAAGAAACATTAACAACATTAAAATATAAGAATTCATTTTATTTATGTGGTATCCCCGTCTGAGCGTAGATGGAAGAGCCCCTTAAGCGACCAGTGATTAGTTTGGAAAAAAGTNTTTGATCACACAAAATAATTTGTGATAGCTGATAAAAATCTTTGAGCCTGTTATATTTTTTTGTATTATTCCTGTTTGATTTCAATGTTTATTCGAAAGAAACATTAACAACATTAAAATATAAGAATTCATTTTATTTATGTGGTATCCCCGTCTGAGCGTAGATGGAAGAGCCCCTTAAGCGACCAGTGATTAGTTTGGAAAAAAAGTGGGTTTATTTTTATAAAATGTACCAGTACTTTTCTAAATTAGCATTATATCCTGAGTTTGACATAATAATAATATTTTTGCTATCATTCATGAATGCCGCCGCGCCGGCTTCATTTTAGGCATAGGTGATTGAACTTGACATTTACATATCCCACTGTCGCGGTTAGAATTTATTTCAACCTTTAAATTAGTAGCAAGGTCAAAGAAACCTTGAAAAAAAAACTCATTGTACATATTTCAAACATTGTAGTTATTGTTTAGGAAAAGTTGCATTTTTACTGAGGTGGAAGCCATATTTGTTGTTTTAATGTTTTTTGTTTCATTAGACGGGTAACAGTTTCTCGGACAATCTGCTAACTGGCTGCCGGGGGCCCGTGGATGTCACAGCATAAATACCGCCACCCACCTTGAGATATGAGTTCCAAGGTCTCAGTATAGTTACAAAGGCTACCCCACCCTTCAAACCGAAAGGCATTACAGCTTCACGGTAGAAATAGGCAGGACGGTGGTACCCACCCGTGCGGATTCACAAGATATTATAATTCAAATTATAATTCATTAAAAAGTATTATACATATATTAATACATAATGTATGCAATTATTCTAAAAATTATAGCCTAGACCCCGAAAACGACTAACAGAACTAAAAATACATCCATAATAAAGCGATTTTTGTGAAATATAATTTCGACCTTAAGCAAAGGAATTGAATGAATGAAATTAACCAAACATTTTAATGTGCCTTGGACAAAATATGCTTAATTACAGCCACGTTCTTAATATACTGGTCTCACTGGGTCACGCCAAACTCGGTTGGTTACATAGTTATCGATAACATGAATATAATTCAAGGTTACGAGTTGTTTCATTACGAAATTATTGCAGAGGATATTTAATTTGATATCATGCTCGCTGACTATGTAATATAATTTGCAATTTGCTAATGTGAAAATTTGTTATCGTATTTTAATATAAGAGTTCTAGTTTGAACAGTAGAAGACTTGTATTTCTTCAAATCTAGTTTCAAAATTTGACTACGCGTCTCAACGTAAAATTAATTTGATTAAAAAAATATCATCGTATTCATTAAATATGCAACAGATGATATTATTTATTATATACTGGTGGATATTGCATCTTGACACGGGCTGGTAGTATCAAGTTGCCTGTTTCTGTTGGGAAGTGATATGCGTTCCGGTCTGAATGACCAATGGTGGTGAATGGTCGTTGAAGTTGTGATGTCTATAGGCTACTTACCAATTAGCATTAGGAGGGTTGTGGTTTCTTTTATATATCCTTTTTCATAAGAGGTTTACGGAGAGCACTCAGCAAAAGGCAGCAGCTTGGTTGTGCCCTTCGCATTGCTAACGTTTTTTTTTTCCTACCTAAGCTGATAGCCTTGAGAGGCTATATCAGCGTCGGCTTAACTAGTAGGTGAGCTCACAGGGCTCAAACCTGATGACGTTGCTAACACGAACCCTAGCAAGAGCCGTGCTTCGCAGAATCTACCACCGGATCGGAAACGCGACCCACTGAGAAGATCCGACAAGAAACTCAGTGGGCTCAAGGTGAGCTGTATGCTCATCTACACACGGACACACCAAAAAAAGGCCACCGCAATAAAGTTAAAATATCTAAAAATCGTGTTTATTGCCAACACTTCTTCGGCCATATCGTGTTCATAGTTGTAAATATTTTATAAACAACAAACGGCAGTAAAAGAATTCATCGCGTGTCAAACAAAGAATATGCAATATTTACATATATAGGTATTTGTGCGTTTTATGTACCTATTTGATATTACTAGTTTACAATGTGAAGGTTTACTAGTATTCATAGAACCTTGAGGCGCTTATTGCAGCCTGATTATACAATTTACGTATAAATTCGTAATTCGTGCCTATCTGGACGAGCTCTAAGTGTATGTGTGTTCGAGATTTGGAAGTTACGCTAGTGAGAAGATTTTCTACCGAGCGGGTGTGATAGCTCGGTTGACCGACAGGCCTTTTTTTAGGAAAGACCGGCGCCCCGGAGACCTTTCCAGTTTCACCAGGACAGGTGGACGAGCAAAGGCTCTGCCAAGAGGGATGGGATTTGCGGTCCAAGTGTTATTTTATTTATTTATTTTTTCCTACCTATGCTGATAGCCTTGAGAGGCTATTTCAGCTCCTTGCGTGTAAGTGAGCTCATGGGGCTCAAACCGGACTGTTGATAACACTGGCCCTAACAAGAGCAGTGCTTCGCAGAATCTACCACCGGATCGGAAACGCAACCCAATGAGAAGATCCGGCGAGAAAGTCAGCGAGCAAGTGCTATTTTTCGGAACTTGTATATATGCGAACTTACCTTGAAATTATCGATGGTGAGATTTCGAACTAAAGTTGCATCTGTCAAACATCTTGAGTTCTATATTGGCTACCCGGTAAAGAGATATATAAGTGCCCAGGCTAGTATACAGAGTATGGAGTGAATTACTTTCTGTTGTTTTCAGGTTTTTACACCGAACCACTAATCGGGCTGGATACACGGTACTATATACGACATACATAGGTACCTACATCCAGTACGTTGGACTACAACCAGGTCATGGTTAAATCTGTACATATTGATTCTAAAAGTGAACTCAAAAATTGTTCAAGAATTACTTTCGTGTCTTTCAAGATCTTTAAAGGTAATTTGAGAGGGTATTTGTTATCGTCAGGAATTTGGATCACGGTCAACACTTCATTATGAAGAGACACATGATAAAGTAGAATGCGAATAGAATGGATTTGAAGAACAAAAGATTCAATAGTAGACCGCCGCGCCGTGGATGTCTAAAGATTTATTTAAATATTTTTTTTGTGTAACGCATAAAGTGTCACTTGTTTTTTTAAGGGATTCTATGACCTGGTAACTACGATCTTTAGGTCAAATGTCACTAATTGTTAATTTTATGATTCATAGATAATTTACATTTCTGAGACCATAGAGGAATGTTATTATTTTCTTTTTTTTCCTTTCTTTAGTGCGTAGATAGTTGCAAGATTAAGATCAGATTGTTAAGTGTTTGCTGGAGCTCATAGATGCTCATTATTAATGTTTGTCCCGCCCTTTAAACCAGACTGCTTCGTGGCAGAAATCGGCAAGATGGTAGTACCTATTCGTGCGTGATCACAATACAGGGTGTATACCACCAGTAAATACATCATTAATCCGTCTGTACGGCTACTAATTATAATATACTGCGAGCCCTGCGCAAGTGGTGGGTAGGCCGCGGCTTGGCTCCGACCCTGGCATTGCTGAAGTCCATGGACGACGGTAACCACTCACCATAAGGTGGGCCGTATGCTCGTCTGCCTACAAGGGCAATATAAAATTAAAAATAAATAAAAATGGTGGTAAAACGTGTTGTGAAAGAACGGGTTTGTGACCTCTCGAAGTAATTTGCGTTTAGGTTTGTTTATTACTGTCAATGTTATATGTATAAACTAGACCGCCTCGAGATGTCCTTCGCTTCATAAGAACACATTAAAATGCTTAATTATGTAACGCTGCTAAATTCTTAACGAAAAAATTGCTTAATGCTGTACTTAAGCTAAAAACAAAACAGATGTGAAATTCATACGCGGTAGAAGTTAAGTTTTCCGAAGTACTCTATCTCATTCTCTCTATATGCATAAATTAATATGTCAGTCTCATTTCAGTGTCGCTTTTTCGTTTCATCGTGCTTCAAGTTACAACG